TTCTTAGAAGCACCTTCATATTTAGTAAAAGATTTGTCTTAAATTAAAAAACTTGCAAATTTACAAATATCAATTAGGTAAAATCATATTTTATGTTTACTCAATTAATATTAATTTAATTATTTATTGTTAAGTTTTTTTAAATTATATTTTTTTATCACTATTAGACTTAATGAGTATTAAAGATACAAATTTACTATTGAATTAATGAAGAAGTGTTTTAGGCTAGTTATGATTAATACTAATTTATCTTTTATTTGATTAATAATAAAGCGTTTATCTCGTTTTCATTAAAAAATGTATATTCAAATAACTAATATCATATATTTTTTTAACTTGAACCAAAAACAAGTTAGTTTATAAATTAGTTAAAAACTTCTATACTCTTTTTTATGTATGTATTATTTTAACCTACTTGATATTTTTTTTTATTTTATAAATGACTGTTTTACAAAATATTTTTTTTATCATAATACCTCGTTCGGCAGAGGCTTCGAGGTTCGAGGTAGATACCTAAAATATAGTATCCCAGAGCTCGAATCTTGAAAATTTTCGTATTGCTTTTGCTTCGATTTAAAGGGGTTTTCTTTCAAAATCAATTATTTTATCTAGAAAAATAAAAAATAATTACATTAATAACTTTTCTAATCATAAAAATTTGTTTTTGATTTAAAAATAATGTAAAAAGGTGGTGTGGTGTATAAATTATAATAATTAAATAATTAAAAAAATTCAAATAAAAAATAAACTTGTTTTATCAAACAGAGTGCTTTCGCATTTTGATTTTGCCACCCTATATTGCATATTGTTAATTTTAAGCAACCATCATATAAATTTAAATTTTATTCATATTATTAAATCATTTTAATTTTTATTTAAAAAATTTAACTTTTAATTCTTAATTAATTACAAAAATTATTATTTTACTCCTATTTTCACTGTTTTCTAATAAATTAGCTCCAATTTAATTGGCAATACCGCTTTTAGAGATTTGAATAATCTTTTAAGTAAATTGTATAATCTGACCAGTTTTGATCTTAATTTAAAGTAAAATTCTTTCATGTTAGCAAAAATAAAATATGAAAAAAATTATTTTAAGATAGTTTTATTTTTAATAAAAGAAATACTTAAACTGAAGAAAGAATTTTCTCTTAATTAGCTATGGGAATTTAAAACTGTTCTAAACTCATAAATTTGGCTTTAAAACTAGATTGTGTTTCTTAAATATTCGGCTAAGAATTCCTATATTTAGCATAGGGTATAGGAAGCTGTTTAAATCTTAAGAATTTAAAACTTGATTTTGAGTAAATTATAATATTAAAAAAAATAAAATTATTTTAAATTAATTTTTAAAGAAAAAATGAATTCTCTGAAAATAATCTAAAAGACTTAGGGGGAAATTTAGCAAATTGTTAGAATCTAACAGTTTTCTACTTGAATTTAAGGTGATAATTAAAACATTTTATTTTATTCTAAAGTTAAAAATATTACTTTGAAATTAATTTTTTAGTTTTTTCATTTTTCAAATAAATAAATTAATTAATTAATAAAAAATAAATTTAAAAGTAATTGTAAAACAAGTATTTCAGAAGATTGCTTTGACTAAATGTTCAAAAGTTGCAAACAGCTGTCTTAATTAACATTTATGTTTAAGTAAATAATTAAGGTTAATATATTTTATAATAATTACTTTACTTTTCTAGGTTTTCTTTTTTTAAATTTGATATTAAATATTATTAATTATTATTTAAAACAAAATATATAAAAAGTAATAACAAGGCCTATGATGAATTTTTATTTAATTTCGCTAAATAATTATCAAGCTGCAAAAATTTGGATTATTTAAATGTTCAGTTTAAGTAAATAAAGCTTTAATTTTTACTTTTAAGATTTATCATAAATCATAATTATAAAAAATAAAAAATATCATAGACATTTATATTTTAATTGATATATTAAGCAATAACTATTCACAAGGAAGCTACTTAACTGATTTAGGAAAAAGTTTAGAAAGTTGCTTAGAAATTAAAACAATTTTATTATAAATAAAGTAATTAATTTTATTGCTCTTTACTTTAACTAAATAATATTTTACTAAAAACAATAATATAATTTTTGGTTAATTTTTATTGTCAACAATATTTATTTAAAAAAAGAAATAATTATTTAGGAAATTAGTGTATATCTGACTTTTGCAAAAGCTTAAAAAAATGCTAGAACCTGATGAATTTGCAACTTGATTTTAGGTTAAAATAATATTTTTATTCTAAATAAATATTAAATAGATTTCTAACTTTTCTAAATTGAAAATTTCTAATTAATAACTTAAATTTTTGATTTGAATAGCCGAAATAACGAAATCAGTGATTAGTTTTTAACAGATTTAGGGAATTAGATATAAGATTATAACAACCTCACCATTTTAGATTTGGATTTAAGGTTCAAATTTTAATTATTTTGTTTTTTTTTCTACAAATAATAAAATTTTTAAACAAAATTGATTTTTAATAATTTTGCAAAAAAAAATGTTGAATTTCATAAATATACTTATAGTTGTAACACAATCGATACTTAAGGTGTTATGGACTTCAGCGTAGGACTGAGGGAATGTAAGAATATATCAAGATTGTCACTTAACTTTTAGTAAAGTTACTTTTAATTTATTATTAATAAGATTTTCTCTTACATTTATAAAATTAATTTGAAAAAAAAGCGATAACTACATTTAAGATGATGGTGCAACAAATTTATGTTAAAATCTCCCCAAAAATCTTAAAGATTTATCTCTTAAATTAGGGTAAGAATATTTGACTATAAGTTAAGCATTAAATTTTAATAATATTTAATAGATTTATTTAAAATTTGTTAGTTTTTACAATAAATTTATTTAAAGTTTTTATTTTATTTATTCTATAAGTGGGAATCAAATTACTTAACAAGGAGCCATTATTTTATCTGAAGCGCTTGCAAATTATAAAATGTTAGAAAGCTTTAACCTTTTTATAAAGTAAAATAAAAAATATTATACTTAATAAAAAATTTATTTTTATTTGATTAAATTTATTTTTTTATTGAGTTATTTTTAAAATTAATTTTATAGTAAAAATTTAATACTTTCAGATGGCTTAGCTATTCTAGCAAGATCAATAGCATAAATGAAGTTATTAAAATACTTAACACTTAATTTGACGTAAATTTTTTATAAATTATTTATTTATTTATCTATCAAAAATAAATATGGTGTATTTAATGAAGATATCTTACTTTTATTTACTTAATTACCCTAAATTTTCATTATTTATCACAAATCTCCTACTCAAACTTTAGATTCTTAATGGTGAAAAAATAAAAGAATATAAAAATAATTTTTTTTGTAAAAAGGAAGTATTTATTTTTAAATTATGGTTTATTTTTTAAATGAATTAATTTAATTTAATTTAATTTGAATTTGAATAAATGATAAATATTTTGATAATAATTTATAGAGGAAGTGAGATAAGCATTGATGGATTAACCAAACTTGGATAAGAGTTAATTAATTGTAAAAACCTGAAATATTTCTTTCTCTATGTTAAGTAAATCAAAAAATGTTATTTTATTATAACTCAATATTGATTTTTAAAAAATTCATTATGAGAGTTAATTTATTTACTTATTATGTCTATGTGTTATAAAAGCTATAAATACATTATAAATTATTAATTCTATATCAAATCATAAATTAACAATATTTTTATTTAATTATTCATAAAATAGCAATGATCTCACTTTAGCGCTTTAAAACTTAGTCCAAGATTTGTCTTTAATTAAGAATCTTACAAATTTAACAATATCGATAAGGTAAAATCTATTTACTCAATAAAGATTTATTTAATTATTGTTATATATATTTAATTAAAATTTTTAAATCACTAGTGGAGATGTTAGGAATTAAAAATATCCTATTATTTTTAAATTCATGAAGAGGTGTATTAGGCTAGTTATGATTAAAATAGGATTTTATTTTAATTGATTAAAAATGAACTATTTATATTATTTTCATTAAAAAAATATATATTCAAATTCAAATTAAAATAACTAATACCATATATTTTTTTTAACTAGCACTAAAAACATGAAAATTATTTTGAAAATTTTTATATTTAAAAATAAATTGATTTTTTGGAATTAATTAAACTTCTCTCTCCCTAATGCTTAAAGGATATGTATTTACTTATATGTTAATTGAAAAATATAAAAAAGGTATTTTATATTTAATAGTTCTTCAAATTTTAAATTTATTTATCTGTTTTAAATTTAAAAGTAAAGTAAAATAAAATTTACTAATTAATACTAAAATTAAGTTATTTATCAAATTAAGAAAAATGGGGTGCAAAAATTCAAAGCAGTAAAAAAACCATAAAGAAATTAACTATACTGAAACAGTAATTAAAATAGAATGATTGATTATTAAAGTATTTTTAAATTAAGTCAAATGTTAAATTTCAAAAGAAAATAGTTTGATAGATTAATTTATTGGTTAATCTTTTTATAAATTTTATAAATTATGATAAAGGAGGAACTTTCAGAAAAACATGAAATTTTTAATTTAACTTAATTATTTTAAGATTTCAATTATATTTAAATTGAGATTATGATTTTAATTAATTTTTATTAAAGAAAAATGAAGGAAAGTAAGAAGACTATTGTTAGAGTCATCAAGAGCTGATAAAGATATCAAACATCAAAAGTTTCAGTAGTGTAAAAAGTTATTTGAAATTATGAAAATGATTAACTTAATTTGTAATAAATAGCTTACAGATTGCTCAAATCCAGATTAAATTACTTTGCTAGACTTAAAGTTAACTATTATTTGCATTTAAAATAAATTAAATATTATAAAATCTTATTTAGGCCGACTTAAAATAATTAAGGGAATTTAATAATACAAGCTTTGTAAAATTTTACTAATCTAAATTCACTAATATTAGATTTTAGGTAATAAGATTTTATATATTTAATATAATGTAATTTATATAAAAGTAGATAGAGAGTTTATTTAAATTCAATTTTTATTAAATAAATTTAAAAAGAGCAATTAAATAAAAATAAAATACCATTATAAATAATAAAGCATTATTTTTTGGAGAGATTGTTGTTTTGAAATTCTAATGATTGTTTCAACCATAAATTAATAAATAAAAAATAAATAATTTATCTAAACTCATCTGTAAATTGTCTGTTTAATCACTTTACCTTGATAAATGAAAATTATTAATTCATATATTTATTTTCATTTATTAGTAATTTCACTCTTGATTAGTAAGAATTTAAAGATTTATTTTAGGCTCTTAAAAATGTAGCTTGTATTTAGAAGTTAGATTTGAATCTATGGTAAATACTAATTAATTTTCAATTAATGAGATCTTCAAAAATATGAAATATAAAAGGATGTCTAAAATCAACAATAGTTTATTAACTGAGCTAGCATTTTCTTTATAGGCATAATCAAATATTCTTTTTCTTTCATTAAATTTAATGTAATTTAATTAATTTTTAAAATTGCAAGTTTTATACTTTTATTTACTAATTAATTTAGCGAAAATGACAAAATTAAATAAGAAGAAATGGAAATTTTGTATCAGGGAATAGCCGATTGCAAAAATTTAACGTTTTTAAAGTTAGTGACTCCGTATTTAATTTAAAATCATAATTAAAATAGATATTTATTAAATCCGTTTTATTAATCAGAGTAAGTGCAAATACCAACAAATCTTTGAGTGATTTAGGGAATCTTATTTTGAATCATCTAATTAAATTAAAAGAGTTGTATCTCACTCTTAAGTATTTATTTATAATAAATAGCTTTATTTAATAAATTATAATTTTAAAATAAAATAAAAACAGATGCTGTTAAGATGTTTAGAATTTGATAAAGCTGTTATCTAAAACCAAAAGCATTACATTTATATATTTTAATTTATGGTACTGCTTTTAAATTTAATATATCTAAATGCACATTTTTATTAATTATTTATTTTTTAACAAAAAGGAATTTAAATAATATAAAAGAATTCGATACATATAAATATCAATTATGCAAATCAAGGAGACTATCAAATATAAAAATATTATTATGATCTTAAAAAAACAGAATGTCGATTTTATTTATTTATATCTTTAAATTCATATACGGTAAAACTTCATATATTAAGTAAGGCCCGTATTTAAAAATTTGAAAATGTTGTTTTATTAATTGTTTTAACCAATAAAATTTTTGTTTTCAATCACATTTTGAAATTTGAGGTTTTATGATAATATGAATAAAGAATTTATCAAATTAAAAAAATATATATAAATAAATTGGTATGATTGGAGTAATTAATTTAGGGGTATCTATCTGATTATTAAAGTAGTGCTACATTATTATATAGAAATGAAACACACACATAAATTGAATTATTATAATAAAATCATTCTTATATTAATTTTCCTTGAGCATGATCACAATGAATAACTTTAATTAGATGATCTAAAAAGTTTTATATTTTAAAATAGAATAAAATTATTATCTATTTAAAAAGTAGTTTGTTTATTTTACCAAATTCTTTGAAGTCTGCTTCAGGTCTTGTGAAATGTGTAATTTCTACTTTAATATTTGATTCATAGAAATCTTTTTCGAAATCATGATACACATAACATTCCTTTATAAATATTTATTTATTTATTTAGATTGCAATTAGAATAAAATTACTAGAAAAATCTATTTTCAAAAAATTAATCAAATCATTTACAAGTTGTTTTTTTGAGTCTTCAAAGTATTAGCTTGATCCTAAGAAAAAGAGTGCTTAGTATTAAGAGCCATTTAGTAAGGCAGTACCAGCATAAACTCCTGTTAATAAGTGATTTATTTTTTATTCTATTTCTTTTGTTACTTCAAGATTTGCAGTAGGAATACCTAGTTCTTTAGCAGCTTTACCTAGATTTTAAATAATATGATATTTATTTATTTATTATCTCCTTTTGTATTTTATGCATTAATAATGTTTTTATTTATTAAATTGAGATAAAATTGTTTGTGGTTGTCTGGCTGAATGACTAACTAATTGACTAATTAGCTAACTAAATTTTTCTACAACAAATATCAAAGTTGAATTATTTATTTACCATGTCCATGTATAACCTTGCTTTCGCAAACAACCTTTTATGGAAGCTTTACATTTTCAGTGAATCCTAGCATTACTTTGCTTGATGGAGCCTCTTTTAACTTTAAGAAATATTCAGGTGCAGGGAAAGAAATTTCTTCTTTTAAAGCATGTTCTTTAATAAGCTCCTACCATTTAATATCTTCCCATTTAATGTAGTTGTGGCATCCTTCGACTTCAAACTTTTTATCTTTATTGTGGAATTGCTAATTCTTGATGTAAATAAGAGTCTTCTTTATTTCTAAATGCTTGTTAAGTTCGCTAAAATGCTATAATAACTCTCTATCTCCATCTACTATGAAGTTAGATTCTTCCCAAACTTGCTTCAATTCATCGTAATGGTTGAATTTATTTTAGGCAAACCACTCTATTTGAAAAAATAAATTATTTATTCCAATATAACTTCATAAAATAAATAAGTTTTGCTCTTACTTTGGTGGGATTCTGTGATATTTTGGAAGTATTCTTTTGGGAGGTTGGTATATATAACTACTTCATAACCGTTGTCATTGAGATATTATACTAAATAAAAATACAAAAATAAGTTAGCAGACTTGAAAATGCATTTTATTGATGAGAATTTAGTATTATAATGTACTTGTGTCTATTGCTCCTACAATAGGCTTGATTGCCTTGAAGTTTTCCTTGAGTAAGGCGAGAAAATCTGCTTCACTGCATTGATCATTAATGGAATCTTTGGGAATTGCTTAGTAGGCATCAGAGGGAAGCTTAAGCTCGTAAAGATTTCTAGTGCTATTTTAGATATTAAATCCTTTGGGTAAAAGGTAAGAACGCAAGGCGCAGAACAATAAAGAGTTGTAATCAAAGACTAAGTTAAAATTAATATAAACGTATTTCATTTTTTGTTGGCACTATCCCATCTATTTAATTTATTTATTTGCTTTACTATTATGATCTATTTATATATTATTAAATTATTATATCATTTACTGCATTCTTAGCTCTTCTAATTTATATTAAATTAATTTTTGCTGGAAAACCTATAAATTTTAATCAAAATTATAGATTTTTTATGAAGAGAATCTTTCGTTTTTGTTGACTTCAAATTAATACAAAAAACTTAAATAATTGCATTTTTCTGGAAGGCTTCTTTCTCTCTTGAAATTTCAATTATCGTATTATATTTACACATACAGAGCTATAATCAAGTAAGTAAAGATAATTGACGTCTAAAATTAATAAACAACTTTATTTTACTTACTTGGCTAATAAAACAGTTGATGTCAAAGTTGATTAACATGTTAAGTTTTTTACTTGCTTAACCATAAGTAAAACATAATATATTATAATATATCAAATCATTAAATATATCTTTAAACGCCACACATAACTCCACAAAAGCTTTTATTACATTTTTAAGTATTATAAACATATTTTTTCTAATTAAATCTTCTCCATAGAGATTACAAAAAAAAATAATGTAGCATGAAAAGACAAAATAATAATTTTTTCTCAAGCTTTTTCTATTTAGATTACAAAGATCTAATGAAGAAAAAAAAAATTAAAGTTGCGAACTTAAATAGAACAATTCAAAATTGATAGCAAATACATAGAAAGATTTTATATTGATACATATTAAATTTATTTTGAATATAGAATAACGATAAAATACATTATTAAATTGGTCTATGAAGTACAGAGAGAAACTGACTGATTATTTATTTTGTAAAGAAGATAAAATAATTATTAAATATAAAAAGAAAAGTAAATAGAAGAAGCATATTATCATTCATTAATTAATTCATTTTAAATAAATCTCCTTATCAAAAGCTAAAAACTAATTTAGTATCTTATTGATTTGTGGAATTAAAAAAATGCTTACAGAATAAATTATTATTAATTAATTAAATTTTATTTTAGCTAATTAGCTACCATAGAATTGCATATGAATTCTGTCTTATTATTATTGAAAATTTAGTGTTTAGATTTTAGCTATTAAGAATACTGGGAATGAGCAATTAGAAGTAAATACTATTTTAATGAAAATGAAATTAAGTTGAAACTACTCATTTCTTAAGCAACTTTTATAAGATAACCCCAATCAAGAATATAAAACAGGTGTTAATTATATACAAATACTTGTTATCATCCTGTTATTTTTTAAGTTATTTAATATTATTTATTATCAATTTGTGCTATAAAAATAGTTAATTACATTTTTCAACTCCTTTCCTCCTTTAAATAGGTTCATGTACTCATATTAAGCTATGTTTTTTAAATATATTAAAAGTTAAATACAAGTAGAATATTATTTTTGTTATGTTATAGTTTAGATGTATTTATTTATTTATTTTTATATATTAAGCAAGTGGTATTTTTATAAAAATTTAGCTAAAATATCATCTATAGAAAATATCATTTATTTAATGATTCATATTTCAAATCAGAGTTTTTTATTAATTAATAAATTTTATCATTGCTAAATTATTAAAAACAAGCTCATTAATTTGCGAGGATATGAACAAATAATATCCACACATTATTACCACCTTTTAAATACATTAATAAAATTTTTCTTACTTCCCATTAAATCTACACTTAATTGTAGAGCAACAGCACTAAAGAATTTGTAGCCTGTAATTGTCATTTATCTAATTATTAAAAAAAAAAAATCAAGCGCTGAAATAGGAATCATAAAAAATTGCAAATTAAACACATTTTTTAATGTATATAAATAATGTTTAAGATGATAGCAAAATGGGAAATTTAGATGCAAAGTTATTTTTTATAAAATTTAAAAAGCAGAAAATATTTAAAGCAAAGAATAAAAATAGTTTTTTGTTTAAATTAAAAAATATCATTTTTATTATTATTAAATTTAGTTTTAGTTTTTTTTTAGCTTTTGGTAAAGGGAAACAACTAAAAAAATAAATAAATAAAAAAAAATAATATATTTCTTTAATTGATATTTTAATTGTCACCTCTACAATTTTGCCCACTCAATAAATAATTTTTATTGAAATGTTTAACTGAAGTAATTTAAATTTAAAAAATTTTTAGAAAGTCAATTAAATCAAAAATATTTAAAAAAATTAGTTAGTTTTATTTCTAACAAAAAAATACTTTATTTAATTTTTTATTTTGTGATCTAAATTAATTTCTAAATTGATAATTATTTTTCTTAGAATGAAATAATTTTTGCAAATAAATTTATTATTTTATTAAAATTATAATGGCATTAAATTATCTATTTTTAAATAGTAAAGCAAGTTACTCCTGAAAGACTATGTTAAGAATACCAAATATTGTGATAATCCACAATTCAAGTTGATAAAAGGTGAACTATTTATTTTAAATTTAAAAATATCGAAACAATTGCAGATTTTATATTTAATTATTTACAAAGTATTTGTCTCTGTTACCATAAATCAAATTAAATAAAGCTAGATTAATAAGGTATCCAATAAAAGCGCCATTTATAAAAAAAGAAAGGTCTTTAAAGGCAAATATAAATGCACAAGTGCAAAGTCCTATACCAAGAGAAAATCTAAATATTTCTATTGAGCTCATCCATGAGTTTCCAACATAATTTTATTAGTATATGATCTATTAAAATATATAAAAAAACATTTATAAAACTATCTTTCATGCTTTAGATTTCAAATCTTTTGATTCAAAATATAAAATTGAATAAAATATTATGAAAATCTAAAATAAAATTTGTAGAAATTTCATAATTGATTTAAATAAGTTTTTCTATTTTCTCAAATTGTAATTTTATATAAAATTATTTATTTATTTATTGTTTAATTAATAACAAAAATCTAAAATTTATATTAAATAAATTACTGTTGTAATTATTAGTCCTAATAATATGCTCAGTGTGACTTTCATGATAAAATCAGTTTCTTTTAATTCGAACAGTAATGCCATTCCTAAAATCATAAAAATAGCCGAAAACAATTCAGAGTTGTCCTCAAAGTATCCCCAAGGATATGAAATATCAATAGATGGACAGGCTAATTTAATTAAAATTATAAATCAATTTAAGTTAATCTGATCAATTTAATAGGCTATTAATGAATCTTCTTAAAAGAAAGAATTTAATCATGTAAACAAAACTTGATTAATTTTGTATACATACATACCATTTAATGTTGTGGCAGATATTTCATAGCTGTCCTGATTTTTACTTACAATTTCTACGTTTTTTAAATCACTTCTTAAATCGCAGTTTAGCTTTACTAGAACTTTTGTACCAGACTTTCCTTCTAAATAAATCTAAATTCCTTTTTCTGCATTTTATTCATCTGTTAATTGTTTTAAAATTGCAAAAACAATTAGTAAATAAAATTGAAATACTTATTTATTTATTTATTTACTTATTTTTTCATATTTAGAAACATACAAATATTCGCAATTTTAGCTAGTTTTTATCGAAGCATATTCATTATAAATATTATGATCATTATCACATGTCAAATTTTTATTTAGAGAATTGCAAAACATTATATTTATGTTCACATCATTTAACTTAGCATTTAAGCCACTAAATATATGTAATAAAATCAATGAATATTTGCCATAAACTAAATTGGTCTAAATATTACCCTTATTTATCTAATAAATAAAGACTATATTAATATTAATCTAATCTCACCAGACATTAAAATTTATCATTTCTTCTACTTATTTCTGAATTTACTGAAAAAATAAGTGTAGAAAACAACAGAATTATTTTCTAAATATTTAAAAAGCATCCATATTTCTTGCTTTGCATTAGTTTTATCCTTTCCTAGATTAAAGTAGAAAATGAGTTTAAATAAATAAATTATTCCCTATTTTTGATTGTTTTGTTAACAACTATGCAATATACTACTAATTAAATTGAATGCAACTATTAATTTATTATTACCGTTTTTAATCAACTTAAAAATATCAATTTTTTTAATTAAAAAAATTTCTTTTTGAGATCAAAGAAAGAGTATCTATCTATCTATCTATCTATCTATCTATCTATCTATCTCTTTTTTATAAGCACTCAAATTTAAAAAAATATTATCTCAATTTAAAAATTAAACTGAAAAATATTTTATGAATCTTAACAAATACTTTGAAAAATTAAATAAAATTAAAAAAAAATGTTTTATTGATATTAAAAATATGCAGAAAAGAAGCTTTTTTGTAATTAAATTACTTTTATTTTTGATTCAATTAAGATTTCAAATTATAAACTTAGATATTTAAGACTTTCATTAGATTTAGTCAAAGAAAATTAAAATAAAGTAATTTTTTATTTTTAAAGAAAAATTATTGTTTTACAAAATAATATTTTGTTGACATTAATTTTATAATTGTGTTTATTTCTGATTTTAAATTATTAACTAAAAATATAAAATTAGGGAAAATAAATTAAAAGTTGATATTAGTAATATTTAAACAAAGTAAAAGTATCAAGAAAAATTAAATATTTGAGAGCAATAAATAAATAAATTAATTAACCTAATTAGATGGTATTATAGATAAATATATAAAAAATAAAAATTTAATTTGTTTAAAATGATTAAATATATTTGTTAATTTTGTTCTTTTTTTATAAAATATAAATTATATGTATTTTTATACATTTTATACATGAATATGGTCAGATAGATAGAAATTATATTTAATGAATTTCACTAGCAATTTTTTTCTTATTATTCAATAACACATTTATGTGTCATTAAAGTATGGAGACGTTTAAACATTTGCTGACAAGCTCATCCCAGTAGCATACAGGAGCCGGTAAAACATCACATTCATCTTTAGTGAGCACTTCACAATTCATAGGTTAATAACAAACGAATTCTGAATATGACCATTTACAACCTAGTGAAAGCTAGCAACTAACAAAGCTCAAACCTTAGCAATCTGCAATTTAAGCAGAAGCAGAAGAAATTAATAAAATTAAAGCGAAAAGAGCTAACAATTTTCTCATTTTTTATTTTGATTTTTTTTCTTACCTTTTTTTAATTAATTTTTTATTAGAAATTTTAAATTAATATTTTGCTAATTAATATATAAAGACAGACAAACTCCATTTTAAATTAATTTAAGCAAAAATAACAAACTCATTATTTAGAATTTTTTAAAAATAAGAACTAACAATTCTTAAAATATTAAATGGCAAGAGTGTGTATCAGATGAGAATGAATATTTTTGTGTTATTATTTAAAAGACATTTATTAAATAAAAACAACCAAAAAATAAACAAATCCTTTTTATAATGAGGTTTGTTATGAAAAAAGCTTTCTGTTAGGTGAAAAATAAGTATATGAAAACAAACTTTAAGAAATACCAAAATTTATAAATTAAGAAAGATTGTGTAATTAATTTAAGATATTACTCTGAGCTTGTTTCAAATATAAAAATGAATAAGATAGAATTTAATAGATTGTGTTTGAAGATTATAGTGAAAAAGGAAAAATGAATTAAATAAAAAAATAGAAAATATTTCTACTCAAAATAATTAATTAATTAGGTAAACAAAATAAGTGTTTGTTAATTAGAAATGATTAGCTAGCTATGTATTTTGATTAACTAAGTTTTTAAAATTCTTAATATTAAGTATTATCTTGTATCTATTAAATTTTTATGATAAAATATGATGATGCAAAAATTAATAATAAAAGATAGATTTAATATTACTTAACATTATTAAGCAATTTCGATTTGATACACAATATTAGTTAATTATTTATAAATTTCATTTCTATATTGCTCAATTTTCTTAATATTGCTTGCTTACCTTTTGGTTACTAACTAGATTTCTGATTTTAATATCCTTTATTTCTTTATTCACTAATTCATTTATTGTCTACTTCATTTTTTATTTTATTTACTTTAATTTTCTTAGCTAATTTAAAATTTAGTCATTAAATTAAATAATTTTTCTGGTTTTCTATTTTAATTGATTAAATTTGGCCCACATTAAACAACTGTATTATCATTTTTATATTAAGATTCTTTAAGGAGATAGTTAGATTAGAGTTTTGATTTATATTTTACTTTAAACTTTTAGTTATTCAATTTAATTAATATATGTTTTTTCATACACTTTAAAAATATTTTTATAAACATTTTACAAAATAAATAAATAATGTTCTTAAATATCAGATATCCTTTTTGCTTTTAATCATAGATATTTAGTTTTGGTCTTTTATTTTTTGGAAAGAATCAAGTAAAAGAGATAGATAGAAATATTTAAATTGAGAAACTAATAATTAAATAATTTTAAAAAATTTGATTGGAATTTAAAAATATAATATCTGTAAACATTCAAATAAATACAAGTTGAAAAATAAAATATTTTTTAGTTTGGTCATTTATTTATAACACTAATTTCTCAGAAAGAAAGCTAGCTATATTATTCAATTCCAAAAAATATGAAACTACAGTAGAGTATCTGTTGTAAAAGAAAATAATAACATTTTGATTTGTATCATAATTTTCAAATATAAACATATTATGTTACAGAATCACTGATCAATAATATATTATTAAAATAAGTGATAGTTTGCCAATATAAATTAAAAGATGTAAGCTCTATTTATGAAGAAAGGTTATTAATCATTTATGGTCTGTCTCATCAGAAATTATCTTTTATATTAATTTTGTCTTTCTATTTAAAATTTACTATTTTTTCTGATTAATTTGTTTAATTTTGATCGTTTTCTGATGGTGATTAATTAATTTAGTTGGTTGGTTGGTTAATTTCAAATTATGAAAATTTTATTTAATATAAAAATATAAATCTATTCAAGTCAAGTAAAGAGATAGTAATCTATAGGATGAAATATATATGAATGATTTCAACCAAAAATATTTACCTATCAATTAAAATAATATTAATTAACGAAGCTTTAAAAAAATCATAGTTGAATAATTAAAATTTCAAAATACTAAATTATGTTTAAAGAAATTAATTTTAATCTTAGATTTGTTTTTCTTAAAAATATTTATTACTAAATAAATGAATCTTTTATTTTATGAATATATTTTTATGAAAAAAATATTTTACAATTTTAATTTTAAATTTTTATTTATGGTAACTTTTATGTAGTTAGTTTAAATACTAATAAATACATTTTAATAAATAAATTCTAATAAAATAATAAATAATCAAATAAATCCTAATTAATAAATAAATGAATAAATTCATTCTCATAAATCATAAATAAATTCTATTAATTGAATAAATCCTAATAAATAAATAAATGAACAAATTCATTGTAATAAATATTAGTTAATAATTTAAAAAATAAATTAAAAAGTAAGGTTTATGATTTTTATATTTATTAATTTTTCAGATTTAATTAAATTATAAAACAAATTTTATACATATAATGTATATTGAGCCTATGAGCTCAAAATATTTTAATTTATTTAGTAGCCATTTTTATTGACCGTAGGTATTTCCTTCTTTGCGAAAATTCGAAGTGCTCCTTTTGAATATTTATTCTCTCTTTATACTTTATCAAATATATTCATAAATAAATTCTATTAATGATATAGTGTTTATAATTTTATATTTATTTATATTCCTAATTGTTGAAAGATTATGTTTCATAATATGAAATATAGAAAACAATTATTATATACACAAATATAAAGCATAGTAAGTAACATCAGGACTAAGAGATATTCTAATAAATTATAAAGTTTTATATTTAATTTCATTTTTATTCTTCTAATTCTACTACAAATTCAACTTCTGATAAATCATCTTTTGAAAGAATACAATCCTTTTTGTCTGTTTACATCCATATCAAATTTATAAAATAAAAAGTGAAGTAGATAAACTGAATGGCCAATAAAATCTTAACTTTTAGCATGAAAAAATAATCTTCTTCTAAAAATATTTAGCTAGTTTCATCTTATAAAAAACAATCTTCTCCTCCAAATTTATTCACTATTCCAAAAAATAACAACTGATAAATACCACACAAGTCTATAATACGGAAAAAGCAAAGTAGTATTAAACCGAATTTATAAATTTTTATAATAGGTTTATTTTGTTTAAGATCTTCCATATAACAAGAAATTTAAATAAAGAAACATTTAAAAGAGAAATAAGTAAAAATAAAATATTGTGCTGGCAAATCATTTTTAGGATTATATTTGCATCTCTAGTCTACTGGTACTCTATTCTCTAAGTATAAAGTAAGATTGGTTTCAAGCGGTTATTATATACATTCTATAATATACTCTAAAGTACATAGCACATCCAATTTAAAATTCATATCTGTGGGTCTTAAAAAATAATCATTAGTATCTTTTGAATTTTGGTTTTTTATTTTCATACTAACTAATGGAGACTAGTTTGGGTCTTCTCTTTTAATAAACATATTCATATTATCTAATTTAAAATTAGAAATCTTCTCATAGCCTTCCACTAGCTCTTTATCAGATAGCATCAAATCTGAAATTGGGCATATTCCTTAATAAGATTATGTTGTTGTACCTTTGTAAGTGCATTTTTAAATACCTGTACTAATTTTATTCAATTAAGTATTATCCAAAATTTTTTCAGAAATTTCATAGCATAATTACACAAGCTTTATTTTCTCAGGTTTTTCCATATTTTAGCTTGGAATTAAATAGTTTAGTCTTTCATATTTACCACAATGATATTCTTCAGAAACTCTTACATTTAAGATATAATTTGAATCAATATTTCTATTTAGATCCTCCAAAAGATAATTTGTATAATTATGATAAGTATTGAAAGCAATAATATTTGTTATAAGTTATAACATGGTAACTAAAACCTAAACTAATAGTAATTTTTTTAAAACAATTCCTTTCATTTTGTAAAAGCTATTTTTAATTTATTATTATTATAATTAATATTTATTGTTTTTAAATTGATTTAATTAAGTCTTAAAAGATAAATATTTTTTTGATGTATTTAATAATTGAATAATAAGCGCAAAGAAAATTTTGAAAATTTTGTTTTAACAAATAAATAAATAATTAGTATTTATCAATATTTTATCTTTTTCTGAATTATTAAAATCAGAAAATTTACATAAAATTTTTAAATAAATTAAAAAACCATAATTTTCATTCATTCCTAAAACTCAGTTAAAGCTTAGATATAATAGGAAAAGTGAAGTCTAGGGCTACATACTGTCAACAAGGCTTTTTTATACATGATAATTTATAAAAATGAATTAAGTGTGTTGATTTTTTTCTGGCGACAAAAGTTGACTGAGGTTATTTTCTCTTATATATAATTTAAAAAAAGAATAGAAAGTAAAAATTAATTAACTCACTGATCTTTTATTTTAATTATCCCTATATTTGCGTCTATAATCTATTGGAACTCTCTTTTCTAAGTATAAAGTAAGATTTGTTTTATACGGTTATCATTCATCCACTTTACATAATTTCTAATACTTTTAATACTCTAAAAGACAGAATAAATCCACTTTAAAATTCATATTTTGGTCTAATAAAATTATCTTTAGTACCTATTGAATTTTATTTTCCTATTTTCATACTAACTTATGGAGACTAGTTTAGGTCTTCTCTTTTAATAAATATATTCATTCATATTATGTAATTAAAATTTATAAATCTTCTCATAGTCTTCCACTAGCTCTTTATCAGATAGCATCAAATCTGAAATTGCGCCTATTCCTGAATTAAATTATGTTGTAGAACCTTTATATGTGCATTAATAAATAACTCTACTACTGTTATTGAATTAAGTATTCTTCAAAATTGCTCTTTAATAAATTTGATAGTATAGTTACACAACAAGCTTTATTTTCTCAGGTTTTTCTATATTTGAGCTAGGAATTAACTAGTTTAGTCCTATTTCATTTGGGTCTCATTTTTATTCTTCAGAAACTCTTACCTTTAAGAAATAATCTGAATTAAAGCTTTTTATTAGATCTGTCAAAACAAATCCTTCTGAATCATTAACTAAAAAAAATTATTGTTAGGAATTAAGATATGCATACTGAAAAACTAAAGAATAACAATTATTTCATTTTATAAAAGATATTCTTAACTTATTTCTATTATTTATTATTTATACATTTATTTCATTAATTTGATGAAATTTTAAATGAAAAATAAATAAAATAAATTTTCTAAAATTTGATAAAAGCTAACAGATAAATATGTTTTTATTATTATGTATTTTAAATTTGAATAATAAGCTCACAGAAATTTTCAAAATTATTGTTTTAACAAATAAATAATTAGTTTTTTCTAAACAAACATTTTATTTTTTTCTTAAAATTAAAAAATATTCAGTTGCTTCTAAAATTTATTTTTTTACGTAGAAATCTAAACTAAACATAAATTCAATAATTAATATTAAGAATGAAAATAACTTTAATTAAAAATCTGAAATCTATTTTTTTAATTTTTTTTAATTTTGGGGGTTAATATAATTTGAGGTGAATTAATGAGAACTTACAGTATTTACATATATAAAGCATAGTAAGTAACATAAGGACTAATAGATATTTTAATAAATTATATACTTTTATATTTAATTTCATTTAAATTCTATTTCTGATAAATAATTTAAACAAATATTATTCATTTTGTGTGTTTTAAAGCTAATCAAAGTTATAAAAGGAAGAGTGAAGTTGATAAAGTGAATGGCCAATAAAATTTTTATATTTAGCTTGAAAAAATAATTTTCTTCTAAAATTATTTATCTTGTTTCTTCTTATAAAAAACAATCTGCTCCTCCAAAATAAAACTCTGTTCCTTTAAATTAGTACTAATAAATACCACATAGGTCTATAATAGAGCAAATGCAACAGTTTATTAACGCTTCATTTTTAATTTCTATTTCTTCAGGTTTCACACCTTAATTTAAAAGTTAAATGAAAACCAAAATTTATATTATTAAATACAAATAAAAAAAAACTGAGCTTATTGACCAATTATCATATTTAGGATTATATTTGCATCTCAAGTCTATTGGCACTCTATTCTCTAAGTATAAAGTAAGATTGGTTTCAAATGGTTATTTTGTGCATTCTTAATTATACTCTAAAGTACATAGTACATCTAATTTAAAATTCATATCCGTTGGTCTTAAAAAATAATTTTGAGTATCTTTTGAATTTTGGTTTCTTATTTCCATTTTAACTAATAGAGACTAATTTGGGTCTTCTCTTTTAATAAACATGTTCATATTATCTAATTTAAAATTAGAAATCTTTTCATAGCCTTCCACGAGCTCTTTATCAGATAGTATCAAATCTGAAATTGGGCATATTCCATAATAAGATTATATTGTATTACCTTTATAAGTGCATTTTTAAATATTTCTACTACTGTAATTCAATTCAGGGTTTCTAATTAATCTTTTATAACTTTTCAAGCATAATTACACAAGCTTTTTTTTCTCAGGTTCTTATATATTTTAGCTAGGAATTAACTAGTTTAGCTTTATTTCATAGTTACCACAATTATAATCTTCAGAAACTCTCACATTTAAGATATAATCTGAATCAATATTTGTTTATAGATACTTCTTAAGATCTTCTGAATCAGCTTTTAAAAAAACTATTAGTAAGAATTAATATATGGTAACTAAATAGTAATAGTAAAATATTTATTTAAAAACAATTGATTTCATTTGTAAAAGTAATTCTTATTTTGTTATTATTTTTTATTGTTTATAAATTGATATAAATATTTTTTTGACGTATTTAATAATTAAATAATAATAAGAGCAAAGACAATTTTTGAAAATTTTGTTTTAAAAAATAAATAATTAGGATTTCTCAATATTTTATCTTTTTCTTAAAATTAATTAACTGTTGCTTTCTTCTAAAAGTTATGCATGTATATATAAATCTAAACTAAACACAAATTCAAAAAAACATTATTTTTAATGGAAATGACTTAGAGTATAAAAATGAATTAAGTGTGTTGATTTTTTTCTGGCGACAAAAGTTGACTGAGGTTATTTTCTCTTATATATAATTTTAAAAAAAGAATAGAAAGTAAAAATTAATTAACTCACTGATCTTTTATTTTAATTATCCCTATATTTGCGTCTATAATCTATTGGAACTCTCTTTTCTAAGTATAAAGTAAGATTTGTTTTATACGGCTATCATTCATTCACTTTACATAATTTCTAATACTTTTAATACTCTAAAACCCTAAAATTCATATTTTGGTCTAATAAAATTATCTTTAGTACCTATTGACTTTTATTTTCCTATTTTCATACTAACTTAAGGAGACTAGTTTAGGTCTTCTCTTTTAATAAATATATTCATATTATGTAATTAAAATTTATAAATCTTCTCATAGTCTTCTACTAGCTCTTTATCAGATAGCATCAAATCTGAAATTGGGCCTATTCCTGAATTAAATTATGTTGTAGTAATTTTATATGTGCATTAATAAATAACTCTACTACTATTATTGAATTAAGTATTCTTCAAAATTGCTCTTTAATAAATTTGATAGTATAATTACACAAGCTTTATTTTCTCAGTTTTTTCAAAATTTGAGCTAGGAATTAACTAGTTTAGTCCCATTTCATTTGGGTCTCATTTATTCTTCAGAAACTCTTACCTTTAAGAAATAATCTGAATTAAAGTTTTTTATTAGATCTGTCAAAACAAATCCTTCTGAATCATTAACTAAAAAAAATTATTGTTAGGAATTAAGATATGTATACTGAAAAACTAAAGAATAATAATTATTTCATTATATAAAAGTTATTCTTAATTTATTTCTATTATTTATTATTTATACATTTATTTGATTTATTTGATGAAATTTTAAATGAAAAATAAATAAAATAAATTTTCTAAAATTTCATAAAAGCTAAGAGATAAATATGTATTTATTATTATGTATTTTAAATTTAAATAATAAGCTCACAGAAAATTTTTCAAAATTTTTGTTTGAACAAATAAATAAAAATTTTTTTTTAATTTTGGGGGTTAATATAATTTGGGGTGAATTAATGAGAACTTACAGTATATACATATAAAGCATAGTAAGTAACATAAGGACTAATAGATATTTTAATAAATTATATACTTTTATATTTAATTTCATTTAAATTCTATTTCTGATTAATAATTTATAAGAATATAATTCATTTTGTGTGTTTAAAAGCAAATCAAAGTTATAAAACTAAGAATGAAGTAGATAAAGTGAATGGCCAATAAAATTTTTATATTTAGCTTGAAAAAATAATTTTCTTCTAAAATTATTTATCTTGTTTCTTCTTATAAAAAACAATCTGCTCCTCCAAAATAAAACTCTGTTCCTTTAAATTAGTACTAATAAATACAATATAGGTCTATAATAAAGCAAATGCAAAATTATATTAACATTTTATTATAAATAATTATTTTGCTTAGTAATATACGATCTTTTAAAATAAAAATGAAAATGATAATTTATACTATTGAATAGAAAAAAAAAAAAACTGAGCTTATTGAGTAATTATTATAATCGGGATTATATTTGCATCTCAAGTCTATTAGCACTCTATTCTCTAAGTATAAAGTAAGATTGGTTTCAAGTGGTTAATTTGTACATTCTTTATTATTCTCTAAAGTACATAGTACATCCTATTTAAAATTCATATCCGTTGGTCTGAAAAAATAATTTTGAGTATCTTTTGAATTTTGGTTTCTTATTTCCATATTAACTAATGGAGACTAATTTGGGTCTTCTCTTTTAATAAACATGTTCATATTATCTAATTTAAAATTAGAAATCTTTTCATAGCCTTCCACTAGCTCTTTATCAGATAGTATCAAATCTGAAATTGGGCATATTCCCTGATAAGATTATATTGTAGTACCTTTATAAGTGCATTTTTAAATATCTCTACTACTGTAATTGAATTTAGGGTACTTAATTAAACTTAAATAACTTTACAAGCATAATTACACAAGCTTTTTTTTCTCTGGTTCTTATATATTTTAGCTAGGAATTAACTAGTTTAGATTTCTTTCATAGTTACCACATTTATAATCTTCAGAAACTCTCACATTTAAGATATAATCTGAATCAATATTTGTTTATAGATACTTCTAAAGATCTTCTGAATCAGCTTTTAAAAAAATTATTAGTAAGGATTAATATATGGTAACTAAAAAGTAAAAGTAATATAATTATATTAAAACAATTGTTTTCATTTGTAAAAGTAATTCTTATTTTGTTATTATTTTTTATTGTTTATAAATTGATATAAATATTTTTTTGACGTGTTTAATTATTAAATAATAAGCGCAAATACAATTTTTGAAAATTTTGTTTTAAGAAATAAATAAATAATTAGTATTTCTCAATATTTTATCTTTTTCTTAAAATTAATATACTGTTGCTTTCTTTTAAAAGTTATGCATGTATGTAGAAATCTAAACTAAACACAAATTCAAATTTTAAAAAAGCTTGTGAGATTTTAAAATATTTAAAATATGCTGTTATATGAAGAATAAAAGGTAGGTATAATAAAAATAATTTTTAAAAATATTAATATAAAAATGAGTTAAATATGCTGATTTTTGTCTGGCGGCAGAAGTTGACTTACCTTATTTTCTCTTATATATTTAAAAAAAAGAATAGAAAGTAAAAAGTAATTACCTGATCTCTTATTTTCATTATCATTACTTTTTATATTTACAATACTAGTCTATTTGAACTATTTTTTTAAGTATAAAGTAAGATTTGTTCCATGTGGTTATTGTTCACTGTACATTAGTTTTAATCTTTTTAATACTCTAAAGGATAGAATACATCCATTTTAAAATTCATATTTTTAGGTCTAATAAAACTATCTTGAGTAGCTTTTGAATTTTGTTTTCTTATTTTCAAACTAACTAAAGGAGACTAGTTTGGGTATTCTCTTTTAATAAACGTATTCATATTATCTAATTTAAAATTAGAAATATTCTCATATCCTTCCACTAACTCTTTATCAGATAGCATCAAATCTGAAATTGGGCATATTCTTGAATTAGGTTATGTTGTAGTACCTTTATAAGCGCATTGCTAAATATCTCTACTACTGTTGTTGAATTAAGTAGTCTCAGTCTGAATTTGCACTTTAATAAATTTGATAGCATAATTACACAAGCTTTATTTTCTCAGGTTTTTCTAAATCTGAGCTAGGAATTAACTAGTTTAGTCCTATTTCATTCGAGTCATATTTATATTCTTCAGAAACTCTTACATTTAAGATATTATCTGAATTAAAGTTTTTTATTAGATCTCTCAAAAATATCCTTATGAATCATTACCTAAAAAAAAAGTATTGTTAGGAATTAAGTTATGCATACTAAAAAATTAAAGAATAATAATAATTTATAAATAATTTATTTTAAAAAAATTTATTTTGAAATTATTATTTTTACATTTATTTGATTGATTTGATGAAACTTTAAATGAAAAATAAATAAAATAAATTTTCTCAAATTTGATAAAAGCTAAAATATATATTTATTTATTATTGATTTTCTTTTCATTTACTTTATATTTTAATAATAAGCCCAAATATTTTTGAAAATTTTTGTTTTAACAAACATTTAATTATATATTATTTATAATTTTATAAAATTATATATATACTCCTAATTTATGAAGAATTATGTTTCATATTATAAAATATAGAAAATAGCTATTATATATATAAGTAAAGCTAAATATCGTCAGAACTAATAGATATTCTAGTAAATTAAATACTTTTATATTTAGTTTCATTTTAATTCTACTTCTGATAAATAACTATTTAAAAGAATTTTATTCTTTTTGTGTGTTTATAACAATATAAAATTTATAAAACCAAGAGTCAAATAGATAAAATCAATGGCCAATAAAATTTAAAAAAATAGTTTGTAAAAATAATCATCTTCTAAAATTATTTAGGTTTTTTCATCTTATAAAAAACAATCTGCTCCTCCAAATTAATCCACTGTATTTTATAAGTAGAGCCAATAAATAGCACGCAATTCTATAATACGGAAAATGCAGAATGATATTAAATTGCATTTATTAATTTCTATATCTCCATATTCACTATCACATAGTTCAAATGCAATCTTCATTTAGAAATAAGACAATAGAACAAATAAAAATGAAAAAATTAAGAACGTTGTAAAACTATCACGATTATATTTGCATCTCTAGTCTATTGGAACTCTTTTCTCTAAGTATAGAGTAAGATTTGTTTCATGCGGTTATTTGTTCACAGTACATTCGTTTTCGTATTTTGAATACTCTTAAAAACAGAGTACATCCATTTTAAAATACATATTTGTAGGTCTAATAAAATGATCTTCAGTATCTTTTGAATTTTGGTTTATAATTTTCATACTAACTAATGGAGACTAGTTTGGGTCTTCTCTTTTAATGAACATAAACATATTATGTAATTTAAAATTAGAAATCCTCTCATAGCCTTCCACTAGCTCTTTATCAGATAGTATCAAATCTGAAATTGGGCATATTCCTTAATAAGATTATGTTGTAGTACCTTTATAAGTGCAATGTTGAATATCTCTAATACTGTTATTGAATTAACTATTATCGTAAATTGCTCTTTAATAAATTAGATAGCATAATTACACAAGCTTTATTTTCTCAGATTATTCTATATTTGAGCTAGGAATTAAGTAGTTTAGACCTTTTTCATTTGAGTCACATTTATATTCTTCAGAAACTCTTATATTTAAGATATAATCTGAATTCAAGTTTTTAATTAGATCCCTAAAAAGTTATATTGATCCTGAAAACATATTGTTACCTATAAAAAAAACAAATGCTAGGGAGCTTACTAATAAACTAAAAAATAATAATGATTAATAAATAATTGTTTTCATTTTATAAAAGATATTCTTAATTTATTTTTTTTATTTATTATTTATACATTTATTTGATTGATTTGATGAAACTTTAAATGAAAAATAAATAAAATAAATCTTCTCAATAAAAGCTAAGAGAGAAATATGTATTTATTATTGATTTTCTTTTTTAAATTTTTTATATTTCAATAATAAGAGCAAAGAAAATTTTTTTAAATTTTGTTTTAACAAATAAATAATTAGACTAATTTCTATGACACAAGATACTCATCGTAAAACTTATACTTTCAAAAATTATCTCAATTATTTTTTCATTGAAAAAAAATGAAAAAAATAACAGAAAATTTGAAAAATGAATATTCTAATAATTCCCTATCTACTAAAAATTCACAATATGTTTTAATTTATGATGATAAATCACAACAAAATAAAAACATACAATATTTAAATTCAAATAGCTGTAAATTTAATTATATATATATATATAAGTAAAGCCAAGTAGCATCAGAACTAATAGATATTCTAATAAATAATATACTTTTATATTTAATTTCATTTTAATTATACTTCAGATAAACCATATTATAAACGAATATAATTCTTTTTGTGTGTTTATAACCATATCAAATTTATAAAACCAAGAGTCAAATAGATAAAATTAATGGCCAATAAAATTTTTAAAATTAGCTTATAAAAATAATTATATTCTAAAATATTTTAGGTTGTTTCATCTTATAAAAAACAATCTGCTCCTCCAAATTAATCCACTGTATCTTTAAAGTAGGCCCAATAAATAGCACACAATCCTATAATACGGCTAATGCAAAATACTAATAAAACGGATTTAGTAATATCTTCCTCAAGAATAGCACATGAAAATATCGCTTAGATAGCAAAAAAAATAAAATAAAAAATTATACCCATAGTTGAAATTTTTTAATTATGATTATATTTGCATCTCTAGTCTATTGGAACTCTTTTCTCTAAGTATAGAGTAAGATTTGTTTCTTGCGGTTATTTGTTCACTGTACATTCTTTTTCATATTTTGAATACTCTTAAGAACAGAGTACAGCCATCTTAAAATACATATTTGTGGGTCTAATAAAATGATCTTCAGTATCTTTTGAATTTTGTTTACTTATTTTCATACTAACTAATTGAGATTAGTTTGGGTCTTCTCTTTTAATGAACATAAACATATTATCTAATTTAAAATTAGAAATCCTCTCATAACCTTCAACTAGTTCTTTATCAGATAGTATCAAATCTGAAATTGGGCATATTCCTTAATAAGATTATGTTGTAGTACCTTTATATGTGCATTGTTAAATATCTCTACTACTGTTATTGAATTAACTATTATCTTAAATTGCTCTTTAATAAATTAGATAGCATAATTACACAAGCTTTATTTTCTCAGATTTTTCTATACTTGAGCTAGGAATTAAGTAGTTTAGACTTTTTTCATTTGAGTCACATTTATATTCTTCAGAAACTCTTATATTTAAGATATAATCTGAATTAAAGTTATTTATTAGATCTATCAATAAATTTTGTTATTAACCAAAATATATATAAAAGATTATTATAACTACTTAAGATACGCTTACCAAAATGCTAAAGAATAATAATTATTAATAAATATTATTTTTCATTTTAATTCTTAATTTATTTTTATTAATTATTATTTATACATTTATTTGATTGATTTGATGAAACTTTAAATGAAATATAAATAAAATAAAATTTCTCAAATTTGATAAAAGCTAAAAGATAAATATGTATTTATTTATTATTGATTTTCTTTTTCATGTATTTTTTTTTCAATAAAAGAGCAAAGAAAAATTTTGAGAATAAGCATTTTATTTTTTTTCTTAAAATTAAAAATATACCTTTGCTTCTAAAAGATATTTTGTATTTAGTTATCTAAACTAAACATAAATTCAACAATTAATTATTTTAAATAGAAATAACTTAGAGGATTTTTTTGAGCAAGTAAGATTAAAGTTTCTTTAAAAAATTGCTTAATACATCGTAACAAATTTATTAAGGACTATTATTAATTTTCAAATTTATAAAAATCAGAAAATTTAGTTTTGAAATATTGAATTTTCCACTATAAAAACAAAACTCAAGGAATAATATCTCGAGAATTACAATAAAACATGTAAGTACTCTAATTATTTCTAAAGATTAACATATTTCTAATGATGCATAAGAATATCTAAAAGAATAGAAAAGCTAGCTCAATAGAGATTAATTTTTTTTTTATTTATATTTATTTGATTAATAACAACCATTCACTAAATTAATACAAACATAATAATAGGAAAAAAATTTAATATCTATTTCAATCAATTTCGAGAATATCTATCAATATTACAATTTTTAAGGCTAATTTAAATTCTTTTTTAATAAACAAAAGAAACTTGCTAAAAAATGAAAAAATGTATTTAATTTATTAGTTTTTAACGTTAGCCATTCTCCATTCTTTATTGAGCTGTATTTTATGGCCATTTAATATTTAGAGTTTAACAACTTAAACCTGAATTAGTTACTTTTTCCAAGAAATAACCAAAAATAATCTAATACATTATTTAAGAAAGATTTTATCTAAAACATTAGTTTTTCTAATTATAAAACAGAAATCAAAGCGAAAAACCTCTATATCATTCAAATATAGATCAATAGCTGATCTAATATGATCTAACTAGTTAATTTGTGTTTAGAGATTTATGAAAGAGCGAATTTCATAGAGGATTAGATATATAAACATAAGATAATTAAGAAATTATTCCCTATTTCAGATGTAATCATGTCTATATATTAAATACAATTTGAAGGTTTTGATGAAATTTTTTACTTTAAGTTTGAAAATATGAGTGTGTGTATGATGTTAAAAGTGATCCTTTGCCTATTTCATTTAGTGAATGTTTCAATAAAAAGTAAAAAGATAACAATATTTTTGAAATCCACAATAATAACTTTTAAAAAGTAAATACTCTGCTCTCAAAATTATCAAAAACACTAATAGTATATAATGCTTATTTAATGAAGAATATTAACAAAAATTCTTAATTTATATTTAGAAAAAAGAACAACAATAGATTAAATTTGAAGGCAAGTCATATAAATATTCCAATTTTCAAATCTATTTTTTATTATTCATAGATTTAATTCTTTAAGCTATTTTTTAATAATCATCTCTTATCTATCTCCTCCTATATATCCTAAAAAACTTCAACTTTTGTCTAATCTAATCTAGTTTTTAGTTTTCATTGTTGTTATTGTTATTTTTATTGTTGTTGTTGTTGTTGTTGTTGTTGTTACGTGCTTTTGGAATTTTACTAATTTACTTTGGAGAAATTGTAGATTAATTTGGTGGATAAGATAGCTTTTTAGAAGATGAAACCACTTAAATAATTTAAAATAAAACTTGTCTAAAATGAATAAATTAAAATAATATTTATAAATTTCTCTCAATAAATATTTATGAAACCAGCCATTTTAAATTCAACTCACACTCCGTATCCAACATCAAACTTTTAGAAATTTATTTAAACAATATTAATAATTATCAGATAATATGTATATTTCAATTTGAAGACAAATAAAAGATAAAGATTTTAATTAAAAGAAAAATGATAAAACAGAAACAAAAAGTTTTACTTTTTTTATTTTGTGTAGGTTTTTTTTAACTTTTTTTTGATAATATATATTTGAATGAGATAATTGATTAGAATCAGTAATTAAGTAAGTAAGTAATTAATTATGGTATCATAAATTAATTAATAATAAGATATTTTAAATTTAAAGTAGAAATAAAAATCTATTTATTTTAGGAAATCGATTAAAAAAGGATTATTCAAATAAAATTTATAATATGATTTTTTTAATTTTCATATTATTAATACAATAATTATTTTTATTTATTGCTATTCTAATTTATTGAAATCCAATTGATTCAAAAGCGAATATCAATTTATTATAGATTATTCTCTCATTATTCGTATAAATCATAAAGAGTTTATTAGGGACTGTACTATATTTAATGGTACAAGAACTTGTAGAATAAAATAAAATTGTAAAATGCATGTTTTTTATCATTGAAATACTATATTCTATTTGAATTATCAATGACTATGCAATCAAGCAGCTAAAAGTAATCATTTCCACCTTCCTCTAATACAATAATTTTGGTGAATTCTTCAGATCTGTAATTCTAATCTTTATCTAATTTTCCTATTATAGCTTTTTAGCTGTTGATCAGTTTCTGCACCTTAAATTATAATATAAAATTTTCTAATTTTATGAATTAACTATACTGTTTGAGGGTCAGTTATTTAATATTTTTATTAGCAAACAAATTTTAGTATTTTCTAAGGTCAGTCACTTTAAGTTTAACAAATTCTAAGCTATTCATTTAGCTGAATAAATTTTGATAATCATTTGCACTAAAAATGGCATCAGAAGAAATCTCTCTAAATTCTATTTCCAATGTTTTTAAATTCTTCATTTTGCAGACACAATTAGAAAATTCTTTTATATATTAGCTATTTACTAGGGTTTCAGATATTTGTAGTAGAATTATTTGTTTATTTCTGTACAAAAACTCAAGTAAGTTTTAATTTTTTTGGTGTTAAAACATATTATAATCAATTAAGCTTGTTGCATTATATCTGTTAACTCCACTATAACTGCAGTCTTTGTTAAAATTATTTTATTTAATATTTAGTTATTTTTTTAATTTTAAATAAAAATTAATCATAAAAATTAAAAAAATAAATAATAAAAATTTAACCTATGTATTTTATTTCCTTTAAGTTAGGGTAACTCTTATTATTGAAAAAATCAGTAAACTAAATATTTTCATAAAATCCTACAGCATCAAGCATTGTTTTAGTTGATTCACTTTCCAAGTTTAAGCAAAGATTTTGCAAATTTCTATTTTGAAGCACCAAATTACTCATTATTTATTCATATTCAGAAAATAAAGGCTTCAGAATTTGAGTTTTCATTGTTATTTTTTAAGGAACAAATTTCAAATCCAGAGATTCTAAATTTTTTAAGCTTTTAAGAGAATAAGCTAAATCCACTGCCAATTTTGCAGGTATTTCACACTCTAACAGCTTAAGGGAAAACTATTACAATTAGTCTATACAGCTAACATTCTTTAAAGTTTATATTATTTCATGAATAAATTATCCATAGCTAATTTACATACAAAAAGACTTTAAATTTAAAGCGTTTTTCAAAAAATCAGAAGGAAACAAAATGTTTCCAGTAATATAATCTAAAGAAAGGCTAAATTCTTGCAAATTATCTAATTTATTTAATTAAAAAACTTTAAATATGTCTGATTTTTCTTTAGAAAAGTTTATTTTATTCAGACTTATCTAAATTTTTGAAATATTTAGCAAAATAGATCCAATATCTTTCTCAAATAGCTCAATAAGCTAGCTCAAAGGCCAATCTATTTACTTAAGCTTTAAAGAAAAGCTTTTAAGATTTGATAAATACCTAATTGCACTCAACAGAGAAATTTATTCTTTATCAAATTTAGAAAAGGCTATTTCGATAGAAATAGTATCAATAGAGCTAAATGTGTGAATAGCCAAATCAAATATTTATTTTAGTAAATTCAATTCAATTCTAACACATTTAATAGTAAGTTCTTTTAAATGTAACTATCTAAAGGTATCAGCTATTTAATTATCTTCTAAAAGCATTCGAACTAAATAAAAATCAAATACATTGAATTAAATTGCAAAAATATTCGTTTTTTATTTCCTCAAAAAACTAATCAAATTATCCTTGCAGACAACGCATTACTAAATATTGTGGTTTTGAAGTTTTTTGATAGTTATCTCTACTTAAATTTTATGCAAATTTTCATTGAAATTAATATCTTCTAGAGTGTGAACGAAGTATTTTTCGGTATGAAATTAAGAATGAAAATTTACTTTTACATTTTATAATGAGTTCATTTTTTAACTTAAAGTCTTTTTGCAAATCTAAATAAGAAAGAGAAATTTTAAAATCGAAATTAACAACTCAATTAATTAATATATTTATAAATAATTCAATTTATTTATTTATATTCATTCAATCATTTTGATATATTTCTATGCAATTTTTTCAGATTTAATCAGTAAAAACATTATGAACTATTTTTTTAATTAAAAATTGAATAAAATTACAAATAAATAAATAAATCAATTATTTATAAATGTTGCTCCATTTCAAATCAGGTTAAAAAAACAAGTATTTTTATTATTTAAAATTTTTTTTTCAAATTTAATAAATTTATTTATTTTTTTAAAATAAATATTTTTTTATTTCAATTTTTAAATATTTTTTTTGAATTAAAAAGAAAAAGATTTTGATAAATTAGTTAAATATGAAAATAAATATCTTACATAAATAAAAGCAATTAATTAATTTTTAATAGAGTGAATATAGACTATGATTGTTATTAAAGAGTAGGTTATATAAAGAAAAAAGATAAATATTCATTAGTAAATTATGTTTTTTTATTAGATTTAAAAGGTGATTTTGGATTGAATTTTAACTATTAATATAGCAATTGATTTTAGGTTTTGTTATTAAATAAATTGTTTGTTGGTTAAGCTATAAGAAGAGTTAAATATTATTTTTGTAATAATTTCGATTCATCACTATTGATTATATATTTGAATTTGGCATTTATGTATCATAAAAGCATAGAAATCATAAAAGCTAAAGAAATATAGATAACTTTTGAATAGCAAGTATTATTTACAACTGCTTATTTATTAAAGCAAGATAAACAGTCTTAGCTAGTCCAAACCTAAGTACCTCTGTTTGTACAAGAAGCTGAAGATTAAATACACTATGTTCCAGATCCATTGGCAAAATAACTGCTATTGTAGCATTGATTGCAATCAGAGTCCGTCCATAATTAGCTTCCTCTATTGGTACATGAATATTATGGATTAACACAGGCTGTTTATGCTGCATTTGAATACTTCCCTGAAGATACTGAACATGATTAGCAATATTAATCACTTGTATTAGCACTGGACTAGCAGAGTGAACAATCAGTAATAAAACAATTATTAAGAGGAGACCCTTACCATATACATCCAGTCGGTGCAGTAGGGCAAGCGCTTACACAATTATTGCTAGAACTGCTAGAGCAAGTTACAAATTATCCTGAACCAGCAAAAATAAGTTATAGTATAGCTAAAAAGAAAAATAAAGCTTTCATAAATTATAATTATTGCTTTTCTTTAAAAAAAGATAATTATTAATTAATATCTTAACAATAAAAACAATATTTTTTTAAACAAGTTCTATAAAAATAAGATAATTATTAATTAATATCTTAACAATAAAAACAATATTTTTTTAAACAAGTTCTATAAAAATAAGAAAATGAAGTAGTAACAAAAGATAAATTAAATTATTTTGTTATTTATAAATTTATTTATTTGCCACAAATTAATGATTTAATTATATTTAAGTACATATTTTAGCAATTTTAAAATATTTCCTTTAGTAATTTTTATATTTTAAATTTTAATATTTTCTTAAATGTTAAAATATTAAAAGCTAAGGTTTCGTTAGCTATTTGTATATTTTTAGGATTTTTAGTTCTTCTAAATTAATATTTTTTCTACTTAAATAAATTCTAAAAATATACTATAACGTTTTGAATAGCTTAAATAGTCAAATAATTTTCTTTGTTATAAAAATTTAAAACTTTTTGTAAAAAAACTTTAATTTTAATCACATATTAATAAATCAGTAAATTTAACTCATTTAAAAAATAATTTTTGCTCTTGAAATAAAATTTAAAAATAATTTTAAACCTATTGAATAGATTAAATAGTCAAATAATTTTCCTTGTTTTTAAAATTTAAAATTGTATTAATTGTAAAAAAACTTTTCACAAATAAGATCAGGAAATTTAACTCATCTAAAAAATAATTTTAAATTTATTGAAAAGCTTAAGCAATCTAATAACCTTCTTTGTAATATTATTTTTAAATTTTAATACTTTATTAATTGGAAATACATTCAAACTTAATCACATATTAATAAGTAAGTTTTGCAGTCTTTAGCTCATCTTTCTTGAAAATAAAAGTTGCTCTTTTAAATATTATTAAAAATTAAATAAAATTGATAAATTACTATTTAGTCTAATAAATTTTTAATTATATAAAATATATATTTTTAATTTTTTTATTAATTTTGTGGTGCTTTTTGTGAAATTATAATTTTACTTTTTTTTATTCTAAAAATAATCTCAAAATAAGATTTGCTAAAAATTATGTAAAATCACTATGTTTTTTAAATTAGGCATTTTTGGTTTGGTTTAGATAAAAAAGATTTTTATTTTGAAAAAGTGGAAATAATATTATTGTTTATAATTCTAGACCATATATAATAGTTTATTAGTATTTTAAACTTAATAGTTTTAGAGAATAGATTATTTATTTTAATAATTAACTAACTATTTAAGAAGATATAAGCTATTAAAATTAATATATATAATTCTTTTAGTATTTGAAAGACATTCAATTAATTTATCTCAAGATCAAAGTATGTGTACCAAAATTAAGATTTTTGCATAATATTATGTATAAAATTAAGCGATTGATAATTGTATTACTTAGTAATATAGATATAAATTAGTAAAGTAAGTAATAGATAGAACATACAAACTGATAACTTTTTGTATTTTTCAAATTAAAAACAACATTTTAAGCATTATTTTTTTTAATGATACAAGCATTGTTTTTTAATATAAAATCCTAAAAGATGTATTATAACTTTTTTAAGTATTTTAATAGAAATATGTTATTGGGTTTGTCAATCTATTTAGTTATATCTTGCGATTTCTAATTATTTTTAGTGCGAATTAATCTACAAAATATGAGAAGAGAGAAGTAAGAAATAATAATATTTGGAAATTAATTGAAAAGATAATTGACTAGTTTGTAAATATTAAGAGAAGTACATTGAATAAATTAAAAAAATCAATTAATTTTTGCTTTTATTTTTTCCTTTCTTAAATTATTTTATATGAGAGGTAGAACTAGTCTTATACTTAAGCGAATGCATACATGAATGTAAACAAAATTGATTAAGCAGTAAATTAACTAGCTTATATTTATCTTATTCGCTCGTTTTGCGATGAATTTCTATTTTATTTTGTGAGAGATTTGATGGTTTCGTCATTATTAATGGATTGATTTTGTTTGGATTATATTATATGTAATAGATTTTATTTAATTATACTACATAATTTGAATTTAAACAAATGAAAAGAAACTACTGCTTTTTATTAAAGTCTTTACACGTGAAGAAAAACTATGAGTTTGTGATAATGCGACACGTAAATTCTGATAAATTTTGGCAAATGCAAAAATATAAATATTCAATTTAAATGTGTAATCTCATGCTCATACGTCAATACTTTATTTAAGCTATTAAAGTTCTTCATTATTTTACTTTTTGTATGTAAATTAAGGAAGTATTCCTTTTATTATTTTGCATGTGTTATGCTTGGAAAAAATAAATAAAAACTTTTAAGACATCTATGATTTTGTTGGGGGATGCCAAAAAGGAAATATATTCGAATTGGTATCACAAGATTTTTTATAAATAAAGAGAAATGACGAACTAACATGCTCAGATTCTAATAATACAAGATTTTGAAAAGAGTAAGGAAGAAAATATCTTATATTTGGGACGGTGGGGGGATTTTGGTGTTAGTAAATAGTAAATTAAACTAAAATCAAAACAATCAAGAAGAGAAGATAATTTTGTATTTTATATGCAAACTAGTTGAATCATAATAATATAATTATTTATCCACCAAAACATTCAATATTAAAAAAATTAGCTTCTAAGCAAAGCAATTAAATGAATAAGAAATTTATTATTTCATTACTTCTCGTTACACTTCTTTTATCAGTAGAAGCTGCTAAAGTCACATAAGAAAAGACTAAGCAAGTAGAAACTGAATAAAACGAACAAGAATAATCACAAAAATCTAAAAATAAGGAAGAAAAGACTAAGAAAGAAAAGGTTTAAACCAAGCAAGTAGAATCAGAATCTGAAAAGACAGTCAAAGAACCCTAATAAGAAAAAGCTTCTAAGCAAGAAAAGGAATAAAAAGCTCCCAAGGAACCAAAGGCTCCCAAGGAAGAAAAGACCCAAAAGCAAGAAAAGGCACCTAAAGAAGTTAAGGAACCCGAACAAAAAGAAGAAGCTCAAAAGACTGCAACTGAAACTGTCTAAAACAAAGAACAAAAGGTTGAAAAGCAAGAAAAGGCCCCCAAATAAGAAAAATAACCCAAGGAAGAAAAGGTTAAAACCCCTAAGGAAGAAAAGGCCCCCAAGGAAGAAAAGGCCCCCAAGGAAGAAAAGGCCCCCAAAGAAGAAAAGGCTCCTAAGGAAGAAAAGGCTCCTAAGGAAGAAAAGGCTCCTAAAGAAGAAAAGGCACCTAAAGAAGAAAAGGTTAAGGCTCCCAAGGAAGAAAAGGTTAAAGCTCCCAAGGAAGAAAAAGTTAAAGCTCCCAAGGAAGAAAAGGTTAAAACTCCTAAGGAAGAAAAGCCCCCCAAAGAAGAGAAAGTGAGAGTTCCTAAAATCGAAGCCCCCAGAAATTTCACTCAAGAAGTAATTGGTAAAGTTGCTAAGCATGCTTTCTGGAACGGTGTTTTGGATACTTAATACTTAGCTTCCTACAAATTAGCAGGTAGAATATGAATTTAGTAAGAAATGTAATTGAATATTTACTTTATAATACAGGATACAAGAAGGTTAACTGCCAATAAAATGAATTCAGCAAAATTTAAGCACCTGTCTCTGCTGCTAAGAATCTCTGCTAGATCAATCAATACAATGCTACTCTTGAAAACTAATGGCAAGTTTGGAGTAATTAATTAATACTTTATTTTAGTTATGATTTTTACAAGAACTTCTAAATTTATCTTTTTTTCTTTCAATCTATCTATATTTGCTTTAATCTTTAGATCAATTACCTTTAATTAACTAAATAGAATTTAGTTGATATTCTTTAGAATAAGAATAATCTATTTTTTTAAATTAATTAATTAAAAGGAAATTAATTTTGCTTTTTTATTGAAATTTATAATATCTAAATTTTATTTTAAATAAATTAGACTCAAATTCTACCACAGAAAGTGGAAGATTCAGATTCTCTAATAATGGAAGTAAATATTAATTAATACTTTTTACCTAAATGCTATTTAATTGAATTAAATATTTATAATATTTTTATGATATCTTTATTAAGCTTCATATTTTATTATCTAAAAGCTCTTTGTGAACAAGAATACAACTGGAACTTATCTGAAGTTAACGGAACTGCTGTTGAAACTGGTTCTTTTGTCTTCTCTAACTCCACTGACACCATTAAGAGTAAATAATAAAATAAATTTTGAAGCATTTTATCATTAAATTATTTTATTTAATTAATTTATTAGTCACCTGCAAGGTCTCTGGTTCTAACAATGAAACTAGTCAATGGGAATCTTTGGCTAACTATTCAATCCTTTTGACTGGAGATAAGAGAGGTGAAGTTTATGAGAAAAATTCTACCAGTAAAACTGTTCTCAGCTTAAATTCTACTGAAAACACCTCCTTCTCTGAATACGTTGAAGATACTATTTTCTTGACTCAAGCTCAACCTTAAAACGGTTAAACTTTCCTCACAAGAGCTTCTAAGGGAGACAACAAAATCAACAGAGGTCACAACACCCGTACTGTTTTGAATAACGGAAATAGCACTGTTGAAGAAAGTAAATTTAAAATTTTAAAATATATTCTTGCTAACTTTTGATTTGTGTATTAGGAAAGTGGAATAAATCTAAAGTCATCCTTGATTTCGTTGAAAACTACTCTGAAGGCCAAAGATTCGGAAGTGAACACTCCAAGGTCAAGAGTGAAACTCACTCTATCACTGCTTCTGGAGTTGTTATTCAAGACAGTGGTCTTACTTCTGAAAGATCCAGATAATATTACAAGCAAACCTTTGGTCCTAACGCCAATAACATCGACTATAACGATGTTGGTCACGACAGAAAGTGGAAGAATAACAGTGTCAGACCTGAAAAGAATGTTGATATTCCTGGTAATTTTATTTCTATCATGTTTGAGCAACTTATTAAAGAATTTGTTTTAATTAAAAATAGCCAATTGGAGTGTTAACGGTACTTATGCTGTTCCTGCCTAATAGAACTTAAACAACTTCAAAAATAAGAAAATCGATCTTTGAACAAATAAAAAATTTTAATAATTGTTATTACATCATTTAAATTTGATCTGATTGATTAATAATATAAATTTATTCAAAATAATGTATCTATAATTTATAAATAAATAAATAAATCTATCTATTTATCATATTAGTATTGCTTATTCAAATTAATATTTTAAAAATTAAAACCTCAAAAATTTCGATCATTACAATTATCAACCTCTTTGAATTCACATTTTATCTTTTAAACTCGCTTTAAATATTATTTTTAATTTAATACATTTTAAATAATTAATTATTGGTATTTTTTGTTAGTTGTCTAGCAGATTTTTTTAATTAGCAAATTAATAGGTAGAATCTTTTATGAAGTTATGCTTTTCAGAAAAATAATTATAACTTTTTCAACCTAATATTGAAAAATTAAGTAGAAGTTAACTTAATTAGATTTAAATAGAAAACTAATAAAAGAAATAAATAAAAATCATCAAATATCCCATAAAAATAAATAAAAATTTCCTTTATTTCATTAATATTGAAATACTGCATAATCATACAAAAAAACTTAGAAACTTTATTATTAAAGAATTATATTCAAAAATAAAGTAGAAAGAAATTAGATTATAACAAAGAAGAATAAAAGAAAGAAATAATTATGGATATTATTATAACTATTATTATCACTTTGAAAATCAATATTTTATTTATATAATCATGATTAAAAAAATGAAAAGCAGCTATGGAAACCAACTATAAATTTCAAATTGGTTAGGTTAAAGATTGAATTGATTTAATTGCGGCTTGGTTTTGTTCAATATTATTAATTAATTTTTACTCAAATTTAAATAAATACATACATATTAAAGAAATAATATACTGTAACTCCGAATTAATTAAGCAATTTATATTAAGTAAAATAAAAAAAATTTAGATCTATTAATTTTAGCAAAATTTTTGATAAAAAAGTAAGTAAAATAAGCTTATTTTAAGAAGTAATTACAACAAATAGGTCAATTAAAATTTTACATTAAGTATTAAAATTTAATTAATAGGTTTGATTTTTTTATCATTCGTTTTTCCTCAAAAATGACATAATATAAGTGTTTTATAATAATGTCTACTAAGGAAAAATATCTAGGAATTCCTTTGTAGAAAATATCAAGCTATTTACACTCTTGATATAGTAAAACCAGCTTATTGAAAAGATGAGCGAAACGAATGAAACCTAAAAGAGAAATAGAATAATAGAAATTTACTCGTAATAGTTATATAATTAGATATTTTAATCTTAAAAAAAGTTAAGAATGTATTCATGAGCTTTAGATAATTCAATTTTCAATTAAAATTGTTTATATGTAGGCACATTTGAATTATAGTTGTTGAAGCTTTGTTAGAACATATCAGAGTTATAGCTATAGACGAAAGAAAGATAATCTTTATACACATTTATATAGTAAATAATACCATTTAGCAAGCCTTACTAAAGTGAGCCTTTGCCTACAGATATACATTAATTATATAAAAAGTCTCCATTTTAATACTGAGTATAATTTTGCATTGTATTGCAAGCATTACCTGTATAAACATTTATTAAATAATCTTAAAATATTTAGTAATTGTACATTTTAGTAGACTATACTTTTCCAATGCTTTCATTTATTAAATTAGGTAATTAATTAATCTACTATGTTATATCATCAAACAATCCTTGATATGTTGAAATTGGCATCGAATGTGAGCTAGGAATCAAATACGCCATAGCAAGACCTTATCTCGCTCTTAGAGAATTCACAATAGTGAAATAAGACTAACAAACAACATCTAAATTTGAAAAAAAAATTTCAATATATTTCAAGCTAAATATAAAAAAATGAAGCAAAACTAAACAAAATAAAATATTTTAAGCTAAAAAGAATATTTTGTATTATTTTCAAAGATTCAAAGAAATAAAAACTTAAGTTTTCATTTAAATAAACTGAATTAGAAAAAATATATTTGAAATAAATAAATAAATAGATAAATAGATAAATAGAAAGTGTTTGTTTTTTACTGTTAAAATCATTGATGACTGTCGAATTGTCTATGAACTATCTTACAATAACATAGTTTATAATTGGATAAATCAAAATTAGACAGAAGATAGTGATTAAACCTATAATTAAATACTTTAAGGAGTACTGTAAAGGTGAAGTTCTGCTTATATTCAATTTTTTTTCGATATTAATTTAAGTTTGCATTTATTTAGATAAATGAGTTTAGTTCAGATTGGTTGAGTAATTTGACCTAGATCCCATGGTTTGATTTTTTTCAAAGCCATTGTAGTAGGATAGCTGGATTGTTAGTTAGCTTAGAATCTCTTTGAGAGATTTAGGGTCAAAAGTTGCGAAAAGCTCTAAAATTTTTTATTACCTAAGTTTTGCAAATGTGTAACTGGGAACTATACTACTTAGGAAGAAAAATGTTACCAAGATCACAACATATAATTAGATTAAGCTCTAATTTAATATTGATGCAAATTATGTTTGGTATTGTGAACTGAGCTAGGTAATCACTGATTAAACTTGTGAATTGAGATTTGGATAATTTTGCTCGTTTTATTATAGAAAGATTCCACTTGGATCTTGGTCAGTAGCAAAGTAATAAATGCCTGCGACCTGCAATAGCATAGAGTATAACAGTGATAAATTATATTCATCATAAGAGGATTTGCCATTGTAAATTTTCTATAAAATTTATTGTTACTTAACAATTTTAAATACTTCAATATCCATATTTGTATTATTATACAAAGTGACCATGTTATCTTTGCTTAATTTGATTCGTGATTGGATTTAAGTTTAAAGTTATTGATTAAAAGCTTGATTCTAAGAAGCAGGTGTTTCTAAAAAGCCTTAATTGTTAAGCATTTTTATATACGTTTCAGAAAGAGCGTAGCTCATTTCAATGTTAATAATATAAATCCAGTTGATATATTTAAAGTTCTCTCTTTATTAAATCAAATTAGTGTAGAAAGTGAAAAAACCTGAGAATGTTAAAGAAAGAGTTGCTAAAACTGAAATTATACCAATACCATTTATTATCTTAAGATAGTTCATCTGTTTTTTTGTATGAATCATTTAGAACAAATATCTATATTAATTAATTAATTTAATTAATAAGTTAACGTTTACATTAAAATTATTCATTCTTAAATTAATTCAAAATAAAAAAGATTTATGAAAAATTGAATTAAAAATTAAAAAAATTAAAAGATTTTTACTAAGTTTATACAGATTTATTTGAAGAAGAAACAGACTGCATGTCTTTATTTTGTTTTTTCTAGCTTTCATCATGAGTTATTGGGAATTTACTTTCCTTATCAACAGAATAGTCTTTCTGTTTTTCTTTTTCTTTATCAAGTTTGTCATTTTCATTATTAGCTGGTTTTAATCTCTTACTCTAGAAGGCTGTGAATTAAAACCCTGTTTTAGTTGACAGCAATAGCTAATTAAAAGAAGAATCTTTAGTATTCAAGTTTTATAGTTGTCTTTATTTTTTTTCTAGTTCATAGTAAATGTTCTAGGTAGAATCTTTTGAGTTTAACTCTAAATTAATTTCTTTGCTATTTAATATATCATGAAATGCGCTGTTTTGATTAAAATCCTTTGATTCACAACCTTAAAACATTTTTTTTATTTTATTGTCTTCTTCATTTTCTTAATTATTTTGCAATCCTTCACTCTGGACATTTTATATTTCGCTAGGCGAGTTTTCGTTGCTCTCCTTTTAAACCCTCGCATTTAATTAGTTGGCAATCTAAACACCTTAAATAGTTTATTCAGTTATATTAAAATTTGAACCCTAATGAATGTCATCGTGTCGTTTTTCTAAATTATTAAAGCTATACAAATTTATTATATAGCTAGAATCTTCTTTTACTTAATAAGACTATTACATTTCTTTTTTTGGTGGACTAGGAAATTATTTCTCACAATTTTTAAGATTTTCTTCTTACATTTGAAGAGATAGTTGTTTATCTACTTCATTTTATATATTTTTTAGGATGTTTTGCTAGTTCAAATTTGTGCTATTTTACAAGTTTTAAATTGCAGATGTTGATTCATTTTAGGTGTTACTGAATTGAGTCTCTGTCTTTTTTTCAGTTCCACTAAAATATTCTTTTACTTTGAATTATTTTACTCTAGTGTCGCTTAGAACATCATCTTACTCATAATCAGGGTCAAAATGTAAAGAAATTCCACTTAATTCTTTTATTTGGCTTTGATACATTTGAATGTATTGAACCTTGTCTCTCATGTAGTTCAATGGCTCATAATTTTCAATTATCATGTTTACAAAAGAGGATAGTTTGGAACTAAATATTTAAAACTAAACACTGATAACGTAAACTTAAGCGAATTTTAAGTAATTTAAGAAATTGGGGTCTTTTAGGTCTGGTCTTCTTTTCGCCTCCATTTTATCTTAAGGCTAAATTAGCAGCGTTTCAAACTTCCTGCCTTTCTCTACTTAGCTAATCTTAATTAGATCATTAAGTATAGGAATTAAGCTCTCCATTCTAATGCTTTTAGCTTGTTACAAGTTAAAGTTCTCATATATAAATTCCTAATAAAAATGCCTACTTGCTACTTTTATTTGAGAATGGTCTTTATAATCTAGCATGATATACATGTTATCATCTTTAATCGGTTTGGCCCAAATAGTAATGCCAAAATCATTCGAATCAATCATTTGGCTTTAAATTTTTAACTGCAACGGAATAGAATAACCAAGAGAGTTTTTAGCTACGAAAAGCGGCATATCCAAAGTTTGATTGTAGAGAGATAAAAATTCTTCAGTGATTATCTAAGAAAGAGCAGCTTCAGAAGATCGTTTTAAAAACGCATCAGGTAAAATGGATTAAACTAGCTTTCCTAATATTTGTTATTTATTTTAAAATCCAAAAGCTTTTACAAACGCTCTATTAGCCTTTTATATAGCGCCAAGAGATCTATCAAGAAGGGAAACATATATAAAACAACTGTGTTTACTGTAGTAGTCCTTCCTTTTCAGCTATTAGATCTATTGTCTGTTTTGGTTCTCGTAAAATTGGAGAAGAGACGACTTGTGAAGCATGTAAAAATCAAAATTCATACAGAGATTTTTCAAGCTTTAACTTTAGCTGTTCATTTGCAACTGATGAATAATGCTTGCCTCTAACTTGTTTCTGCCATCTCTGTATTCCTTTAAAATCAAAAGAATCTCATTAATCTCCACAAAACTCATAGATAGCTTTTCTACTGCTGCTTTGTACTATCTCAGACACTAAAAATATTGCTATTAGAGTTTATTCATTTCATCTTCAAATTCCAAAATAAGGTAAAGCTAAAACTCTTCTTCCTTCTTCATTCTGCTTTGATTGATCTAAGATTAAATTTCTGCCTGTTTCATAATTAATTGCATCTTTTGTTAATCCTTCAAGCCCATGCGAAGCTTTTAATTAGATTTCACATTCAAAATCTGAATGTAAGACAAACAAGAATTCATACTCAAAGTAGCGAGAAATGTCAAGTAGGAAAAATGAAGCTCATTTAAACAGTTAGTTATCTTTTTTTATTTCAAATGTTCTTCATACAAACTTAGAATATTTTTCATTGCCTAAACATTAAATGAATCATTTAAAATTTCTTTCTCACTAAATTTCAACTTCTGCTTGTCTAATATTTTATTTATTCCCTATTAATTTATAATAATTAATTTACATTTAAAATAAATAATCTAATAAATGACATTCATAAAACTTAAATTAAATATCTTAAATTAAAACTTACCCTTTTATTGTTGAGCTTGTTATCATAGTCATCCTGTTCTTAGGTCCCTTGCGAATCTGCTTATTTTTCTAATTCAATAATTTACTTGGCAAAAATAAATGTAGAATTTTCAATTTGAGACGGAAAGTGAATTCTTTCTTTTATTCCTTCAAAAAGTAGTCTACAAAATATATCAACTTTTTTATTTGGATCATTTAAAATAAACTTAAATAAGCTAATTTCTTATTATTAGCCGTTCTATGCGTTCTATGAGGTAATTTATTAATTAATGTATTCATAATAATTCTAGAAAACCTCGTTTCCTATCTTGTAAGATAAAGGAATAAGGACGATGATGGCGAAGAATAAAATATCCTAGTTAGATTCATTTATAACATAAATCAAATAGCAAAAAACAATATTAATCCTTATTGCAAAAAAGATTAAACACCATCTAAGCGCATCTTTATTTAGATAAGTGTGATTTCTTAATACTATGATTGCTTTAATCAGGCTAATGGTAAAAGAAACCCCAATGACTTCATAGATATCGAAAAAGCAACTTGATATGCAAAGTATTAAATCTAAGTGAAACAAAGTTGGATTCAAATGAGAGTCGCATTTATCTAAGATATCCTCATCATAAAACGAGTAGCTATAATCTAGAGATATTATCAATGATCCTTTAATTATAAATTTATTTATGATTAAATTTTGAATGTCTATCTCACTTTTTATAAATTACCTAAAAACATAGTTAGAATAATGTTGAAAAAAGCGACATAGTATTTGTAATTAGACAACGAAATATATAAAGAAGGCAGAGCAATTAAATATTCGTAACTTTAAAACACCAACGAAATAGTAGAAATAGAATAATTTTTTATTCTACTTCTAAAAATGAAGTTGATTAGCAGGAAGAGAACAATCAAACAATTTATAACCAAAAATATTTGCACTGCCGTATTAAGCCTAGATTAGTCTTGAGATTCTTTTGAAAACTCCTTTAAAAAAAAGAAATAGCCTATAAATGATGAGAAGACCTTCTGACTTGATACTAAGTCCTAATATGTTTTGCTATCTATTTGCAGTTAAATCAATACAAGCTAATGAAAAGCAAAAATCAGAATAGAATAAAGCAGATTTCTCTTTGTTCTCTTTAAAAGCTGATATATATCTTATATGTAAAAGGATTTCAGTTCCTCAAGCAATGGACTTGTTACCTGATGATTTAATCCTTTTAGCTAGAATACTTGTCTCATCTTGAATTATGAAAAGTTAATTTTTTATTTTTTCTATGTTTTTTTTGTTCTGTTTTACCTTTCTTTGTTAAGAAATAATCAAATAAATGAGTGTAATTTTGATTTATAAAGAATTTTTTCTATAATCAAATAATTTAACAATACTGTTTTAATTAAATTACTTCAAAAGTACTTAATATAAGCTTATTTATTCAGCTCTATTTTTGTTAATTTAAAAGGCATTCAATATTTTTTAATTAATCCAAACGAGTTTCAATAAGTAGACCTATTTTAATAACTCCTCATTTTTTCTATTTAAATTTGATGTTTTTAGTTCATTCAAATTTACAGATAGATTAAAAGGAAAAAAAAATCAAATTTTCAAAAAGAGTCTCAATTTTTTTATAAAATAAACAGTTTTTAATAAGTCTTCAAAATTCAAAGGTCAATTTTATAGCAATTATACAATTTTCTATTCATATTTTATGCAATTTTTTATAAATTTTCTTTTTCAAAATAATAAAGGTAGATAACCAAAACCAATTTTTTATTCATTTGATAATCTTAATATTTTAAATCCTTGACTGTTATGTAAAAAAAATTATAATTAGCTATTTAAATCTTTTAAATTTGATTTAAGTTTCTATAGCGAGCTTATTTTTGATGAATGATGATAATCTAATTGATTTTTAATTTAATTCTAATCAATTAAAATCAGATAGAATAGTATCAATTAATTTGTTTTTATTGTTAATATCATAAATATTAAAATTAATTAATTAATCCTTATTTATTTTTATACAAATCATAATAAATTGTTATAGCCATATTTTAAAATAATTTTAAAATTCAATTGCTAAGAATTAAAAATTTGGCTACTTACTTACATATCATTAATTTTATAACTTATCAAAACACATAAAATAAAATATTTCACTAAGTAGATTTTGAATCACATATATCTATATTATAATGAATTATTTATTTACCTTTTTAAATCACCGAAATGAATTAGCTAATAACAATATCATTTTATTTGGGTTGATAACTGAATGATATATGTAGATCAGTAATTTATTTATTTATCATATAGTTATGTTAAATTATTTTTTTATTTCTGGATTTATTTATTATTTAAAAAGATTCCAAAATTGACATTTTTTGATATAATTTAGTTAGTTATTATACTTTTAAATTAAATTAAAATGAAAAACAAAGCAAAATGTAAATATAAATTACTAAATAGTTATTTATTTATTTTCAATCTTTTTTTAAAAATTTAGAGAGACATCCAAATTTAGCTAATTAATTTAAAAAATTACCAATAAAAATAATTTTAATTTTTGTAATTAATTTATGAAGATGATTCATTCATATTTAAATTTAAGTAAATATTTTTATTTTTTGATTTCAAGCATTTTTATTTTATATTTTTAATTTCAAAAGCTAAATAATAATCATTAATTTGTACACTCATTAACTCATTAGTCTTTTAAATAAATAATTGAAGTTATTCTTGTGCGTCTTCTGTTTGCACTTGGAGACCTGTTTGCCTTATATGCTAAATTTAGCATGATTGTGAAAACGAGAATTCCGAAACCTATTTCAAACAAGAGTCTAATTATGGAGGGGAAATTAGCATTTTCAAATTTGATTGGAATGTCATTCTAAGAAAGACTAAGAGCCGTTATATATGGATCCTAAACTTCTCTTATCTCTAAAGTCAAATCTTCAAAAGATAAATTTTCTTGAACTTAGGCAGCTCTAAATACTTAATAAACATTGTTTTTATAGCAGCCTCTTAAATATTCTACTTATTTTTTAGGAGTAATTTGAACTACAATGCAAACTTAAGTTAACACTTCATATTGAAAGCAAAACTGCTATCCGTCAATTATTTATTTGATTCCCTGCGTGCAAACACATTCACTACATTCAGTTTTTATTTATTTCCATGGGGAGATCTTGATTCCTGTTGCATCTACTTTATCATACTTATTACTAGACATTAAAGAGCATTAAGGCTCTTTTTAGAGTGATGAATAGCTAGACTTATGATAAATAACCTTTTTAACTTTATCATAATATTTTATCTGTAAGCAATATTATGCTGAATCTCCTAAAGGAACATTAAAGTATTCAAAATCAAAAACACCAAATAAATATTCATTGTTTTTGAACTATTTTTCAAAATATCCAGGAGACACTGTCAAGTTAAATCTCTTGTCAGCAGTTTAAAAAGGGATTTTCTCTAGCTTCCTTTCTTTAGAAAATGATTTTACAACTAATTCAAATTTATAAGATTTAAACTCCTCAGCCATTTCAGTATTTGCCCATAATTAAATAGATTCTTACAATTTTATATTATTTAGATATTCCTACTCATTAACAGGGTTGAACAGCATGCATCCAAATGAAATGCTTATCAGAATTATACTAATAAATCCTAAAATATACATGAATACCATCAAAACTTTAGGAATCTTGTTATTCCTTAATTCTAATATATCTAAATTTGTCCCTTCCTCATCACTATCCTTGCGTTAATTAAGTTGACTATTCATTCTAAAATATTTAATAGAGAAATCTTTATTAATAAACTTAGCTATATAAATAAATACATCAAATTAATTTAAAAAAACAAACAAACAGACAAACATAAAGACAGACAGACAAACAAACAATATAATAATAAAAAATAAATACTGTCATCCCTTTATAATTAAGAAAAAAATATTTTAGAACCATTTTTTAAATTTTAGAAGGATATTGCTCTAATAAATTAGTTAGAAGGGTATTTGAAAAATTAAAATTAATGATCCTCACATTATATATTAATTATGATTTATAAAACAATAAATCTTACTTTATTACTTTTAATTAATAAGAATTGGTTTTGTTGGTACTCTTTTATTTTGATTAAGAGTTTAAAAATTATATTATCATTAAAAATAATTATGACATATATGCTTATATACATACATAAATGCAACTCTTATTATAATTTATTTATTTTTTAATAAATTATCTTAAAAAATTAATTAATTTATTCATTCAAAGTAGAAGTGACTTATTAAATAATGACTAACATATCTCATATCTTATTAAATATTTTTAAAACTATCTTTATTCAGTATATTTTTGCTTAACTAAATCTCTATGCTCTTACCTCATTCCAACACAAAAATAGCAATCACACCATAAAGAAACATGTCTTCTTTAGAAATGAACATAAACTAAAGCTTAACCTTTTTGTTTGTATTTTTTAGACTGAATAGATCTATTTATTTCTTTGAAGTCCATCTATAATGAATTTAATTTTTTATATTATTATTTTATTAATTTAAAATCATCCTATTCATAATTAGATACTTATATATTTATAAATTGAATAGAGTCTATTAAAAATATATCAACTTTTACAAGCAATTAAAAAAATTAAGATATTATAATAAATTAAACCTAAAAATGATGAATCATTTATTCATTCTTTCATTCATTCATTGATTATCCCTAACTACTAATATTCTTAAATTTAAAAATTAAATAGTGTAAATTGAATAGAGTCTACTAAAAATATAGCAACTTTTACAAGCAATTAAAAAAAATTAAGATATTATAATAAATTAAACCTAAAAATGATGAATCATTCATTCATTATCCTAAAATACTAATATTCTTAAATTTAAAAATTAAATAGGGTAAATCCTCCTTAATTAACATCAGCTCAAAAAAAATAACTTTTTCTACAAATATTGGCAAAAAAATTAGAAATAACAACAGACAAGACAAATTTTTACTACTAATTATCTTACTATTCCTCACTTTATATATTAAGCACAATTAAAAGAAATAATTCAATTAAAAATATTTTATTTTTTCATAAATATGAAGCAAAAACTTCTTCAATTATATAATTTGATGTAATAAATAAATAACTACCAACAAAATAAAATTTTAAGAAATAATTTGTTCTATTTATTTTATTCTAAAAGATAAATAAAATGGCTCTTTTTATTAAAGCATTTACTTAGTTTTTAATTTTTAAATTCAAAAGCAAATAGATTGATTGATTAATGAATAACTAACTAAATTATATTCTATCAGTTATAGAATATTTCTATATAAAAATTAAATTGTTTATTTTATAATAATTGTTTGTCTAGTCTTGCTACATTCGATTTTAGTTAGCTTAATCAAGAATGACATCAAATTAAATATATTTATGCTTTGAATATACACTAATTATCAGTAAGATACATTAATATATTGTATTATATCTCAATTTTCTGATAAAAAATGATATTTTCATCTATCTTAAGATCGATTGATTCTAGTTTAATTTGATTAAATTCTTGTAATTATTATTTACATAAAAATAATCAAAAAAAATCATTAATTTGAATTTCCTAAAAATAATATCAATCAATAAGAAATGGATGCTAATAATAAAGGTAAAAAGTAAAATTAAACTAACTCTAAGCCTGAGGTAATTAAACTAAAAGTTGGAGATGATCAACAGTTCCAAAAAATAGGAATTTGTCTTTTAGAAAAAGTAAAGAATGAGCAATCAGAAAAATAGCTAGAGGAAGTGTAGGTTAATTTGTATTATGATCAAAAGTTAGGATATGCAAAATTGATAGATGCTTAAAAGTAGCAATAGGATAGACAAAATTTAGTTTACTAAAATATTATTTTGTAGCATGCAAATACTTGCCCTCATTTTCAATTTAGTAGATTAGACTAACAATTCTAACTTAGTTAGTAGACTACTGGAGTAGCAGTTTGCGGAATCATAATTGATAAAAATAATTATGTCCTACTCACTAAAAGAAATCCTGAAATGAGAACATATCCTCGTTGTTGGGTATTTCCTGGAGGTTAAGTTGATTTAGGGGAAAGTTTTTTGAATACAGTTTTTAGAGAAATTAAAGAAGAAGTTGGATTAAACATTCTTTTGCCTCAAAGTCAGTAAGAGGAGAACTTTGACTTTGAAGAAGAATTCGAGCAGTAATCTCCAAAAAACTAATAAAATACCATTGAAGAAAAAGAAGGAGGAATAGAAGAAGAACAAGAAAATATGTTTAAGAGATAAACTAGATTGTAGAAGAAAATTTAAGATTAGAAAAAGAAAGTAGAAACAAATCAATAAATGAAAAAAGAAGATTTTTTAACAAAAAGTGCAGTGCACTTAATGGAAGACCCAAAACCTTTATTTTTATATGAAAGTGTATTCCCTACAGATATCAAAATAAACTACCCACAAAGATCAAGTCTTGTCATATTTTACGCATTAAAAATTAAGGAATCTTTTAAGGATATTCAGCTATCTTAGTAAAGAAAAGAAATTGATTATAGTGCTTGGATTCCTTTAGAATTGTTGAATAAATTGATTGAAGAAAATGCAATAAGTGACAGTGAATTTTTATAGTAGTAGATAGAAACAGGAATATCTATTAATCATAATTACTTCCCCATCGGTCATAATTGTTTTGTAGGAAAATATCCTAACTAGTTAGGAGAAGGTATTGGAGAAGCCCACATCAAAGCAATAAGAATGCTCAACCTCAAATATAATAAAAGCACTAAAGTCATCAAAATAAAATGAGCACAAAAATTAAAATCCAGCAAGCTTTTAATTAATTTAAGCTTTTTAGTTGAAATTTAAAATTAAAATTTAATAATTTTATTAAATTTACTTAGAAAATGAAAAATAAATTTAAATATTTAATTAAAATAAATATTTTTTTTTTTTCTAAGCACTTTGCTGATGAGTAATTAAATAACTAACTAAATATCTATCTAAATTGAATATAACCAACCATTCGATAGTTTTTTATATAATTTGTTGTTTGTTTGTATGAATGAATAACCTATTTTATTACTTATTTTCTTTTAGCAGAAAATTACTTTATTTAAAAAATTATCTTAAAAAATTATTTATTTTTACTTTTAATTTTTAACAAAAAATGATATTGAGAATAAATCCATAGAAAAACACAAAAGCTTTGCTTTAAAAAAATATTTCTAATTTTATTAAAATCTATCTTTGTTCATAAAAAAGTTTATTGAATTCTCCATAAAATTTTTTTGCTTTAAGTTTGTACTTTAGTTTTAAATTACATCAGACTAAAAATTAAAATTTTATTTCAATTTTGAAATTATTTTTAAATTGTAAAACTAAATTGATAATTAATTAATAAATAAATACATTTATTTTATTAATAAAACATATTTTAAATAAATAAAAAAAAACAGAAAGAAAAAAAGAATTAGCTTTTCAAACTTATTCTGTTTCTTAATATTCATCATTATTTTCATCTATTTATATGTTTTTAAGATCAGGATAAAATGTTTTATCGTAAACCAAGGTTAATACTTTATCATCGTTTAATAGTTGCTCGATGAGGATTTCTCTCATCTCCTTAGTAAATGATTCCTTCTAATCATTTTTAAGTTTACTCTATAATGTGCTTAAGAGCTGTTTACTTGAAGGATTTTTTGACTAATACTCTTATTTAATTTTATCTACATTTTTTTTAATAATGACCTCCAATTCACTCTTAGACTCTATTTCCTTTAAATACATTAATTTTAATTCTCTTGCTCTCCTTTGTTCTTTTCTCATGGTATTCTACAACGTTTTGAGAGTCTTCTCAGATCTTTTTTTAAAAAATGCTAAGTGTATAAAAATACTCAATATTTATTCAATCATTTACCTATATATTTGTTCTTCTTTGCTATAATACCCAGTTCCTTACTTATATAAATTAGACATATTGAATGATTACCCTGTTTTCTCCATATCTTTTGTTTTCAATAAAAAAAATTAGGATATTTAATAAAACATCATTTAATTAATGATAAATTCAAATTAATTTTTATAAAAATATATTTAATCATTGACAATCTTAATTAGTATATAAACTTTTAATATGCCATTTTTTAATGATAACTAGTAAATACTTTTTATTTTTCAATAATCTATTTCTTTCTCATAAGCAAAATTTTTTTATTTCAAATCTATATTCAAGGCATATTTAAAACTTAATAAGTTCTTAGAAATAAAATTAATATTTTTCATTCTATTTAATAGCAATATTTTTAATAAAAAAAATGACTATAAAGCATTTGAAAAACTTACTTGATTATCAAATTATTATTAAACATATTTTTAAAAATTACTTGAACATAGTTTTTATTTAAATAAATAATAAAATAAATTTTCTTGTTAAACCAAATTTAAATGTGTTAATAAATTATTTTCTCTTAATTTTAACATTCTTTTCAATAAATTTTAAGTTCCATTTCACTTATATTTTATTATTGTAATATATTAAATCTATTTTTATTTTAAATTCCATTTTTTTCAAATAAAATTTGTTAATTTCTATTTATTTTAAAAGCTATTTTTATTTAAATCTATAAATAAATACCTATTATTTTCAAATTTTTAAACAAATCAATCTTTTATCAAATCATATTTATTTTATTTTATCTTATTTTATTAATTCTTTTATTTATTTATTTTTTTTTTTTTTCAAGTTTAATTTTAAATTTACTCTGCCTGGATTGGAAATGATTGCCATTACTCTTATCGTTCAAAAGTGATTTAAATTTTTAAGACGAAGAGGTTTTTCTCATGTCTTCGTTTTCTTCGTCATCAATGTCTTTAGTAGCTTCTTTAAATAGCTGCTCGTATTATTCAAGCTAACTTTTTAAAATAGCATTTTTCTTTTTTTTCATGATTAATTCTTTCAAAAGCATTTCTCTATCATTTTCTTATGTTTAATATTATGCTTTCAAGTCCATGTACTTTTTCATTAAATTATGGTTTTCATTGTCAATCTTTTAAGCTATATTTTTAATCCATTCTAATTTGCTTGTGAGTTTCAATTCTTTTTCCACATAGTCTTAATCCCTGTAAAATGAATGTATAAATGAAGTTTAATGAAAATACCATTTTAAACATAAATAATTAATATTTGTTTATTATTCGTTTGTTACTTTTTGCCTTTCTTTATTCTTTCTTCTTCAAACTGCTTTTTGATTTCAGTGATTTTATTGTTGAAAAAACGTAGAATATCCTTTTCCTGGTCGAGAATAATTTTGGATGTTTTTAATTAAATATTGTCAATATTATCCATAATCATTTTATGATAATCTTTTGCTTCTTCCAGTTTTTTGCTTTCTGCATTTTCTGGGACAGCTTTATTTTTAATTTCATTTTTCAGATCATCAATAATCTTTCTGTATTCTTATTCTCTCTTTTAAAATCTATCTTTTCTATTTTCAATTTCGTCCAAGAGCCTCTTATTTTCCTTTTTCTATTCTATCAGCGTTAATTCCAATTAATTTGAAACCTGCAAGCAATCTTTGGAAGAGTTTTCCATTTTGATTCCGCCTAAACCTGTATTGATTTCATCTGAAAATATAAATATGATAAATATTTTTATTCAAATAATGTGTGAATCTTACTTTTCTTTTTGAATTTATCAACCTAAGTAAGTGGAGCTTTGAAAGATTTTTGATTTTCTTTATTAATTAACAAAAATTAAAATGATTTTAATTGCATTTATCTAAGATTTACCCTAATAATCTGCCATAATTCTATATAATTAGTTATATTTTAATAAATAGATCAATATCAATCAAAGAAATTAATATTTAATAATATCGAATACACACTTTAAATAGTCGATAATTACTGTTTTTTTTTTGTAATGAAATTATTAAATAATTAGTACCATGCAAATAATATCTATTTATTACAGTATTTATAAATGCTGATGAAACAAAACACTAAAAAATAATTTTGTGATATAAATTGATATTGATATAACATAATTTTCAAAAAAACTTAAGAATAATATTGAATTAGTTTAGTGAGCTAGCTATTTATTTATTAATTTGTTCACTTGTGTTCTTTTTTCAATCTTATTCTTATAATAATTATAATAATAGGTTATTTATTTATTTAATAGCTCCTATTGACTGAAATTTATTTATTTCCTTTTGCTGCTATATAAAAAAGCAAGCATTCAGAGTGAGTAAACAAATAACCATATAATTTATTTAGAAAGTAAGTAAGTTAGTTAGTTAGTTCTCCTCATATTGGCACTAAATTTATGAAAATTATTTCCTAATTATTAAATATTTCTAATTTAGCATCTTCAAAATAAAATTTATTAATAAAAATAAATAAATAAATAAGTATTTTATTTTATAATTGATTCAATTGTTTGGCTATTTTTCAATATTATTTTTTTAAAATTCAAATATTTAATTTATTGAATAACAAATTAATTTATTATGAAAAAATAAAATAATTGATTAATATTATAATACTTGTTAATTTCGCCATTTAATTAAAATTAGTAAAAAATAATTGCTTTTTAGCTTATTTACTTATAAGAAGATAATAAATATCATTCATTAATAATATTTGGCAGAAAAAATATCTGTTTATTATGAAACCTTTTTTGAGATTTTTAATAAATAATGTATCTTATAAGGTAATTAGCAATTTCTTTTCTAATATAAGGGAAATAATCAAAAATATTGATGTTAATTAATAGACTTAAAATCTATCTCTATTTACTTATCTTTTGATTGTCATTCTTTCGAAACTACTACTATTACTACTAATTTTTGTTCTGATAATCAATCAATTATTCATTTTAGATTTGAATCTCTCTGATCTTTAGTTAGTTAGATAGTAATTCGTTTCATTTCCTGCTTATCATTGGTAGGGCTTTTCTAGAGATATTTTCGTTCTTTTCTATATGAAATCAGGGTCAGGTTGCAGCTCATCCTTAACAAAAGTAAAGCTCATACAGTTGTTTCTAATCCACTACTTAACGATTTCCATTTATTTTGGATCATTTTTGTAGTTCTAAATATGGTCATTATATCTATCATTAGTCATGATGAATGCATTCTTCTTTCTTGCATAATCTATCATGTAAGAGTCATCATAGCTCTAGTTTGGTATACCTGTAGCATAACCCTAATTAAATAATTTAAAATCTGAATTAATTTCAAAATCTTTATTTATTAATTTCTTTGATCAAATTTATTTACCTGGTCTCTTAACTTGATTAAAGTTTCTACTTCGTCTGGCAAAGTCTTGAACTTTTCAGGAATCTTTATTTTAAGATGAAAATAATTAAATTAACATAAAAACAACACAATATTTTTTATTTATTTATTTATTTGTTTGTTTACTTTTTCTTTTTGGAATTTCTATCTTTTCTTTTCGATTTAATCAGCACTAAAACAGAAATCTGGTAAAAATACAAGCACTTCAGCCTGATGGTTAAGCCAAAAATCAACAACAATCTGGAGGCCTTTAGCACAGAAGGTAGATTAACCATATCTGATAGCAACATTCATACCATCTATGATTATCAATTGCTTGCTATCTTGCTATGCACTACTTTCCTAATAAAAACAAAATCATAAAATTAATTAATCATTTTAAGGAGTATTTCTCAATTTTGCATTAAAAAATATATTTTTGCATTCTTTAATTTATTTCAAAATTTTGCTTTAAAAAATTTATTTTATTTGGTTTAAATTTCTTTTCTGTTTTTAAGTATTTATTTTAATAAATTTATTGGAATCATTTTTAAGATATTATTTAATATTTCTTTTGCAAAACATTCTAAAATAAAATTAATTCTTTTCTTATCTTTGATCCTTTTGATCATATTTTTTTATAGGAATCAATTCTATTTCTTTCAAATAATTTATCATTCATTTTTATTATTCAATAGAAAATCCTTATTTTACTTTTTGCAAATTTGTATTTGCTAATTAATAATATAATCTTTTTTAGAATATTTCATTTTTTATTATTAAATAAATTTTAGATTTAGTTACTTTTTAGGGAGTTGTTTTCAAGAAAAAGAAATCTTCTTGGTCTTGTTTATTTGAATCAACTTATTCGTCTTCTTCCAAAATTTTGAAAGACTCTATTTTTGGAAGCTTATCTAGGATAATAAAGAGTTTAAGAGGGTATTAGAGAGAGTCATCTTCAAGGATTTTAAACTTATCCTTGTTGTTCTCGAAGTAATGGTTAAATGGTGTATAGCCTATCATTTGAATTTCAGTGTCACACAAATAGTTGTCGCATAGAGTTTCATAGTAGCTTTTAGGCTTGTGCTTTTCAAATTCAGCAAATCTTTGCTTGGTTTTTTACAGAATCTTGTTAAAAAGAGTTTAGAAATGTGAGAATTTAGTGAAAAGGTAATCAGAAACAGCCTAGTAAGAGATGAAATAGCAGATTATAGGAATAACTAAATCAGTAAAATAAGGTACATCATAATTGACATAAAGCTCAAGGATCATATTCAGGATTCCATAAGTGTATTTCAAACAGTTGCTAGCCAAATTATCATTTTCAAGAATCTTTACATCTAAAACTTAACCTTCTTTGAGCTTTATATACTCTTGAAATTTACTTAATGAAAAAACTACCATCATAATTACATAGGTTAATAGTGTAGTTTGATCTTTCAAACTTACCTCTTATTGAGATTAAATTTGTTATTACAAAAGTTGCAAATGCTATTGCAAATATTCAAACATGGGAGCATGTATTTACATATTTTCAATTCCAATCTTTGTCAGAACAATGTTAACAAAACTCAAAAAGTGTAAAATGAAGAGTTTAAATGTATCTCTCTTATCTATCTTTCCATAACTATTATGTTCCTGCATAAACTAGTAGCACTTTTATCTGTTTATTTCTAAAAATTCCTGCAAATTTTCCTTACAAGGATAAGATTATTGACTGCAAAGTGCTCTTATACACCAGTAGATTGCAGAAAACTGATCATCACTCATGTAACTTAAAGCTAAATTTAAATAATTTATATTGAAAAAAATCCTATTTAATTTATTTTACTTGCTAAGACCAAAAAGAACTTCCCACAAAAGGGATAAATGCTAATAGCTTTCATATATTAACCAGCTGCAAAATGCATGTTCTTAATATTTGGAGCTGTCTATGTTCTTGAAACTTTCTCTCTTTATTTAATTAACAAAGAAAAATAAAAAAAATATTTCCTTAACTAAATTAAATTTTACTTCAATTCAATAAGTTCTCCAAAGTAGCAACATAAATTAGCGATTATTCTTCTTTTTTAGTTCTTTTATTTGATTTCAGAACATAGCTCAGACTTGTATTTCTATAAAATTTTTATTATTTTACAAAGTAATTTTTGAATGGAAAAATTACCTCAATAACATCCTTTAGCAATCCTCTTAAGAATTAAATCTTAGAATCGAAAATATGGAGCTAATCTTAGATATTTGTGCTTACAAGTTTAAACTTTTTGCTATACTCAATCTTCTTTTTGTAAATATCCCACAGTCTTTAGTCAATTTTTTTTTCACTGGCTGTTTCTAAGTCAGATAAAATAAGAACTCTTGCAAGTTGCTAGAATAGCTTAAAGATTTCAGTTTCCATTTCTTGCTTATCAAAAATAACTTGATTTTCACTTTACATCTTTTTATAAATAGTGAATTAAATAAAAAAATTAATGAATGGATTGATGCGAGTACAAATTAATATTTAGATATGCATGTTAGCATGTATGTTAATTTAATTTAATGTAATTGTTTATTTATTTATTTACTGTGAAAAATAGAGAGTTTTTCTTTTCTGATAATTTAAATAATTGGTATAAGTTATTCCATTCATATTCTTCCATGTTTGTCTCTTTAAAGATATCATCTAAGTTAACCTAAAAATCAACTTAATCTACAATACTGTCGATGTCAAATTCTTCATTGTTTTTCTAATTATTGTGGTGGTTACTGTTTGAGCTGCTGCCTTCAAATTTATTTTAGCCGTTTCTGTTTTTAGAGTTGTGAAAGTATTCATCATCTCTTTAGTGATAGATATTAAACCTTTTGTCTTTACTAAATTTGATGTCTTTGCTGTTAAAATAATGCTCAATTTTCGATCTGTCGTATTGCTAATCAACATTTGCATTTGGATTGTGTCCATTTGGGTCTATTTTTTTCTCTCTTTTATTTCTTCTTCTGCCATCGCTGTAATCATCATCACTGCTATCATATTATTTTTATTATCTGTTCTGATTGTTATTTCTGTTTGTATTCTTTTTTTTGCTATTTCTAGAATTATTGAAAGAGCTATCATCATCTTCATCGTCATCGTAATCATCATTCACTTACCTAAATTAATTTCTAGGGTAAAAATCATTTTATTTTCCATTCTGCCTTTATCCATTATTTTGATTTCTGTTGTCATTATTAGAATTATTGTTTTTATTCTAATCTCTTTGCTAATTTTTTTGATTATTCTTCTATGCTTGATGGTTATTACCGTTGTCCTAATTAACTTACTTAGTTTCATACTCTTGGTAAACTTTTTACTACCTTCTTTTATTTTACGCTTAGTAATAATGCTCTTCTTCTTCTCTTTCTCTATCTTTAAATTAAACTATTGAAATTAATTATTTAATTAATTAATTTTGAGCAAAAGCCTAAATAAATGCAATGAATATTTCAGAATTTACTCTAAGATCCATTGTTATTGTTATTGCTATTATTGTTGTTGTTATTGTACCCCTAGTTGCTTTAATTAGAAGATGGCTTTTATCCTCTACCGTTATATTTAAATCGCTATTCCATGTATATTTTAGATTTATTTATGTATGATCAATCTATCAAGCTAATTCTAGTGATAATTTATTGTTCTAAAATTTTTAATTATTTAATTTAAGCTAAACAAAAATTATTTAATTAATAGCCTTTATCTTAGATCTATCTAAAATTTCTATACTAATTCAGCTTTAATAGACAATTCATTTAATTAACTTAGACGCATACATACATATACACATATATACATATATCCATCAGAGAAATCTTCAATCAAAATTCTATTTCAATTCTTTGGAATTTACTGAAGATTTATTATTTTCAATAGAATTTTAGTTAGTCTTTAAAGCTAATTTAATTATTTTTATTTTTATTTTAAATTTCATTTAGTGAGTAATTTTTGCTCATTGTTAGCATATAAATGCAGTCAACCTATTAAATAATAATAATTGTAAATATATTTATCAATCAATTTAATTAATTAAATTAAAGTCTATTTGGTATTTTAAAAATAAATGCAAATATAATAATAATAAATTAAATAAATTATTTATCTTTTGGTTATGTTAGAAACATAGCAGCTAATTAAAAAATGAATTATATGCCATTATTTATTTATTTATTGTTTTAAATTACGAGGGATACACAGAAAATTAATTTTATAGTTATACCTCTCAATGTTTAAACTTTAGAATTTTAGAATGATTAATAAAGTATTAAAAATATTATAATTTCACATCTCGTTAATAAGTACTTAAAAATTATTTTTATCACTTAAAAATATAAATTATAAATCAAAATATGTTCATGGAGTACAATTTATTTTATTATTAACTAAAAACAAAAAATAAAAATAATTTATAAAAAATATAAATATAAATTAGAGAAAAAAAGAAATATTCAAATTTAAAATTAGAAATTTTAATAAATAAGTTTAATTACTGACAAATATGATTTAATAAATGATTTTATCATATTAAATTAACAAAATTTTAAATAAAAAATTAAAAATAATTATTTAATTAAATTAATATGTATTTAAATGTGATATTTGATGCTTTTAAATATATTTAGATGCCACTTTTTTTATTTTTTTAAATTACCTATTAATTCAGAAAGATTATTATAAAAATGTATTTATTTATTAATATTTATTTGAATGATATTTTTAAGAAATAAGAAAATTTAAATTAAATTAATAAAAATCAAACTATTTTTATGCTAAGAAATATCATAAATAATATTTTAAATAACTAATAATAAATAATAAAACTAAAAATTTATTTACTTATTTATGACTTATATTTTTTGATCTTGTAAAAAGAAATAAGAATATTTATTTGAATTAAAATTAATCTAACATATCTATAAATGTTTTATAGCTATTTATAATTTTCATGCATTTTTTACATACATACATACATAAATAAATACATTAAGTGAAATAAATATATTTTTTAATAAGCAAATATAGATTTAAACATTAAATTAATCAAGTTTATTTAGAAATCAAAATATTTTAAAATTTATATAGATTTTATTAATTTATCTTGAAATTTAACATTTTATTACTTAACTCTTTTATTGTTTTTGAAAATGAACTTCAATAAGCAATATTACTAACTTACTAACTAACTAATTAATACTTTTAACAAAAAATTACAAATCTTTTAAGAAGTTATAAATACTGTTAATCTTCAATAATTTATATTGCATGATCATCAAATGAAACTAATTAGAAAATTTTTCTTGCAGTTAAAAGATAAAAAATTAATTTAATAACCAAGTGGTTTAATATTGAGATTTTAGGTTAATTAGTTTACATTATTTATTTTGTAATTAAATGTATGTGGTGTTTACTATTAATGGTAATCCACTATTTATTCATACTTTTAAAAATAAAAACTTAAAGGATAAATTTTATTTCAAAAGTAGAAAAAATTTCGTTACATACTTAAGTATTTAATAATTATTAGTAAAAATGAGGATTACTTAATAATTTAAATTTTTCAAAAAGCAAATTCATAATAAAAAAGAAAATTAAATTTTATTTTATTTTCAGGATAAGATGATTTTTATAATTTATTCATTATGTAACTTGAAAAACAATAAAGAAAAATATTAATAAAATTTTATGACAGAATCCACACGTTGCTTAGACAAAGGATCACAAGTTAGTTAATTAGCGATAAGAAATTATTATCCTAAAGTAAATTAATTTTTTTTATTTTAATTATTACTTTAATTTCTTTTTCAGTAAAATTTTGCCTTACAGGATTAATAATTAATAAAAGGAAAACATTGTAAGTTGACTAATTTAGATTAATATAATTTAAATTTACTCAAAATGTTAAAATAAATGGTAAGATAAAAAATACTTAAAATTGAATTGAAAATGCTTCTGAAGAGGTATTGGACATTAATTAAGTATGCTATAGAAAGAAGCTTATATTTACACTTATTTGTAAACAACAGTTCCTCAAATTTTTTAATTTTTTTTGAAAGTAACAACCTACATAAATATATCGATATTAATGTAACTAAATTTGATCATAACACATTACAAACTATAAATATTTTTGAATTGTTTCTATGAAAATTTTCTTTAAATATTTTCTTTTTCTAACAATAAGAAATACTTACTTAAAATCCAAATATTTATTATTACTGCAAAAAATGTGTAGCAAAAACATCTATTTGAGCAATTTTAAAAAATATCATGTACGCTAAAATCAGATAGATAAGTAATATTTATCGAGATGTAAAAACTATATTTTTTTAATTTAAAATTAAAATTTGCTCTATATTTTATCAATTAATAATGAATAAAAATAGTAATCTTATAATATTAGGGTAAGTAAATATTAATTATATGATAAATTATATTATTATATACTTAAATTTCTCATTTATGAGAGTATAATCTTTTTAAAATTTTTAAGATAAAACATATGCATTAAAATTAATAGTTTAATTTGCTTTAATAAAAAATTTTAGCTTTTAAAAATGAGAAATAAATAATAGCGTTGTATGCAAGCAAGTGCGTAGTATTTTAATTTTATATTACACGTATTTAAAAAAATTGGAAAAATTTAAAAGCTTGAATTTAAATTTACTTGATTACAAACATACTTCTCATGCTTTTGAAATTTATTTTTAATGTAAATATATTTTATTCAAGCATTTAAAAATAAGAAAATTAATTGAACTCCTAAATATATTTTTTAGGTCGGTAAAAGTGATTTATTTGTAAGTATCAAACAGAGTTCCTTAAATTCCGTATTTGAAAAAAGGTACAATATATGGATGAATAATATGCTTTTATGTTAATAAAGATAAAATACAAATAGAAGGACTAGAACAAAAAAGAAGTCTTGCAATAAAATGAAAAAAATAATGTAAACAAGTTTGAAAGTTAATAAGAACAAATAAATTTTTTTTGAATGATTTGTTTTTTGAGGTAGGGGATTACTTTGATTAATTTACTTTGTTTTATATTGGGAATTTAAATTTGAATTCAGTTTAGCTTTTGTATTTGATTATTTTTTATTTTTCAGTAATCTTTAAATGAAGAAAGATATAAATTAAATGTGTAAAGGAAATAAATAACACGTTTAAAATACATTTTTGTAAAAGAATTACTAACCAGTTCAATGTATGTGTTATAGAATAAAGTTATTCGAATGATTTATAGCATTTTAAATGACATAAAGTTAAAGATTTATATAAAAACAAATATAGACAAAATATTAACTATTCATTTATATTTAAATTAGTAAAAGATAATTTCAAATTTGTTTTCTTGATGGTTTAAATTGGTTTCAGATTGATTAAATTTTGTAATTGTAATTCATATGGTTTGAATGAACTAAATTGAATAGATTAATTAAATATAATAATTTAGAAATAAGTTTATGGATATTCAATCCGGGGATGAGTTTAAGTAATAAGCTAATTAGTTGGTTTTAAGAGGTTCATAAATTGATTAAGTATTTAATATAATTCTATTTTTTAATCCTTTTCATGTTTGATGCAGAAAGCGGGTTAGGTATTCATTATTTATGTCAGTCTGTCCTGTCGGTCGTTTTTTCTCTCATTTATTAATTTTATATGTGTATTTTTTATTGAAACAAAAGGATTACAGTAAAATATACTGACAATAAATGAATTAATTTAACTAAAATTTTCCATTCTTAGTTAACGATCTAAAATCTAGCTAGTATAATTATATAAATATGCATATGATTCAGTGTAATTCTTTTAATTGATTTCTGTCTATCTATCTATCTGTCTGTCTATTTATCTATCAATCACTGTTTCATTTTTTTTGATTATTTTTACTGAATCAATTTGTTGCTATTTTTTTAAAAATTTTAGTCGCATTAACTAATAATAGAGAAAACATCTTTTTATTTAGTTATTTAATAGACAAATCAATAAGCATTTATATAAGATAGTGTTAAGTAAAATGAGGGATTGATCTCAGATTAACTGAGCTGTCTTTTTTTGGTTTGATTTATTTTGGAAAATTTCGTGAAAGCCTGGATAGATGATGATCTAGACTTTCTAGCCATTATTTGTTTTTTAATTTTTTGATCCGTGTACCTCGAAATCAGAGATTAGATTCTTCTTATCTTCATATTCCTGCTTAATGGCATTATCAAGAATGTATTCAGTAGGCTAAATTCCTAATTCGACTATTTATTTTAACAACTCGGTCTAAAATTCCTCTTAATCTTATGTTTTTTGAGTATTGTAATTACTATAATGATTTACAGACAGTACTACGTTTCCCTTTGTGAAGAAATTTTAATTTCTGTCTTTAATTTCAACTATATTTTTACTTTCGAATTCTATTCCAGGAGATTTCTTTTCTTCGATATTAATTACATTTTGCTTTTTTTTCTTTTGCTGGTCCTCTTTAGGGGTCGCTGTATTCAATTCATCCTATTTTTAAAAAATAAATGTCAATGTTAATTTTGGAGTTGCTATCGAATTTCTTTTTTTAATTTTCAAGATTAAAAATAATAATTTTATTTTCAGATGAAATATTTTGAGCATAATTTACAAAAAAAATTATTCGAATAAATTAATAGTAGTAAAATTTTAGGTATGAATGAATGAATTGTTCATTATACTATAATTTATCACAAATAGTAACTAAGTAAAATTAATGTTAATCTTTTTGTAATTTATAAATAGATACAATATTAAAGTTAGCCAAATAGGTAGGAGCTCTTTAGTTGTTATCAATTTTTATTGGACTCACATAAAAATCTCCAAATAACCTCTTTTCCTGCTGCTGAGCAGGTTGGATTTATTTTTATTAGTTGTCTTTTTAATTGTAGACTTGAGAAGGACTCTGCAGTGTGTTTTAGTGAGTTAATCCATTCTTTTTTGGATTAGCAAAGATATTGCTGTTGTTGCATGCTTTATTATCTGTGCGAGAAGAGAAATCTTACTTTGAATGTTCACTCTCATCCAAATCTGATAAAGAATCTTTTAAATGTTTGTTTTTAATTCTTTATTTAATTGAAATTTCATCTTAATTCTACTAAGAGTCAGCATCTTTATTACTCACTAGAATGCTCTTTTTTTTATGTGTATTACTATGTAATAAAGACTAATTCTTTTTATTATGCTAGTTAAATTAATTTTCTTCGCTCATTTTAACTTCCTCCTAATTTTTTTGAGGAGTACTTTTTGCTAATTATTAGGCACTTTTGTGTTAAGCAACGCTAGAGGATGATCCCATTTATGACCTTTGTCAAATAAAATGTGATTTCTTGTTCTTAAATATAATTAATAAAAATCAATATTTATATGAAGTTTCTTCTACTAGCTTATTTTTTCTTTTAATTTTTTACTTTGAAACTTTATCAATAATTAATATGACTTAAGACAAAAAAAGTCTATTCACAGCCTCTATTTTTTTATATGTTTAAGCAATAGATTACTATTTTGTTTATATATAACCTTTAAATTTATGAAGTTGCCTTACTAATTGCCTGTTTCTTTTTTGGAAATTATCAAGATCACAGAGGCAAGAAATAAAAGATGGAATTTGTATTTATCTGATTGGAATTAATAGCTTTTGTTTAATTTATTTTGAATTGATATTTTTATAAAATATTTGAGTATAGAAAGGATTTTAATACAAGTGTGTTTAAGTCTATATAAAATATAAGTGTGCTAATAGATTTATATATATTAAACTATCAGCCAATCTAAAATATTACTATTTTAATATTTTTACCTATAATATTCACTTATTGTAATATTTACATTGTAGCAAGTATATAATTAAAATTTTTTTATTAGTTTGCATTTGTATTTAAAAGAGCACAAGCATGCCATTAATTTTTTCTCAATTCCTTACTGAATTTCTTTTAAACTTTCTATTTTACTAGTTTAAGAAGCTATTTTTTCACATACATAAGTAGTAATTTACTTTAACTTACAAAGATATAATAAAAGAATATAATTTAAATATATATTTTTGATATAAAATTCTACTTTTAAAAAAATTAATTTTATTTGCTAAAAATACATAAGTAACAAGCAAGATTTGTAACATTTTCACATTTAACAAGAATATAAGTTATTTTTTAAAAGAGTTTTTTTAATTTATCATCAAAAAAGGCCATAAAGATTTTTCATTGTTAATCATAGATTTTAATAATCCTTAAAGCCAAATATTTTCTTAAATGTTCAATTACAGCTAAATAAAGTAAAGTTTTAATATATCCTGCATTCAAAAATTTAAATTTATCAAAATTTAAGTGTTTCTCCTAAAAATGAATACAATTTATAAAGTATAAATTATAAAAATAAGATCGCTAAATTTGATTAAAATAATTGGCTGAAAACATGTTAAATTACTAGAGAAAGATACGTCTGAAAATTATTATTATTTTTTTGGCTTGAACGAGCTTAAGTAAATTAAATTATTGAGCTTAAAAATTTCAAAATTTAATTTTAGTACAGTAAAAAGTGCTGAATGCTCAGGATAAAGTAAATTTGTATTTTAATAGTATAATTTTCAACAATAGACAAATAAAAAACCAACTAATAAATTAATCAATCAAACAAGCAATTCTTTTTTGTATTATATAAAATTATTATCAGTGATTTTGAGGCTATTATGATTAAACAAACTGATAGAAAACAAAAGGACAAACAATACTGATTCTTAAGTAGGTATAGACAAAAAGTTATAATTAAAAATATGATTTATTTATTTATATAAAAATGTAGTATATGTTATTATTAAATAGTATGTATAAGGAATAGATAGTAAGGTAATAATTTATTGAAGTAACTTTCATAAGATTCTTTATAAAAATACCGATTCACTCTTATTTAATTAGATAGAAAATTCAACCAATTGATAGAGTTAGCAGTTCATAAGATTATATTGTTTTTTATATTTCCATATCTTTTTTTATTTATTATATTTACTAATATTTTCAAAATAAGTAAGGACATTAATTAGCATTCATCGTTCTTAAGCATAAATTTAAAATTTCAGAAAAGCTCTTAATTTTTTTCGTATTGCTTCTTTTGTTTTCTTTTATTGATAGAAAGATAGTGAGAAATAAAGAAAGAAATATAGATAGATAATAGATAGTCTTTCTTTGGTTTCTTATTTTAATTTGTTTGTTTGTTATTTTGTTTAATTGTATGATATTTCTTGAATTGATGTAGTCCAACCAAGATCAATAAATAGCAACTAATTAATTAATTTAATAGCCATAATTATACTCATATTAGGCAGCGTAATTTAATTTACCAATACATAATTTAATTTTGATTCGATAGCTTACTAAGTATAATATATTTGATGTTTATATTGAAATATCTTTTTTTAGTTTTATACTAATTATAAAATTTCTTTTGATTAATAAATCAATGGGTTTCTTGAAGTGAGGTATCATCGCTCAAACCTTACCTCGAAGAAATCATAACAGAGGAAGATAAATTTAAGGGGTTGAGAGGATATTGATTGTTCGTCATTATTATTTATGTTATGGGCTGGGATATAGGAGATTTGAAATTTTTATCTGAGTTTGACTAATAGCTTTACTGTACACCTTCATCTGTTTCTATTTTAATTACTTCTGATTTTTAATTAGCGTTGTTGCTGAATTTAGAAATTGCATTCTAATCGTCTTCTTCCTTTTTTTGTTTCTTCTTCAAGTTGCTGTGTGAAGAATCTTGAGATACTATTTATTGAAATGTAATTTAGTCATGTTCTAAATAAAGACTTATCTTTGAAAATGTTATTCATATCAAATTACCTACCAGATAAATCCATCAAGGATAAATAATTAGGCTAAAATCAAGATAGGTAGGTAAATTTATTGATTAAAATATAGAATGAAAACTTGGGGGACCTTTTGAAAGGTTTTTTTAAAGAAAGAAAAATTTTATGTGCTTACTTTATGATGAGTTCTATTCTTCATAATTAAGAAGAGATTAGGCTATTTGATGGGTTTCTTTGAGCCATATTTAAAGCCAGGGGAGTCTTTTAAAGCTCTTCATTTTCTATATTTTAATATGCAAATGCTATTAATATGGCGGCTTAGTTGAAGAAATAAAGTTGTTACATCAAGTTTATTTTTATCCATAAGGTCAAGGATGTAGTTTACAAATTTCTTGACTTTTTTTTCGTTTTCCTTGGCTGATATTTCTTCGAACTTATCTAGTATAATTTACATTTTTATTAAAAAAGATTCTTCTAATTTTGAAAAGTTAGATTTTAATCAGGAATCTAAATTTGATTTAGATCAAAATAAGTTGAAAGCAAAAAATAAAAAATAAAGCAAAGCAAATGTAAGGCCGCAGCTTCTTTTTTTTTATGAAAAAATGATTTTCTTTTCTGAAAATAATATTTTTTTGGTTGTATAATTTTTATTGTAACCCAAATTGAGAAGGATATTTAGTATGAAAGTAAAAAACAGTTTGGGTTACTTAAAGAAGGGAGGCGGATATTGAGAGAAAAGAAAATATGATGGATTGAATAATTTATGTTTTATTGGTAAAGGTTAAGATCTAGTTATTACATGTTATTAAAATTTATGATTTCTGTATTTAATTCTTTTATAATGAATTTGTGGTAAACAAATATTGCAATAGGGTAAGTAAGTACCTAAATATTAGTGGTATCCTTGAGAGAACGAAGGGCTCTTAAATATTTTCTTTAGGAATTATGAGTTCATAGTCTTTAATGAGGATTTCTTCCTATTAGAAATAAGCAATAAATATAATTAATACATTTTTAATAGGGGATTTTTTGCATAATTCACTGAAATAACTGATATGGTTTGCTCTAAAATTAGCAATATTTTAAAATTACTATTTGACATGTATTTGCTATATTTTGGAATGAAGTAAAAAATTTTAAATTCCTTATAATTAAAGATATTAATTTATTGATTGATTGATTGATTGATAGATTATGGGACGGGTGGCTCGCTCGCTTTTTTTTTTCAAATCAAATCAAATCAAATTAATTTAAAACAAGCAAGCAAGCACGAGTAATTAAACTAAGTTATGCGATTGATTGCATTCAGAAATAATTAAAATCTGTAAAGTCTATTTGCCATGAATTAATTCAGTACAGAGTACTTTATGATAAATACTAAACGCATTTCTTAATTTATTATTAAAATATTCAGTCTTTGCTTCACTGAGTGGAATCAGCATATTTTAATTGATTTTCCTCTTTTTTATATTAATTATCCCCTCATTTGTAGAAAATGGAAAAAAAAAATAAATAATCTTTGGTTTTTCCTCTTGTAAAATTTGGAGAAAAAGTAACAAAAAGAATCGTAATGGTCAGTAAACTCTGAAGCAGGTGAAGGCATTAGCTTTCAGTAGTAATGAAGTTTAAAAATCTCTAATTTTGCTAATTAAAATTATAAATGTTTCTTTTGGTGAATTAGGCTGATTCTTATTTCACATTTAATAAATATATATATATAAATAATGCGGCTTTCTTTCTTTGTATTTGACTAAAGTCGAAGAAAATCGGTAAAAATAAAAACAAAATGAATGTTTAGTATTGTATGTATTTATCTTTTTCTCTATCTTGAATAATTTATAAATGCATATCTCGATGTAATAAGTACTTTATTATTTAAGCTATCAATCTCTTTCTTGGGGAAAATGAGCAGGCTGAAATAATATTTTTCATGTAATACAAGAATGCAATGCAATCTTAATGATAAAACTTTGCTATTCTAAAAATGAGCTGGTGCATTTTTAATTGTAAATTTTTATGTATAAGCAAGCAAATGTATGTAAAATAGATAATTAATTACTTGAATGGCATGAATTAATCATCAGTGGAAAAATCAGTTGGGTCAAAATACTTGTCAAAGAAAGCCTTGTCCATTTCGCGCTACTGAGAAAGGTCGAATTGCTTCATGTCAGACTTCAAGAACTTGAAACATTTTCTGAGAATAAATTTAATCATTTCTTCCTTTGTTTTTTTGGAATATTAGTATTTATTCACAATTTAGTCATAAATTTAAGACTCTTTTTCATTCAAATACTTAATATCCTTTTTTCTTTCAAAAATTTTGTCAGTACTTAGAACTGTCATATTATCTATCAAAAAGTGCATCAATTCCGTAAGCTCTTCAGCTACCTTTTGTCGTTTCAGCAATTTTTCTTGGATACTTGGGTTCATACTAAGCTGCTCGTTTAATGATAACTGTGGGTTGGGAGATTCTTGAAGCAAATTGAACTAATTTTGATCCTTCTATTGCTATTTAACCTAAATTTGGTTAACATTACTGATGTTGTTTATGGAAGATTTTTAGTTAGCGGGGGAAATTTCTAGCTAGTTCAAATTGGTATTCACGCTAATTTGAGACTACGAACTGGCCTGAGAAGAAGAGCTCTAATTAAATGGATTGAAATTGGGGATATTCTAGCCAAAAGAGGGCAAGAAAGGCTCTATTTAAATATTGGCTTATTATTATTATTATAAATTCGCTTACTAAATGTAATATTTGTGGTATGCAATTTGCTAATCAATCACTTATTACATGTATAATAGAGTAGGAAGATTTTCTTTTAATTACTATACAACTCTATTTGGAGTAACAATTCCGCTTGTATTGCAATTTTTATTAAAATTTTTACTCATAATATTGCTATTGCTATTTTCGTTTATTTAGCCCATTAAAATTTACTACTACTTTTCTTCATCCGGCATAAGTTGACTTAGTGATTTTATTTAGTTTTATGCACAATTATATTGTTATTATTATTGAAGTTGTTGCTAATGCTCGTTTGTATACATTGGAGTTTAGCTGTAGCTCTTCTGCAACTGAATTGATGGTATTTCATTTTGGGAAATGGTTGAGCCAGTAAAATTGTTTTATGATCTGAAGAGATTCTGCTAATGCTATTATTGTAGCTACTATAGTTCACTCTAGCTTACCAAAGAGCTATTATTGTTAATTTAATCAATAGAAGACATTTAAGGAATTTAGGGTAAAGGTAAATTCAAATTTAAATTGAATGGAATTTGGCCAAGACTCTATACTGACTAAAACATGAAGGGGAATTATTGACTAGAGAGAATAGGACTACTAACATTGTTCGAGGTCTAGAGGAGACTCTATTGACTGGTTGGAATTCCAAGATTAGTTCCGATATTCATCAGATACTTCTTTTATTAGGTAAAAAAAATAAGCTTTAGTTTTTATTTTAGTTTTAATAAATTAACTAATGAAAAATTAGGGAATATTGATTGATATGAGACAAAAATTTATTTGAATTTGGGAAAAGAACAAAGAAACAAACAAACAAACATATCGAAAAATTAAATAAATATAATTCCATTTAAAGTTAGTAGTTATACCTTTTTTTAAAATTATTAAATTTTTGAGACTTGTAAATCTATATTTTTCCTTTAATTAGGGTCTGTTTGCAGTGATAGCTTATATATGTATAGAAGAGGTGTTTTCTATGATTGGTAAAGGTGAAGGTGAGCGTTTAGGGGTTCGCAAATGGGTATTTTCAGATCTATCTTTTCTTTAAAAAAAGTTCGAGTTAGCAGTAGATCTTGTTTTGCCTTCCTTATTAGAAATTTGAGAGTAGTAATTACTACAGGTTTATTTATAAGTTTTTATTTACTCTTAATAATATGATTTATATTAAAAATTTTCCCTCAATAATTATTATAAATAATTGCATTTGATCAGTCTTTAAGATATTTTTTTTTTATTATTTTCTTCGATGCACGCAATTCCAATTACAGTAAAAAAGTAAATTAGTCAAACCACAAACAAAAAAAAAACAAACAAACACAAAAAAAAACTAAAAAACAAACAAGAAATAAACTAACAAAAAAAATAAATTAAACAAACAAACAAACAAAGCAGATAATTTAATTAAACAAACAAATTACAAAGAAAGAAAGAATCAAACAAACAAACAATAGCAAACAAGTTAATACATAAAAAATCAAATAAAAAAAGAGAGGCCAAGTAAAGTTACTTATTCCTAAATATACACAAGCATAAATTTTAATTATTTTCTTTTATTTTTCATATTTCTTAATCTATTTATATTAACTTGATTTTTAAATTCATAATTTATTTAGGTGTTTCTTTCTTAATGAAATCTGTGCAAAAAAAGCATTCTTTTCTTGATAAATACCCTTTCCCCATTTCAAAATTAATATCTCTCTATTTATCTATCCCACCGCATCATCTTGTTTATTTATCTATTTACTTAAATATTAATTTGTATTGTATGTAATCTTTCATTCACTTTTTTGAATATTATTGTTCATTCTTTCCTCAATCTATTTATCTATCTCCAAAGCGCTAATTTATATCACATGTTTTTTTCTAAATTATTTTTAAATAATTCCAGAATTAAAAATAGATAGAGTACCATATACAATATGAATTTATACTTAGACACATATCTTAATCGAAATATACACTTTTATGAATACCATTCGAATTCAAAAATTAGTCATGTTCTCACCCAAATTAGCTCTTTCCTGCAATCCATTCTTTACTTAGAAATAAAAAACACTTTAAATCCGCAAATTCAAGAAATGAACCATTTATTATAAAATAATAAATCAGATTCATTTAAATAAGTTTTAAATGTGCTTTAAATTTAGTAATCTAGATGTTAAGCAAATTGCTCTATCATATAATTTACATAATTGAGATAGTCAAATATTGATTCGAGTAATTCTATTCAAATATTTCTAAAAATTTACTTCATCAAAATATTTATTTTGTATTTTTTCAAAATTTCTATTTTTTGAAAACAAATAAACACCAATCATTCAACCATAATAAGAATTTTTCTACATCTAATCTATTATTTTACTTTTAAAATTATGAAAAACTAGTACGAATTAGGAATGTGTAAATTCATAATTAAACCCAATAAAAAGCAAAAAATCAAACAATTAAGTAAATAAATAAATCAATGAATGAATGAGTGTTTGAAATATATAAATGTTTATCTATTTTAGTTAATTTTATTTACAAATCTCAATCAACTGCATTACAAATATTAAATTTTAATACTTTTTATTAATAAAACAAATAAACGCATCCAATTAAGAAAGCTTTACAATAGATTTATTGCTAATTTTCTTAGGCTTTCACCCTACCCCTTTCCCTTGTAAAATAAAGCATGTTGTAATTTTTTTCTATATTTGAAATATGTATTTTTTACTGTTCAATATTTGTAAGATATTTTTAAATTTGGATACATACCTACTATCTATCAATTAACTTTGGCATCAATTTGGATAGAAAAATTTACCAATACTTCTATTTAAAGACATTAAACAAATAAATAAAAAATTTCCAAAAGAATTCACCAAATTTAAACAAACCGAACAATTCGTTACTTTCTGAAAAATGTATTCGAGCGAAATAATTTAATCGCTAATCTATCTGTCTAGAACATATATTTTATATCTTTACTATTTAATTTACACTATGTCTCCTCACTTTTAAGAAAAATTACTTTAATTAAACTAACTTTCATACTTTTTAAATTAATTATTTGTTGAGATGATAATTCGCGTAATCGGTAAACTAAATTGATTTTTGGCCTATAATGCAAATCGAACCCTATTTATTAATGAAATTAAGTAGAAAAATAAATTTAAAACATTTAATTTTGCGCATTAATGAACTTATGACGCAGTTATGCTTATATTGTTTGTAACCTCATTTCAATATGATAAAAAATAAGAGATCAAGAATACATTCTAATGTGTAATTAATAGAATTTTTTTTTTTTTTCAACATATAAAAAATTATATTTAATTTGTTTTAACTGATTCGGAAATAAAAATTACTTCAAGGCGTTTAGGATTAATTGATGTATCCAATAGCATTAAAAAATAAGAATAAAAAACATTTTTTACAAACACAAAATACAAAATTTAAATATTAAAAGAAAAGATTCTTGGTATTTTAATATCAAATAAGATATTAAACTCAGTAACAAACATTAAAAATAAACAAAAAACACTGAAGTCTTTATTAATTTATTAAATTTTCTCAGCTAAGTAAAGTCAAGCAAGCAAGAAAAAATCAAGCAGTTTTTAAAATGCATAATGAATGAATCAATCAAAGGTGTAAGTAAACAAACAAACAATCAATCAAAACAAAACAAAATAGATACTTATCATTAGACAGAATAATTAAGATTTTTAGTAATCTAAATAAGTAACTAGAACCACCTTAGAACAATTTTTATTGAAAGGACCAATATTTCTTTTATTTGTTTTAGTTTTCTAGTAAAGATAATTAAACAAAAATTTGTTGAAATATTACTTATTGCAGTCTAATTCTGATATCCTATGACCTCCTCACCAGTTTAATTTCTCCATATACAAATATGAATCTTCTTTCTTTTTTTTATCTTTGATTAATGAGCGTTTTAGTTTATCTGTTTGTTTGTTTACTCTTGATATTCTTAAATTCAATTTTTAAAAATGAAATGAAAGAAGATAATGGTCTGTCTATTTATTCTTCTATTTTAACTTTATCCTTAAAGACTACATGTCTCTCAAATTCAAATTCAAGGATTGATTGATTGATTGATATGATTAAATCAAAAAATAAATTTGATAAATTTTGATGAACTCGTTTATTATCTATTTAACAAAATCTTTTTTTCAGTCTTATTTTGATTTTGAATGAAATACCTTATTTTTTAATAAACTTAATTAATTTCAAATGACCTACCTATTATTCTTAGATTTTTAGTTAACAACTAATCAATCAATTAATTAATCAATTAAGTAGCAAGGAAGCAAGCAAAGTGTAATTTAACAAATAGGCAAATATGAATAATTCCAAAATAAATTTTTTCCCAGACATCTCAAATACAGATAGCGAATAAGAGACTCCTCATTCTCCTATCATAGGTATAGATTTGTTAAATATAATCTAAGAACAAAAAAGCTTTTGAGAAGTAGAATAAATTTAATTGATCAAATATTATTAACAAATAGGGAGAAGAACATCTTAGATAAAATTGATTCTTCAAGATTCGACTAACTTAAACAATGGAAACCAGCCAGATTAGCAAGGACCACAAGAAAAGCTAACACTTTATGAAGCATTTTCAAAGATAAGAAGAGAAAGCGTAGTTGTTAAGGCATTTTAAAACAGTCCTAAGAATAGCTAAAATAGCTAGGATAGTAATCAAATATAAACCTGCAAAGTAACATACAATAATCCAGCAGATATACCTACTATTCCTCTTGCTGATTTGCTAATGCAAAAAAAGCTAGTAGCTAATTTGCATTATAACACATCGAAATTCGAGTGCGCTTTTGATAAAATTAAAATAGAAGAGTGCAACTACATAAAAGATACAGTTTTTTATTAAGAACAAATGACTGCTGCCAAAAATGTTTTAGAATCTTTGAAATTAAGAGATTAATACTAATTTATTCGCACACATTCAAGTATTATTGAATTATCTATTTATTTATTTATTTATTACTCTTCAAAATACATTTTGCATGTTATTTTAATTATTAATTTATTTACACTCTTATTTATACAGTTACAATCTTTTTTATATTATTTAATCTACTTTTCATATATAAAATATTACATTTTTACTTAATTGCTTATCACATTAATCATAAATTTTTATTTTTTTTTCACCTTTAAGTTGATGGCTTACAAAATTATGTTGAGATTGACGAAGATGGCAATCCTTATATAGACTGGAAGAAACATGAAGTCTAACTCTTACCCCCTGCTACAGACGTAAAAAATAGAAATTTACTTTTATTTTATGTTGAGATTCTAAGATTTATTCCCAAATAAAAAATAGTTCTTTAATCCTAAATATCAGAAAATACCTTAATTGAATATTATAAAAAGTTAGATTTTCTTTAACAACTCAAAATTTAAATATTTCTTTTATATACTATAGACCACGTTGATATGCTAAGAGGGTATAATTAAATATGCCAAAGATGGAAAGGTGCCTGTAGAATACTAAAAAATACCTTCTATTGTTGATTACGTTGATGACATTTTTTTCATTTTAGAGGTAAAATTGTGACTTTTTAGTAATTGATATAAAAATCTTACTCATAATATTTTTTCTCAGTTTTGTAAAATAAATATTGTAAATATCATCATTATTATCATCATCACAATCTAACAAATAAATTTATCTCTATTGATTATTATAATATGTGTTTACAGAAAAATGAAGTTAATTTAATTTTATTGTATAAACTAGATGATAAACAACAAAGTTAATAAAACTATCTGCTAAGAGCGTATTTCCCTACTTAAACAGAAGTTTTAGATGCACTAAACGTAATTAAAAATATTTATTATGTTTATAATGACACCTGCTTATTTTTTAAAATTTTATGGATTCTAGTTTTTCAAAAAATGTAACAAAAATTCAAACAAAATATAAAAAAAAAAAAAATTATTTTAATTATTTTAGCATTATTTTTAATAAATTCAAAGAATTTAGATACAAATTTCAATTTATAAAATCAACACAAAATTTATTCAATAAAAAATAATAATTAATTAATGAACTCCATTTTTTTTCAAATCAACTTAGGTTAAACAATGCTAAAGAACTGATAGATCAAAAGAATATTTGGGGTCGTGACTTCTACAATACAGCAAAAGTTGATAACCATATTCACCATTCTGCTGCTATGAACGCTCAACAACTTTTGAAATTTATTTTAAACAAAATAGATGTAATTTGATCGATTAAACTTAATATTTAAAATAAATAAGAATTTCTTTGCTTAAATCAAATTTTCACCTTCTTTACAATAAAAAATATGGATTTCAATTGATATTATTATAAAATTCCTTTTTTCAACAATAGTTTTTAATTTCATGAGGTATTTAAAAGCTTTGAATATGTTTACAAGAATAATGTCTACATTTATAGTGATATTAAATTACACTTGGTTTCATTAAAATATGAAAAATTAAAATTTTTTGATTTATGGCAAGAATTTCCTTTTTTACGATAAATTAACAAAATAACATATAATATACAATATGAAAATTTTACTTAATTCTTATTATTATCTATTTAAAAATCAGACTGAAGGTGATGTAACAGTGATTCTAGATCCCGTTACGAAGGAACCTCTTACACTCAACTAGTTGTTTTAGAAGTTTGAGCTGACTAAACAAAAAATTACTCTAGATAGTTTAAGTGTCAAGGTAATAAATATATTATCAACAGATAAGAACCTATCTAACTTCTTAATTTAGACTCTTCTTATTTACAAAATTATATAAATAGGCTGATAGAACTATTTACATGAGATTTGACAATTTTAATAACAAATACAATCCTCTAGGACAACCAATTTTTAGAGAAGTATTCATGAAGACAGATAACTATTTAGAAGGTAGATACTTGGCTGAACTTACAAGAGAGGTATTAAATTACGTTCAACGTAAATTCTAATAGTATTTTTACCTATTTTTGATGAATTAATAGATGATTTAAAAGCTTGAACATGACAAATACGTTTTCACAGAATGGAGGTTATCTATTTATGGAAAAAACAGATTAGAATGGAAGAAACTAGCCCACTGGGTTTAATCTAATAAATTACAATCGAGATAAAACAGATGGATGATTTAAATTCCAAGATTATATTCTGTAATAATTAATACTCTTTTTTTATTCCAGTATGAATAATTATTTAATATATTTCAATATTACCAATTAAATATAACCACGATTACAAATATTCTTAAAGAAAATTTATTGTGCATTCTTTACAAACAATTAATTTAATTGTCTCATTTACACTTTCAAAAAATACAATATTAGCTTTTAAATTTTGCAAGCCTTTTAAATTACCCTATTTAAAAATCAATTTTTTTAATTCGACTTAGATTAAAAAAATTAATAAAAGTCCTTCGATTAACTAACTCATTCATTTCCTATTAAAAGGTTTATAAAAACGCAGGTCTTGTCGATAATTTCTAGAATATGCTTGATAATATTTTCATGCCACTTTTTGAAGTTACACTCAACCCTGAAGCTGATCCAGAATTATACAGATTCTTAATTTCACTTGCCGGTTTTGACACTGTTGATGATGAAAGCTCTTTAGAGCATTTCTTTGTCGATGATCTAAAGACCACTCCCAGTCAATTCACCTAAAGTAATGTTTCTAATTTAAAAAATTAGATTTTAGTCAAACAAACAAACAATAAATCAAATTAAGAATTTCAATATTATGTCATCTTATAAATTAACAAATTAATTTTAAGAGAAGAAATATCGCTTAATAAATATATTTGCTTAATTAATAAAATCTATTTGCTTAAAAAAATATATTTCATCATCAGCAAAACAATAAAATAAAGTTTTTTTAGTTATCAAAAAGCTATATATAACTTTAATAATAAAATTGTAGCTGATAGAAAATAATTTTTAGTGTTATAGAAATTAAAAATAAATACTACTATTTACAATTAAAAACAATGATAATTTCCAAAACAAAAAGTTATAAGTTCATCAGAAATTAACAAATTAACATTTATCAGATCATCAAAAATTAAAAAATAATTGCACTTTTTTTTTGTGATTAATCTTTTTTAACTAATACAAGCATTTACATTTATTCTTTTTTTATTACCACATAAAAATTTAACTTACAACCAACCGTAAAAATAATTACTTTCTACTCTTATGTATTAAATTGAATTTAATTATATTTTCACCTTATATTGATATTACTATAAGCATTATGAAAATATGCTGATTTATTAAAGTAAGAATACTTACGGTATCTAATAAAACTATATTTAAAAATTCATTCCATTAATCGATAATAAAATTAAATTTAACATTTTTGTGAATGAACATATTTTAAAAATTTTTTGTTTTAATTTAATTTAAACTTATAGAAAATATTATCATTAATCTAAATATTTTATTATCAATCAGCTTTAAATAAATAAATTAATTTATTGTATTTTTAAACTTAAAAGTAAGAAATTTGCTAAATCATATTTAAAAAATATGTATTAAACTATTTTTAACTTTATCAAGAGTACAAATACCATTATAAATAATTTTAGTATTTTAGAAATTTATTCTATCGAAAATTTTTAAATAGCTGTTTTTTATATTTATTAAATGAAATTGGAGTTTTGGTTAAGAGTAGTTTGTTGTTGGTTGAAAATAAACAAAATTTACTATTCCATTCTAGATTTTAATTTTTAAAAAATCCAAAATTAAAGTTTCAAAATGAAAACGTTGTAACAAGCAGGATTATAAAGAAAAAAGTGTAATTAAATTAATTTATTATTATAATATAATTTAATAAAAATACCTTATTTTAACAGTATTTTTCCAGACTTTTCAAGTAAGTTACTCTTATTAAACTATTTAGATTCATCACATATTTAAATTATTATTGATTTTTGATGTAATATTTAATACATCTATCTATTTTATCTAAATATTTAAACTAAGATTCTAAATTTAAATATATAAGATTTTTCAACTACATTCATTTTTTAGAATTTCATTTACCCACCAAATTAAAAATATCTAAGAATTTCTTGAACAATTTCATAAATTATTAATAGTGAATGAATCTATTAACTAATTTGTTTTATGAATTAATATTACTTTTTCTCTCTAAGATTTCCTTTTTATAATATCAATCACTTAAAAAAATATTTTAAAATATATTGAATCCTTCTTTGTAAATAAAATCCATATAAAAGTTTAGGTTTAACATTAAATTAAAATCATTACTTCTCTAAAATTTCTTTTTTTTAACCCACCAAATTGTGTTTTCTATTTAAAATTAATTTTTTAAGATTCAAACTAAAAAATGTATTTAGATAAATGATAAAAATCAAATAACATGTTCTTTTTTAAATAAAGTATTTAAAAATTATATTGTGTTAAGATAAATTTCATTCTCACTATTATTAAAGCTTATAACCATTTTTTTAGATTTTTACTCACCAAATTTTAACCTTTTAAAAAAAATTTTTATTATAATAAGTATTTTTAAAGAGAATTAATAGAAATTCAATCAAATAATTAATATTTAGATGAATAAATGCAAACAACTATTTAATTTTATATTATCGGTTTTTTGAGTTTAAGATTTTTTAATATAAGTTTCATATCACTAAATACCGCATAGTAAAGTTTTTTAGAATTTATCTTTTTAATTTTGATCAAAGTAATCAATCGGCTTTTGATTAGATTTTTAATTGTTGTTTTTAAACAAATAAATATAGAAAATCTTTTGATAAGTTGGTAAACTTTTGCACATGATATTTTCAAATAGTAAAATAAATTTTATAAATCTAAAATTTATTTTATATTTTTACAATTCTTTGATGATTATTTTAGTAGAATTTAAGATTTTTTTAAAATAATAAACAACAATGAATTCATTTAAAAGTTAACAAGATAGAATAACAAATAATCTAAATCTAAATACTCATTTGAATATTTAAATGGTTTATTTCTATAAATACCACTTTTTTTATTTTCAAAGGCGAAAAATGAAAGATTGTTTGATTGTAAGAAAGTTTTAAGAATTGTTTAAAATGGTTTTAAAAACTTTTTACAAATCTTTTTGCAATTAATTATAGGTACAAATCCTCATTATGCTTATTGGGTTTATTATATTTATGCCAATATATCTTCTTTAAATCTCTTAAGAAAAGAAAGAGGATTGAATACTTTTAAGTTCCGCCCACATTGTGGAGAAGCTGGAGATATTGATCATTTAATATGTGCCTTTTTGCTAAGTGACAGTATAAACCATGGAATTTTACTTGAACAGAATCCTGTTTTGCTTTATTTGTATTATCTTAAACAAATAGGACTAGCTATGAGTCCTCTTTCAAATAACAAGTAATATTTTCTTAAAAATAATAAATTAATTGGTATTAAGTAAAAACTAAGAATTTATTTTAAATTGCTTTTTTTTCAAAGGAATAGGATATATTTAATAATTAGATAAATTTAAATAATACTTTTTTCTTTGAATTTAAGATTAAAATGAGTTCTAATTCCTTTATAAGTGATTATTTTTAATCATTCAATTTAATTTGCTTTCGTCATTTAATTTTCAATTTTTGAATATCAAAAAATAATCTGAGAAAATTCTTAATTATAACAATTAGATTTTTTCTTTTTTTCTAAATTCTAAAAATAAACTTTCGCATACTTAATATTACTAAAGTATATCTTTTACTGATTTATTAAATCAGCTTCAAATTCCCAAAATTTTTTGTCTCCATTTTTATCTTTCTTCCATATTATCTTCATTTAAAATTTAAGGAAATATTATAAAAATCCTTTGTGTTTTATGAATTTGCAGAATGTTTTAATGGATTTATAAAATAAAAATCATTTTATTGAAAAAGGCTATTTTTAAAGTATGCAAAATCTCCATTTTTTGATTTTTTCAAAATTGGTATTAATGTAACTCTGTCAACTGATGATCCATTAATTCTTCACACCACTAATGATCCTTTACTTGAAGAATATGCTATATCAGCTTAAGTAATTTTTTATTCCATATACTAAAGATTGTAATATGTTTTTTTTATTAAAGATTTGGGATTTGTCATCTGTAGATATAGCTGAATTAGCTAGAAATTCAATTAAGCAAAGTGGATTCGAAAAATTCCTCAAATACCACTGGGCAGGAGAGTATGATAAATACTAGGCTGAATCAAATAGTAACTTATTTATTTAAATACATTTAATAAATAGATAATAACTTTTTTTGTATTAATAGGGATTTTGTTTTCAAACTTGCCATAGAGCAGATACATGTATAGATTAGAAACACTACGCAACGAATATTTGTTTTTACATTAATTAAAACATGAAAACAATATATGATTTTAAAAACAAGTTAGAACAAAAACAGTTTTTATTTATTTAATTTGTACTTGAATTAGTTATTTCATCTTAATTCTTCTAAATATAAAGGCTTTTAAAATAAATTTTATTTTATTTTTTGCTTGTTGCTTTTGTATGTTTGTTCAAAAATAAATCTTGATAAAGGTTTAACTTTTTAATTAACAATAATGGTTAGATTCCTTCCTATTAATTTTTAGATTGTACTTCAACTTGTTAAAATATTCATTAGCATTTACTAAAATAACTTCTGCAATATTATTGTACTGAGAAATATAATGGAAAATTAAGTTATTCTTTATTAATATTTGGCTATTTTGGAAAAAAGAACTTAAAAAACCAAAAAGAATTTGAAAGATTTTTCGAAAAAAAAAAGTTATTATTAAATTATTGGTCTATATTTAAGAATATTGCATCTAGTTGTTAATAGATCAAAAAGTGTTTGATTTTTATTTAATTTTCAAGCGAGTTAGTTTAATTAATTTGAATGATAATAAGCTTTTTATTTTATTTAGGCTAAATAATAAATTAATTAAATGCGTTGGATTATCATCACGTGTAAATCACTAAAAATTTGATGCTTTAGCAAAAAAAACCTGAAAAAAAGAAAAAAAAAACTCAAATTTAAAGCGAAAAATGCTGACTATTGTCAATTAATTATTCATAAACCAAATGTCTGTTTGGTACTTTATCGTTTTGCGCTTTCAAATGTAAAAAAAAGAGAGCTTGACCTTAAATTTTTCATTCATTTTAAATGAAAATTTTTAAAAAATTTATGAACTCCCCACACGTGTAAATTTTGCATTTTTAAGAGTTGAGTTTTAAATTGGGAATAAATTAAAAGAAAAAAAAATAATTAATTTAATTTACAAAAGATATTATTTATAATTTAAAAATAAAAGAGGAGATGAATAAAAAATTATTAATCTTCATTGCCACTGTTTTAATTGTTGGCCTTGTCTATGCAGCTGATGATGAAAAGAAGAAGGTTGAATGCCCTGTCATTGGTATCGATTTGGGTACAACCTACTCTTGTGTCGGTGTCTACAAAAAGGGTTAAGTAGAAATCATTCCTAACGAATTAGGTAATTATTTGTCTTTTAATTTCACACTTTATCAAACATTAAAAAATATGAAAATAAATGAAACAATTTTTGGATTATTTTGTCATCCCATGAAGGAATGACAAATGTAATTCATCTATTCAATAATATGACTTACAAATGTCTTAAACATCTAACTTATTCTTTGTTAAACATTAATACAGGTCATAGAATTACTCCCTCAGTCGTAGCCTTTACTGATGAAGAAAGACTCGTCGGTGAATCAGCTAAGAACTAAGCCGTTAACAACCCTACCAGAACTTTATACGACGTTAAGAGACTTATTGGTCGTAAATACACCGATAAGACTGTCTAATACGACAAGAAGTTCCTTCCCTACGAAATTATTGAAAAGAATGGAAAGCCTTACATCAAGGTTGACAACGTCAGAGGTGAAACCAAGGTCTATGCCGCCGAAGAAATCTCTGCTATGGTCCTCGTCAAGATGAAGGTAAATATAACAAAAATAATATATTCATCAAGACTTACCTTTCAGCTATTCAACCCAAGCTTCATTCACTCTATAATATATTTACCTAAAATAAAGAATGAAATTTTCTTTTTAAATTTTACTCTCTAAAAATACAAAAAAATAAGATACTTCTAATTTAAGACAACCTCAAAGAAATGTCAATAAAATTATAAGCAATAACTATTCAAAATATAAGTGAAAATTATTCTAAACATTCAATTCATAAGTTCACCAGCAGCACTCTAATAAGCTAAGAGCAAAAGACTAACTTAAATAAATCAGCAGAATTTATTTAAATTTAAAAATGACTTATGAAAAGACTCAAAAGTGAATGAGTGATGTATTATTTATCTATCATTTAGCAAATAAAATATTAAGTAGAAGATAAGTTAGTGAGAGTCTATTTTATTAGATAATTAGTAAATAAATGCAATAAATAAATACAATAAATAATATAAATAAAGGAGAATTCATTAGTTATTAATAGTATTAGCGAAAAAAATTTAAAAAGCTGAAAGATATTTATTTATTTATTATTTGATTGATAATTTAACTTAAAAATTTTAAATAAAAATTATTTAAATAACATAATAGGAAATCGCTGAAACCTTCTTGGGTACCACTGTCAAGAACGCCGTCGTTACCGTCCCCGCTTACTTCAATGATGCCCAAAGACAATCTACCAAGGATGCTGGTGCCATCGCTGGTTTGGATGTTTAGAGAATTTTGAACGAACCTACCGCCGCTGCCATCGCTTACGGTTTGGATAAGAAGCAAGGTGAAAAGAACATTTTGGTCTTCGATTTGGGTGGTGGTACTTTTGATGTCTCCATCTTAACTATTGATGAAGGTGTTTTCGAAGTTATTGCTACTTCTGGTGATACTCACTTGGGTGGTGCTGATTTTGATCAAAGAGTTATGGACTACTTCATTAAGCTCACCAAGAAGAAACACAACAGAGATATTTCTGGTGACAAGAGAGCTATCCAAAAATTGAAAAGAGAAGTTGAAAATGCCAAGAGAAAGCTTTCTTCTACCATGACTGCCTAAATCGAAATTGAAGATTTAGTCGAAGGTTTGGACTTCAATGAAGAACTCACTAGAGCTAAATTCGAAGAATTGAACGCTGACTTATTCAAGAAGACCATCGGTCCCGTCCAAACTGCCTTGGAAGACTCTGGTTTCAAGAAGACTGATATTCACGAAATCGTCTTAGTTGGTGGTTCTACTCGTATCCCCAAGATCAGAAAGCTCGTCCAAGATTTCTTCGGTAAGGAACCTAACACTGGTATTAACCCCGATGAAGCCGTTGCTTACGGTGCTGCCGTCCAAGGTGGTATCATCTGTGGTGAAACCTTCAGTGAACCTATCGTTATGATTGATGCTACTCCCCTCTCCTTAGGTATTGAAACCGTCGGTGGTGTTATGTCTACCATCATTCCCAGAAACTCCGTCTCCCCCACCAAGAAGACTTAAACTTTCACCACCTATCAAGATAACCAAGAAACCGTCACTATTCAAATCTTTGAAGGTGAAAGACCTATGACCAAGGACAATCACTTGTTGGGTAAGTTTGATCTCACTGGTATCCCTGCTGCTCCCAGAGGTCAACCCCAAATTGAAGTTACCTTCGAAGTCGATGTCAACGGTATCTTACAAGTTAGCGCTGTTGAAAAATCCGCTGGTGTCAAGAACCAAGTTACTATTACCAACGACTCTAGTAGACTTTCTAAGGAAGAAATCGAAAGTAAGATTTTTAAATATTTAGAATTTCTGAAATTTTATAATTTCAGAATTATTAGCTTCAAAAATTTATTTCAACTTATTGACTGATTTATTTACTTATTTAATTAATTAATTAGAAATGCTTGATGATGCCAAGAAATTCGAAGCTCAAGATAAGGTCGCCAAGGAAAGAATCGACGCTAAGAACTCTTTGGATTCTTACGTCCACTCTATGAGAAACACCGTTGAAGACGAAGCTAAGCTCGCCAACAAAATTAATGAAGATGACAAGAAAACCATTAAGGACGCTCTTAAAGAAACTTAAGACTGGCTCTCCGCTAACCCTGAAGCTGATAAAGAAGAATATGAAGAAAGAAAGACCAAACTTGAAGGGTAATTAATTAATTTTTTATTCTAAATAGAAATACGATTAATCAAACTAATATTAATTTTCATTTTTATAAAATAGTATCTGTAACCCTATTATTAGTAAGGCTCACCAATAAGCTGGTGGTTCCTCCCACGCTGATGAAGATGTTAATGTCGATCTTTGATTTTAACGATTTCAAAATAATAAATTAATAAAAAAAATGATAAGATTTCTTACTAAAGAAAATCTTATCTATGTAATTCTTAATCCTTTAGTTTAAATTTTATGTTTACTATCATTTTAAGTATACAACAAGTCCAATTTTTGTTTATCTATTGTATTCTTTTTACAATTTTGATCATTCAAAAAATATCCTTCCATCATTCATTTTTTTAATTAATTAATTAAACTTTTTGTAAAAGTTTATTTTAGAATTTATTTTTTAAATGATAAAATTTAGTAAAGTTAATAAATAAACTGTAATTAATCTTCTACAATTAATGTAAGAAAATTTTGACTCAGTGATTTTCAATTTTTGTTAATTTTTTCTTAAATATTTGTTTGTTCTTTTTGCTAAAAATGATATTCTTGTTAACTTAAATAATTGTAAACTTAAAAATTGTTGAAATACTAAAAGAATCTAAAATTAAAAAATCAGAATCAAATAATGGAAAACGAATTTTTAAACTACTAAAAAGAAAAATTTTAAATAAAATTAAAATATTTTCGAAAACTAATAAATAGATATATTTATCTCAATAATAGAACAAAAATAAAATTTCACTTTAAAATGAAACTAAAAAAAAATATTTATGTTTTTTGAATGACATAGAAATCTTAAAACTCTTATTTATGAAAATAATTTGTGCTATTTGAAATATTTTTTAATTGATTAGATTTTTAGCAAAATATTTTAGATAAAGAAAGTACTTAAATAAATGGTTTAATAAAATTTAGTTTTATTTTGATAAGAAATATTTATTACTTTGTAAAGAAAATATAAAATCTTGAAACATAATAGATAAATATGATAATATCAATTAATAAACATTATAATTTATTAATTTTATTGAGATATACATTATTATTTATATTCTTATTTACTTACTTAATTTCTAAAAGCTCTAAAATATACAGTTATTTAAATTTTACAAAACACTTTTAATTGAAATAATTAGGGATTTATTTAATTAATTGAATTGCCATTTAGCATTTATTTACTTTTCTTGTTGTTTTATTAAGCCAACCTAATTTAACTAATTAATTAACGATTAAATATTTAACTAACTAACTAATGTATTATACTATTAATTTTAATTATGAAAGATTATTTATTTACGATTGTTTGAATTGTTTATGGTTAGGTATTTGTGATAGTCTGATGAATGGATAGATATATTGATAGATCTGTATTTTGTTTATAAAACTGCTAATTGTGTATACATGCATTCATGTATCAATAAAGAATCAACTAATGAATCTATTATGTAGTTGTGAGATGAATGGATTTATTATTTAGGGATATTATTAAAAAGAGAAGAAAAAGAATACTACAAGAGAATGATTCATTATAATTTAGAGTAGTTTTAATAATTAACATTAATATTATTGGAATTATTTAAGTTATTGTTTTCTCTACTAATGTTTCTATTATTCACTATGTTAGCTACAAAATTATTTGGGTTGGTATTTTGATTCATCACTATCTATTATTAGCTAAAATTAGGAGTATTAAAATAATTTTACATTGCATTGTTTGCTTAAATGCTAGACACAGGCTAGGGTTGATTATTATAGATAAATTATTGGTTGCTATTACTAATATTGCTATTGTTTAGACTATTGCTATTCATATTTTATGCTGGATTACTAATTATATTGTTTGGAGCACTATTTATATTTATATTAGGACTACCAAAATAGCCACTTTTACCCAAGTTGCCTTACTGCTGTTGTTATTGTTGCTATTATTACTACTGCTACTATTGCTGCATTTACTAAAGTAAATAGTTGTTGTAGTAATTGTTATTAATTATTGAATTACCTTATTTTGCTAAAGCAGAAGTTGTTTATTGGTTTATTGGCAATTAAGCAGTATTTTTCATCTTTATGTTTACTCCTCCTCGCTAGTTCTAAGATTCTAAATATTACTATTACTGATAAATGAGTTGTTGCTACTAAGCATCAGTTAAAATTATTTAATTTGAACTGTTGAGAATATTTTATATGCCGTTTTAGCTGCTTTAAATATTTGCATTCGCATTACTTTGAACAGGCTATTTACTATTTGCATAAATGAAATGCTCTTAATTAGGTACCTAAACTTGATGTTGGGATTACTATTGTTGCTATTATTATTACTATTACTATTATTATTATTACTACTATTATTGTTGTTGTTGTTATTATTAAAGATATTGAGCATTATTTAAGTAATTCAAGAGAGAAGGATTGTTATCAAAATAGTATTAATTTTGCTATTATAAATTATTTTAATTAGAGACACCATTATTATTTGTGCCATTATTGCTACTATTTATGATGTTGTTGTTCCCGCTGCTATTCATATAAATCTATTTTTGTTAATTTAAATATTGGCTATTACTTAGCTGCTGTTGAGTAGCTATTGCTATATTATTTTACAAATATGAAGGATTGGGTAGATTTTCTTGCTTGTAATTCATTTCATTGACTAAATTGTATTTTTACTAGGAATACTAGTGGTATTACTGAGGGGAATGCTAATTTATTTGATTTTATTATATCTATTATGGTTATGGAGACTATTGAAAATGAGAAGTTCTTTAAAAATTAGAAGCAGCATTAATGGGATTATTGATGTTATCTTGGCTTATATTTAATCCAGTGTTATTGTTGTTTTAATAATATTTAACTCTCTATATAGTTTGCTACTAATTAATTAAGTTAAGAGAATTTGGCTGTTGTTACTAATGCTACAAAGATGATGGATTTAAAGAAGGATTTAGAATTTAAGTCTAATTTTATGAGGAATTCATTAAGATTTAATTTTGAGAAGAATTCATTAGAATCTGATTTTAAGAAGAATTCATTAATATCTAATTGGCGTTTTATGGCTAAGATGGATATTCAGGTTGTTGCTATATTAGCTATTATGGAGATATTTAGTTTCTACCATTTTAAATAGCATTTTAATTATTATTTACAGTATTACTTTGTTGCTGCTGTTGTTGTTAATGCACTTTTTTATTTAACAGTAACAAATTATTTCCATTTCCGTTTGAATTTACATTAACAGCAATATTAGGATTCAAATTTCCAGCTACTGCAATTGCAGCTGCATTATTATTGTTACTGATAACATTAGCTGAGTTTAATGTCGGAGAATTTTTAATTATTGCAATATTTTTCTGGTCTTTAATTTTCCAATCCCACATTTAATCATACTCAAATCCATTTTTTAGCATGAGTTCTTTAAAAACATTTCTACACTTAGCATAATCAGGCTTATCTGTGAATTAAAGAGATTTTGCATAACTGAGAAACCATGCAAATTCTGAAGGTAATCCAAAACATAATTCATCTACTGAAGTAGATTCCTTTTTATTTTTAATCTTTTCATATTTTTCCTTCTTATCTTTTGCCCTAATATTTTACCAAGGCAATTAGCCCTTAAGAAAGTAGAGAAAAACATACGCGAGACTTTCTAAATCGTCTCTCCTAGATTGCTCTATTCCCTTATGCGTATTTGTTGAAGCATATCTAGCAGTACCTGTTAAATTTTTACCATCTCTATACTAAATATGTTCGCTGTCTCTAATATATCTTTTGGCTAAGCCGAAATCAATCATATATACTCTACCTTCTCTTTTGCCCAAACCCATGAGAAAGTTATCAGGCTTGATGTCTCTATGAAGAAAATTTCGATTGTGGAGGTACTCAACTCGCTAGATCATCTAATCTGCGAGCATGAGAACCGTTTTTAAATGGAATTATCTTTAACATTAACAAAAAAGCTGCTCCAAAGAGCTTCCCAACAAATCCATAATCATAAAATTATAATTGCCTTGCTTATCAAAGTGGTAGCATTTAGGTATGCCAATAGCTGGCTTATTCGGATTATTGTGCAAATAGTTATATAATCTGGCTTCATAAATAATTTGAGGATGCTTGGCGTCAGCTCTTTCTACTTTGCAGCCATAAAAAACGCCATCCTCCTTCAGATCTTTTGTTTTATAAATGACACCAAAAGCGCCACTACCTAACTTCTCAATCAATTAATACTACTCTCCCAAAACCATTCCTTATAACTTACTTGTATCTAATATTGATGCAGCTGCGGGCTCTTCTATTTGCATTTAATTATTATTGTTAACTAGATTATTGTTGTTGTTACTTGGAAGATTATTATTTAAAACAATGTTATTATTGCCTTAATTCGTCGACAATTCCTGCTGCTATCCCAAAACTAAACTATTCGGCCAAGGTTAGGGCTATATTTTATAAAAAATAATAGATTATCATGAATAGAGGAAATTTATACGCTTAAAAATGTTAAATTTGAACTGCTTTAAGCTGTATAAAAGGTATTTCTTTCTATTTAAGCTGAGATTCTATATTTTTTTCTAGTCTTAATAGAAATAATATTTATATATAATTTTTGAGTTTTACCTACTACTGTGTGGGTTGTTATGTGACAATTATATTGTTGTGTGGAGAAATTCCTTTGATCTGTTTTAGGGTGTTTTGCATAATATCTTACTAATTGCACACCTGAAAAGTTATTTAATTTGGGTTGTTGCTTCTCTTCAATTTACTTTGCTTGTTTTTTTTTTTCTTAGTTCACTGCTTTGCTTGCTAGTTTTTATGTTTATCTGAAGATCAAGGCGAATCTATAAAAATCAATTTTTCCAAATTTAAAATGACTCTTTTTGTATTTTCCTTCTCGTGTTAGATGGTTTCACTTGCTACTTTCTTACTTGCTAACTAACTAACTTGCAGAATTTAAAGTATTTATGAATCAATAAATAAAAAACTTTTAGCTATTTAGCTACTGTCTTTGCTGAGCTATCTGTTTATTTATTAATTTTTGAATTTTTTACTCTTTATTTATTATAGAATATCTAATATCTATTAATTTACTTTAAGTCTTCGCTCTTTTGTTTCTTTGAAACGTCAACTTTGTTTGATTGATTTTCTCTTTCACTAACTAAAATGCTTGATTTATGTTTATATGTTTGTTTGTTTGCTTCGCTGCTTGCCTACTTTATTTATTTATATATATATTTATTAATCTAATTGACTGATTGATTGATTCCTCGCTCCTAAGTCAGAATATTAATTAACTAATTATTATCATTAAGCTTTAAATCTTTTGCATGTCATTGAATTAACAAGTTAACTAAATATAAGAATAAATATTATTGCTCATTATTTAATTTTTTAACATTTGCTTTGTTGTCTCTTTATTTCTTCTTTCTCTCTTAATTTCATTATCGCTAACTCTGTTTCTTTTTCTGCTATACTATACCAAATTTATTTGTTTATTTTTTTGTTTGTTTGTCTCTTTCTCTCTCTCTCTCTCACTTACTTATTTTCTAACCATAGAACTTGACGTACAGTTGTTTTTTTTCTTCTAAACTAGTATCCATTTCTGTTACAGACCAACAAATTACTGGAAAATCTCTCAGTCTCAATTAAGTTAAATTGACTCTTTGCTTATTCATTTTAGTATACATGTGTTCAAATTTGAGAATTAATCTATTCATTAACCAAAAATAATTGCAATAAAAGATTATTTGCAAACTTTAAAAATACAATTTTCTATTATACTAAAATTCTATTTATAATAAAAATTTTACAGCTTACCTAATAATTTTACTTTCGTCACTACCTTGTCTACTTTTTTAGAAGTAGTAGATATCATAACTTTTTTACAAAGCGTTCTATTCATTAGTTTAAATATAACTATAATTATTCTTCACCCATATATTACCTATTTAATCGCTCAGAATTTATTGATACTTTTTAGAAAATATGAATTAAAAATATTGTAAAAAGAAATAATGGAATAGGAAACATAGAATTTTCATTAAAATTTTATATGTATATAGACATTGCTCAATTTTATTTAAAATTTAGTGTGTAAATTGAAAATATTTGATGTAGAAAAAAATAGATTAAATTCAAATTGAAGTTTTATCTAGTGAAGGTTAAATATTTTTTGTTTATCCTTCACTCACTACAAAAAAATCAATAAACAACCAATATAAATAAACAAAACAAAACAAAAGTTCAACCAGGCTGATAGTGAATTAAAATATTAAATAATTGAAGTTTTTTTGTTTTTTTTAATCAAAGTTAAACACTGACTTACTAATAGATTAAAAAATTGAATACAGTGATGCATTATTGAATAATATTTGAAATAGTTATTCATTTTTATAAAATTTATTTAAAAAAAGTACCAAGTAAGAAAAGATAGATTATAAATTTTTTTATTAAATTAATTTTTTGTTTGTTAAACATTTATACTTTATTTATTAATCAAAAAATTTCTATTAACGTAGACACAACTCCTGAAAGCCCTCCAAAAAGTCCAATAAATAATACTGTATAATTAATCACTTTTCTCCTGTGATCTTTATCACCTTCAGATATTTTTTCAGATAGCATAATAGGAAAAACAAATCCAAGCCCAATAGAAAATACACATCCCAACAAGTTAAACAAATCAGTTAATTTAGGCAGTTATGTAGCTAAAATGAATATCAACAAAAAGAAAAGTAATCTAACTCCTGTCCTCTAAACGTTTTGATTAGTGAAATATCTTCTTTCCATAAACGTATCTATTCTTTGGAGGATAGGAAACCCGTACAACAAAATACTTCCGAGTAAGCTGATTGCATAGAATATTTTTAGTATTTACTAAATAGAACCCATATCTACTAAATTGTTAAATATCAAGTCAGATGTTGTATCTTTAAACGCCGCATAACCTATTGCTCCTGTGATCAAACCAGTTAAGCACATGACTATGACATATCTAATTTATAGATTAAAATTTATTATTACATATAAAAAGTCTTTAAATGATATTCATTTTAATTAATTTCCTTCTTTTAACAGATATATTAAAATAATCCCAAAAATAATGAATAAATTAATGGATGAAACAAACAAACAAAAAATAAATAAATAAATAAAAAACCTTTGATTTTAAATAGTGGTGAATATTCATAATTAATATTAATAATAATAAAAATATAAAATTTAAATTAGTTAGGATTTTCTTTGAAAGAGGGATTTTAATCAGAATTTTTTGCTATTTAATTTAAAATAAGGAGGGAAAAACAGAAAGGGAGAGGGAAAACGGGAAGGAGATAATAATTATTAGATTAATTTATTTTTAATTGAAAATAATAAATATATCATCAATTAGATTTGTATAAAAGAATTTATTTTTTCAATTATATTTTTTATTTATTTTTTTTTGTATTTAATATAAGATAAATTAAACATTAAATCTTTTGAAATTAGACATTCTCTGCTTGATGAATTATCTAAAAAGAGTAATAAAGAAATTAATTCAAAAGGTTTTTTATTTTTAAAAACATTGCCTTTCTAGACAAAAAACAATAATTAAATCTACCTGTAAAGAATAATGTCAAATTTGTTCCTCTCTTCCATAGATGCGTATACTTCAGTCACTACTCCATTTATATCATAAGCAAATACGTAAACTCCAAAAAAGAGAGGGATTTCATTAAAGGAGAATAGGTTGTATTGAAAATTTGGATCGTTGCTGCTAGTATTACCAGAGAATAATATATACAAAGATTTAATAATTATTATCAAAACTGCTACGAAAAATGTTGTGAGCCCAAATTAGCTAAATATACCTAACTTTTGTATATTTCTGTAAAGAGAAACTGGAATAAAAATGGCTGCCATTATAATGCCTATTTGATAAAATGATCAACAGTTAATTTTTTTACTAATTATCTGTCTTTCTTAAACTTATCGGCTAATAATTTAATTTCATTTTGAATCTTAAAAATAGAATCATTAAAAATTTAATTAATTAATTAATGCAACATTTATTTTTTTGTTACTCATAAATAGAAATTATGTCTTTAATTAAAAATCTATTATTTTGTTGAATGAAAACACTTGTAATTAATTTGCTTTAGAAAGTTGAAACAAAATAATTTGATAATTTATTACATAGAATCAACTTATATTTCAGAATATCATCCATTGATTTTTGAATAAAAACCATATAGCTCAGTATAGTCCCGAAATTGAAAAATACTGTGAAAAATTCTACTACTTAAACCATTCTCTCTCCCAAAATAGTTTCTACTGCCTATTTTAGTGTTACGCTTCGTCTGTAATTCTCTTATTCTTCTATCTTTTAAATGACTTTTATCAGCTACATCCATGCATAGTAACAGAGGGCTCCTGTAAAAGTCATAAGTATGATTGAAAGAATAGAGCCACATTTCATAAAAACATAAGGCATAAATAAAATTGTTGTCCCAAAACCGCTTTTGCATATGTTTATTGTTGCATTATAAACGCTTGCTCCTTGGTCCTATTCATTTTTATATATTAATCTCTACGAATATAAATAAATGTATTATTTTTCATCTCTAATAATTAAAAAGTAGAAATCTCTTGAGATTCATTAACTGATCATCTAACTTGCTTAAATAATGCATTGAAACTATTTCCTCTCGTTTGTAACTAAAGAAATAACTTTTTATTTATTATTTTACTTTTATTTTTAACATTTTGATATGAAAAATTTAAACTCTTTTCTTTTTTACTCTCTAATGATAAAAGATGTTGTAATAGTTGTGTTCAACTAATGGCTAATCTAAAAGATTTCTACTTTCTATTTAATTATATTTACAGTTTTAAGGTGAGGAATTGTGCTTTTTTATGCAATGTTGGCATCTTCTATATCGAATTGCTCAAATTTATTTGCGTTTGGAGCTTGATCATAAACTTTATTTGAGTTGTGAGATCGAGAGTTTTAGTCGTTCATTTTAAATTATCAAAAAAACTTTTTTTTAATATATGGATTTTAATTGATTATCAATTTTATAAATTATTTGAGGCTGATATTTGTAATTATAAGTCTATTGAATCATATACTAACTAATTACAGCATTATTATTGGTACTTTTGTAATATATCATTTATCAAAAACGCAATATGCATCGTATCTTGATATGTATTTAATTTTAACTTATGCAAACACACTTTTAACCATGAAACCTTTGTGGAAACTTTAAACTTTAATTTTTAAAAAATAAATTTATTTTACTATCCTATTTATATTAATAATATAAATAATTTTTTAGCTAAAACAATGTTAGAAACATAGTAAATGAAATATTTAAATCTACTCTTTACAAATTTTACTTTCAGATATTATGAAAAAATTTCTTTATTCCAATTTGTAAAATTAATTTTACTATCTAAAATTACGAGACAATTTTAATGCAAGGACAAAATTTGATTCTAATTCTTTTTCTTGTTTTGTGATTTTATATTTTCTTTATATTTACAAATATATTTACCTCAATATTTTAACATGATAAAATATGTTTGGAATTTTTAAAAAGCTTAAAAAAATACAAAATTATCCTAGCATGCTTAAAGTTATTCAACATAAATTTTCCTGATAAAATCATATTTTGAAGTGTATATTTGAATTAAGTTTCATTAAAAATGAAGAAACTAACTGATATTTAAAATTGAAATTTTTAATTGTTTTAGAATCTCAAACAGAACCTTTATATTGAAAGAAAAATTAAAAGATATTTTGATTAAACTTATAAATTAATTCAATAAATGTTTTAGAATTTATTAAAAATCTCAAACTTAATTAAAATGAAGAAAGTTGGTTAATTAAAAGACTAATTTAATTTAATTTATTAAATTTTAGAACTTGAATAGCATTTGTAAATAAAATCTTAATTTAAAAATGAATTTATTATGCTTTATAAATAAATATTATAAAAATAAATACAAAATATTTTTTAGATAAAATTAAAAATTCATTGATGGAATTTCTTTCAGATTTTAAATTAATAAATGATTTATTTAATTGAATAATTAATAACACAATCAATTAGTAAAATAATCATATTTATGAACTATCTTAAGGATTGTATGTTTAGAATCAGACGAAAATTTATGTAAATTGCTATCAATTAGTTAGTTTATAATTTAACTTTTCTTTTTTACTGTTTTAGTTAGATTGTATTGATCTTAAAAGTAAAGAAACTTTTCAAGAGATTTTATAAATTTCTCTTAAATGCTACTTTCTATTTCCTCTTGCAGATCTTTTGTTGAAGCATTTATCTACAACAAAATTTTATAATGCTTATCTAAATTTTTAAGTAAATTAACTTCATAAGAAAGTGTTTCAAAAACTTCAGTTTAACTCTAATCGATCAATTTAAGAATTGCTTCTAATAAAATTTTGGCTTGCTCGTATTGTTGATATTCATAGCAATATTAAATTAATTATATTAATTCAACCAAAGGATTATTTACATCATTAAATTCTACCATTCCACAATCTTCCTCATATTTATCTTAATGAATAATATAAATAACTTTTTCTATCAGTTAAAATGCCTTGGTATGGAGATTCTACTCTTTATATAAATTAATCAAAATAGTATAAATTTTTTGCAAGCTAAAGCTAGGAATGTCATCTTCAACTAAAATATCATTTAAGAATTTTTCACATATTCTTATTGCATCTTAATCTCTCTTTAAAATTTTTAAGTAACGAGGAAACTAAAGCACAAAATATACTTGGTATTAGCTATTGAGTTTCTCAAATGCATTCTCTATAAAATCCTATGAAGTGAATAAATCCAAATACTCTGAAGGTTAATCCTCTTTATCCATTTAAAAGCTTGCCTCAAAAAGTATAAACTTTATAATGTACTAATTATTTTCGCTTAATTTATGAGAGTTTTCGACTAAATCTTCAATATAATTTTTGAGTTCATCAACAACCACTGATTTTTCCTATTATTATTCTTCTTCTTGTTCCTCATCTAATTCTTGTACTCTAGCTTAATAAAGCACATTAGATAAATGAAATATATATTGTTGCTATTTCTCTTCATTTTATTCTTATTCTATCATTTTGAAAATTTTAGTGACTTCTTCTTTATATGTGTCTATTGGAGACTTTTAAGTACTTTTGAATAAATTAAAAATGGCAAATCTGTTTTTATTAAATAAGTTTCTATGCTCTGTCAGCTAAATTGGCTTATAACCTTTAAAGCATTTGATAATTTATTTATTTCTACTTAAAATAGGAAGTAGATTTACTAGTTATTTTCTGAACATTATTATGAATAAATATTTATCTAATTGCGTTTTTAATCAAAAATATTCTTATTTTTTGTATCTATTTTTACTATTTAAATGTAAGAAATTTATTTCATTCATAAAATTTAGAATTTTCTAAACATTTCTTTTCAATTTTTGATGGATATGTTAAACAAATAAATAAAAGAATCATCCTAAATATTCTTTAATTTGTTGGTTGTAATATTTAGCTAGGTTAATATCCTATAAAATTTTGTCTTGCTTTATAAAAACTATGTTAGAATATATTATTTACTTTCAATTGATTAATTTAATTTATTTTTATTTAAATAATAAGCTAATATTTATTTATTCTTAGCCAATAATTTATATTCTATTTAGATTTAACAATAAATATATTAGATTATTAAAATAAAAGATTATAGAAAATTACAAAAGTACAAAAAATATATCAATAGAATAAAATTTTTTGCTTTAAAATATAATAATTTTATTTACATTGCTCAAAAAAATGTTTAAAATTTATTTTAATTTTTAATATTTTTTGTAAAATTAAAATTTTAAAACTTAATATTACTAAATTATTTAAAATATAAATATTATGACTTTTTTCCTTCAGTTGTTGTTATTTAATAATCTTTTTTTTGAGATATTCAATGTACTAACTCTAATGTAATTTGAATTTTACTATGGTTCAAGCTATTATTATAGATCTATATTAATTAATACTTCTAGTTCTTTTTACTTTAGTTACTTATCTCTTTTATTTTGTTTGTAAGTTTTTATTAGATCTTAAATTAAGAATCCATATCTAATAAGCTGCAATAATGTACTTATTGATAAACAAATAATTATAAATATTATAATTATACTACCAAAAATTTCAATTTTTAGTAGAGTTTCACTTGCTATTACATCTTCATTAGCAGTAGCTTACATTTCTTTAATAGTTATTCCAATAAATATAAATAATACACTGATCATTATTTCTTAAAATACCTTTATGATTGTTATTATTTTATTTTTAAAGAATCTATAGTATAATAAATATAAGCCACTAACTCCATATACTACGCAAGATATTATAGAACATTCAAATTGATTCTAAAATAATACAAGAAATGATATCACAACAAAGTATTTCTTAAAAAAAGAAATTGCAATGTATGATTTAGATCCTTTCATTCTAAAATCAATATCACCATAAATATTTGGAGCTTTTAAGACTAAGTAATCACCAGGTTTCTGATAAAGTAAATAAACTAAAGTTACAAAGAAAAACAAATAAGCTGAAATTTAAAACATCAAAAGAAAAATATTATCACCACTTAACCAGCAATAACAAATTGTAAAAACAATAGCTGTCAATGATGACTAAAGGTAACTGCAGAGAAAATTAAAAATAGTATATTTTATTATAGAAGTGTATTACTTTCCTTTCAGAATTTTCCTAAAAAACAAGCAGTAAATCATTACAAATATGCAAATTAAGACAACTATTTAAACCTGTAAAAAGTTATTATAAATTCCTGTTTTTATTCCAAATGACTTTAATATGTCTTGTAGCTTTTATTATTGAGATAAATTACTATATTATTGTGAATCAAATGATATTTGAGTAGGCTGAGGTGTTTAGTTAAAAACTAATGTTGCACCTGATAAAGAAGCAAAATTCACTTTAAGAGGAAGATATTCTTTGATTAGGTAGATCATAGGCAGAACTTAGACAAAATTCGAAATGGAGCATAAAATTTAAAATTACTTGAGAAGATTTATAACTTTGCCAGATGCACTATTTTGATCTGGAGAAAATGTTTATGAAATTGTTTATAAATTTTGTGTTAATTATTTACCTTAGGCAAACGAATTAGACTATTCTCCATAGCTTGATGAAACAATTATTGTGTTTGGAATTTAATAGTTTATTTTGGATTCTTTAATGCTAATTGTGAATTGTTTTACTCTTCTATTTTACTAGGATATTATTATTACTTTTACATTTTAGTTTTCCATTGAAATAGAATTGATGCTATATTAATTACCTAAATTCAATATTCCTTCATCAATTAAAAATTAAAACGAGGAATATTCTTCATTGGTTAATTTCCGATTATAAGTAATAACAATTAGATTACCTCTAAAATTAGTTGGAAGAGTTATATCGTTGCTTTAAGCTAGATAATTATAGACATTTATAGATTAAATAGCTAAGGGAAGCTAACAAATCATACTTTATCCCTAAACAGGGCTTTTAAGCTACTCTAAGTTATATCCTTCAGAGCACTCACATATTCCTTTTTAAGTATTGGGGACAATATTTAAGTCTGGAAAGCAGTTTTTATAACAAACTTTCTGCCATAAATAACTTCCTTCATTACATTTTATGCATGTTTGACTATCAGAACAAGAACTACAGTTTTAGCTGCACTATAAGCAGATATTATGAGAATCACAGTAATATCCATATCCTTAACCGTTTGAGCAATCAAAATTATTTTTGTAAGGATTTCTGACTTGATAATTATATCCTTATTAACAAATACAAGTGTTTGTTGAAGAATTATAAATATAGTTGCTACCTATAGTATCACAGCTCTGTGTACATTATTTTTAATTAAATAATATATAACTACTTTCGCATTACTAACAGCTGCATACTAAGCAATATTTTTAATTGGAATTTTAGCTCTAATTTAGAGTAAGCATACTATAACTTAAAGCTATATTATCACATAGAGAGCATTAATAATTACATTTTTAACAATTTTACTTAGAGGATATTAGATATGCATTATTTGGACAAGTTTAACAACGCTTTATAGTAGTATCAATTTGGAAATATAAGTAGTTACATATAGTACAATCTAAATCAGCAGGTCCTGAACATTCTTTACAGGCTATATTACATTATTTACAATATTTTCCAGAAGCGTAATATCCTGATTATTATGAACAAATAACACATTAGTTTGTTTGCTCATGAATAAGATAACCAGATTAACATAAATCACAAGTGCTTCCATTTTAACAAGTTTGGCAGTTCGGAATGCATTTCAAACAATTATTTGATTAACTATAATATCCATCTAATTTACAATCAGTGCAAGAATGATCATCTTATAAAAAATATGGCTTAATAGAATTACAAGAAGTACAATCTTGTTAATTTTTTCCACTACATTTTATGCAATTAGGATCGAAACATTTTTCACAAAATTTTGAAGAATTTAGAAAATAGTAATCTACACAAAATGTACATATATACTCAATACAGTCTGTACAATTAGGATCTTTACAGTCAAATCCAATCACAGTAATATCTCTAATACCTAGATATGCAGAACCACCATAAAAAATATTAATTTTGTTAATGATTTAAAAATTTTTAGTTATTATATGACTTGGAGATGCTCCAATTTATTATACAAAAGAAAATGAATAAATCGTATCCATTTAATTTAATCCGCAATAATATGATGTAGACTTATTAGCAGAAACACTGTAACTGGAGAATCCACTACCATCAGAAAGCACAACACCTAGGTAATATTGTGGCAAATAAATATCTAAATCTATCAAATAAACAGTAAAAAAGATTTAATAATACTAAGTAGAAATTCTAATAGGAGGAAAATGTATAATTGTATTATATTAGCTAACCATAAAACCACCCAAGATGTTTACGTCATTACAAGAAGTAACTAAAGGCTATTGTGGTCTTCCAGGAATTACAGAAAAACCTTTATTAGTAACCTCTAAATCAGAAAAAGTATAGCTACTAAATGCCTTAAGATAGTATTAAATATTCTAAACTTACTATGGATTTTAAGATGCTTTTAATATAAAATTAGATCCTTATTGGATATATCCTGGAGGTACAGTGTTTTGGGTCTAGCAAATTCCGTCATTATTATAATATCCACTTGCGCAAGTTTAGCATTTACCGTTATTTGATGGGTCAGGAGTTTAACAACCATAATTATAGTAGCAATATTTACCATTAGGTACATAATTGGTAGAACAAGAAGTAACACATTCTCCATTTTAAAAATAATCAGAAGGATTTGTACATGAGCAAGATCCACTTGATCCATTCGGAAAATTTGCCACTTATTAACAGCTTGTGCAGTCATTTAAAGTTATTTGATTACATAATAAGCATGTAGGATGACAAGTATTAATGCTAATTTAGTATCTATAAATATAAGAATGCACAGGTGTATTATAATCATTTATTAAAGTATTCATTAAGTCACTTCCTGTATTCATAATACTCAAAGCTTAAAAAAAATAAGTAAGTTTATAAGAAAAAATACTGCAATCAGTATTAACATCAAATTGTGAATAATCATCCATACTAAAAGAAGTATACTTTTTACTTATTTCATCTGTAAGTTAAATAATATTCTTAACACCATTTGTTATTGCATTGTTTGTTACTCCAACATCAACTACAGATGCCACTTGAAAATGTGGAAATTTCAAGGTATTAGTATGTATTGATGTACTTAACTATGAAAGTTAAAAAACACCTCTGCAAAATTGATTATTGCAAGAGCTAGGCAAACATTATTAGGCTTACAAATTATTTAAAACAACATTACTACTAGAATTGATACCTCCTGTAATTAAATCTATTTGAAAATCATCACATCTAATAAATGAAGTGAAGATTAAAATGATAAAAAGTAGCATATTTTAGTTAGTTTTTATGTTTTACTCCTGTTATTTTTCTTTTTTATTAAGATTTTGCTTTTTTTTAATTAATCAGAAATATTAATTCAAAAAATAAATTATTATTATATTATTCACTAATTAATTTGCTTTTGTTTAGAGAAAGAGAAAATAAAATAAAATAAACTATTATATCAAGATTACTTATATTTGCTTATTAATAAAAAGGGTAAAATAATGTTACCATCTTATGCTTATTAATTTTTTTAATTTATTTATAATGAAATAAATTAGTTTTAGATAATTCTTTTTTTAAATAAGAGAAATTTAATAAAATTATTATATCACAATATCCTTCTTAAACATATATTTTTTTGATGGGTGCAAAGATATATAGCAATGATCTTTTTTTAGTTTGTAACCAAACCTAAAATCCTCTTGATATATAAATTAATAAAAGTAAAATATTAGATTTCTCTTTTATTTCTTATTAAGTTACGCAATTAAATTTTTCACCACTAAATAAGTAAGTAAGAATTAAATAAAGGATATTCTTCAAAAATTTTATTTTCTTCTAAAAAATATGTAAAAACCTAAAAAGATTATTTAAACAAAAGAGAAATTTATAATACTAAAATTTATTTATTATATTCTACCAATAAAAAATTTTTTTTGTAAGAAATATTTTCTAATAAGATCTAAAAGTCCAACTTTTATTTTATTACATAAATAATAAGAAGTTTTTAAATATTTTTGTAAAGATACGTGATATCTTTCTTTAATTTTTGATATTAAATTAATGGCATTTAAGTGAAAAAAATAATTAATTTCAATTTATCCATAGAAAATTTAGTAATCTGAAGTAGAACGGATAACACTTATTTATATACTTTATTTCCAAAATTATGTAAATCAATCGTAATTCAAAAACAAAATTGACTTTAATCAGATTTTGATTTCATAAGTAGTCCTTTTAAAAAATTAAATTATTCTATCAATAACACAGAAAACTAATCTATTAAAAAGCAGATATTAAATAACTAAATAGAATCTAATAATCTTTTTAATAAAATATTTTTTATATACTATAAGCTCTTATTAATTAACACCTGTCCCCTTTTAAAATTTTGTGTGATATTTTGGGTGATAAAAAAAATATGAAGTGTTAATATAAAAGGGTGTTAACTAATTAATAAGAGTCTACAGTATTTTAATTTTAATAAAAACATGCAGTTTATCTAATATTTAGATTTTAATACGTATTATTTGTAAAAAATGACAAAATATTTAATTAAATTATTTTTTCAAGTAAGGAAAGATATTTATCTAAAAACTTAACTTCAGAAGAAGTCAAATTAAATTTATTACTTTTGTTTGTTTACTTATTTATTTACTTAATAAAATATATATATATAAATTATTACTTTTATATTTTTTTGTAAAAGATAAGTTCATTTTGATATGTCTAAAGCTAAAAAATTTCCCTTAAGATATTACAATGATTAAAATGAAATTTAATAAATAAATATTTTCATTATAAATTTATGAAACTACAGTCTTTTCATCTAATCTACTTTTCTAAATCAAAAGGAAATTTTAATAAATCAATTCTTCTTTGTAAACTAAAAAAATTTTAATGATTAATTTTTCTTTTATTAATAAATAAATCAAATTTACACTTTTAATAAATTCTAAACAAAGTGCAATTTTCAAATATCCTTAAAAATCAAATTCAAATTCAATAAATAGATTTTTTTGTGGTGAGGATTAATAAAAAAATACACATTTAGAATATTTATATTTTCTGTTTAAGTTATTATATAATTTTTAAAGTAATGAAGGACTCAATAACTAACAGACTGATTGAAAAGATTAAAGAATAAAAAAAAACTAATAACTAAATAACTTAATTAAAAATCTCTTTATAAGATTAATATATTTTTTTAATATTAGCTAATAATTATAAATAATGATTTCTAAAATGTTTCTTTGTTTTTTCAACTAACTATATTCTTTGTTATTATATCAATTAATTCATTTTTTATAAATATTATCTTAAACTAATGTTATAGATAGAACTTGTTTTATTTTTAAAAATATTTTAAAAAAATATTATGCTAGAAAAAAATTAAATTAGTTAATTAATTAAATATTTCCTAATTTTTCTTTGAAATAATTTTAAAATTAATTATCAATATATTATAGAAAAATAAATTAAAGATTAGAACAAAAATATAAGTAGCGTATTTTAAAATTTTTATTTTAGTTTTTAATATTTTTGTAAATTAAAAAAATTTTTTAATCTTAAAAAAACTAAATATATTTAAATTATTTAAAACATGATTAATTTTTCTTCAGCTTTTGTTATTTGATAATCTTTTTTTAGAAATACTCAATGAACTAACTCTAATAAAATTTGAATTTTACTATGGTTTAAGCTATTATTATAGATCTATATTAATTAATACTTCTAGTTCTATCTACTTTAATTACTTACCTCTTTTATTTTGTTTGTAAGTTTTTATAAGATCTTAAATTAAGAATCCATATCTAATAAGCTGCAATAATGTACTTATTGATAAACAAATAATAATAAAAATTATAATTATACTACCAAGTATTTCAATTTTTAGTAGAGTTTCACTTGCTATTACATCTTCATTAGCAGTAGCTTACATTTCTTTAATAGTTATTCCAATAAATATAAATAATACACTGACTATTATTTCTTAAAATACCTTTATTATTGTTATTATTTTATTTTTAAAGAATCTATAGTATAATAAATATAAGCCACTAAATCCATATACTACGCAAGATATTATAGCACATTCAAATTGATTCTAAGATAATACAAGAAATGATATCACAATAAAATATTTCTTAAAAAAAGAAATTGCAATGTATGATTTAGATCCTTTCATTCTAAAATCGATATCGCCATAAATATTTGGAGCTTTTAAGACTAAGTAATCACCAGGTTTCTGATAA